TGGCCTCGCACAAGCCTTGGTTGTTCATCATAATCGTTCCAACGATGTAGAAAGACATCGTAAGCAGTTGCATTGCAAGCACCACGGAGGTGTAAAACGGATCTGTTACAACCAGTCGAAAGTCGGAGGGTCCAGTGGCGCCAAATACATGCTGGAGATTTCGCACCACTGCAGCAGGGCCGGATTTCTCGTCAGGTGGAATGCTGTCGTCTTGCATTTGGCGTTTACCACAGTAAACCACGAAACTGTATAAGACACGGTAAAGAAAGCGTTAGCATGTAGCAGACACGTTAAGACAACTTTTGAGCCAAAAAAAAAAAACGCGCCCGAAGGCGCGTCACAAACGTACTGGATGCAATAAGCCGTATCAGAACAGCACAGCATGAAAAGCTTAGTCTCCCATTTGTGAGGCTTATCTTTCATGTACACCCTCATGCGATTGAAAGCCGATCTTGACGGAAGCATCGCTTCATCAAACGCCATGACCGGTGGCGGGTATAAAGCTGCGCTGGAAAGTATATTGCAGTACGATGATTACTGGCCGCAGCTTCCACGCGCGGTCCGTCGCTGCCTCAGGAGCATCATTGCGACTGAAATGCATGTTGCGGGAAAGATGAGCAAACCGATCTCGCTTCATATAATGGCCGAAGCACCCACGCGGAATTGCGCCTTCGTCGGTAGTCTTCCAGTGGTGATCAAATTTCTCCTTGTTCGGCGCAATTGTTCTGGCAATGAGAAGTCCAATAAAAATGCAAAACTCTCTTCCAGATATGTCAGGTGTTGCCAATAAATTCTCCTTGATTTGTTCTTGCGATTTCACTTCAAAATTGCTGTCCTTCCGGTGGCGGGCTTGTTGCTTTGCACGCTGTGCGCCAACACGCTTATCCAAATTGTGAAGGAAATAGTCGTCACTAGCTCCGGCAATGTCTTCCCAAAGATGGGAAGGTGCAAACAAGAAGAATGACCCCAACGCGGTCGAAGCAGCGGAAAGGGCTTCTTCAGTAGGCCCGTGATCCCCGCTGTAAACTCCGCCAGCTGATTCAAGTAGAGATGGCTCGAAAAGTAAGTCAGGAGCAGCAGCAGAATCCTCCACGACGGCGTCGGCTTCTTCGAAGCCTAAGCTCTCATCATCATCGTAAATGGACATATTCTCATTGTCACCATCGGAATCCAGTGCTGCAAAAGCGCGATAATGTTTGGGTCATCTACATCCACATACACTATAAGAATCCATAACGTGTACCCTTAACGTGTATACACACCATAAGCTTACCCATCATCGTTCTGATTCCATGTGCAAGGCTGACGCTTGGTTGCACTTCTTCAGGTGGTATGGCGGCCGGTTGCCCTTCTTCACCTGGCATCGTGCTTTCTCCGTCGCTATCAGGCTCAGAGCAGGCATACTCTAAGCCAGATGTAGCAGCAGCATCGAATTCAGCATGTAAACTACAATTGAGATACTCGTCTGCACCTATAAGGGAGTGGTGTGTTAGCGTTAGCAGTAGTTCACAGGTACGAGCAAGATATTCGACAGCTTACCGTTTTCATCACCAGCTGAATTGCCCAAATCACTCTCTGCCAGGTGTGGAGACGTAGCCTGAATGTTCGGACAAACAGTCTTCGTCGTGTCTGGATCTGGACTGACAGTTCGGTCAGCAACTATATACACGATAGCGTTAGAATCATAACACGTACATACACAATAAGATCAAACGCACCATCTTGTCTATCAGGCACATCGGTTTCAGGCTGTCCACTCTCCGGAGAAGGTTAAGTCGCTGCTGCTTTTGCTTGTTGCTTCGCCGCGGTAGCTTTCTTTATCTCCTCTAGCAAAGCACACGTATTAGAGTCCACACAAAGACCTTGAAAGGCGATACTACTTACCCAAGGCGATACGGTCCAAATATGCCATCAACGCAGCCTCTCCAACGAAAAAGTCCACGCCACGTACGTCCTTCTTCGTCTTCCCCGGCATAAAGTACGTGTAGTCGTTTGACAGGCCCGTAGGGGCCTTTGATTTCCATCCTTCCTTCAGAAGCTCTCGCCATCGGCCTCTGAACCCGGACATCTGAGCGGCAGCGGCGAAAATTCTCGAATGACCGAGATATGGGTGGCGCAGAATTCCACCTGCAATCCTCTATGCTGATTTGTGTGACACCCATCAAACCTGTGTCTTCTAATTTTCTAGAAAAACCAAGTTCAAGGCACACGCATAGCTATGTACTGCTGTGCGGGAAGATGGGAAATATGCCTACCCCTTCTTGACTGACAATTTGTATGGCCCTATACAAACTTTACGTATAAAAGCTTAACGTGTCTCAGACACGTTTAGCTTTTTGCGGAATCGTGTCTCATACAGGCTCTCGGGTTTGGGGGGTTAAACAAGCGCCTCGTGTATGGTACCAAACCTTGTCTGCCTTCCTAGAGAATCTCGGGTTCCTGAAACTCATTAAAGATCGATGCGTATTTCGACGAATAGTTGCTGACATCACCTGTTACATTGCAGTGTACGTCGACGACTTACTGATCAATGCGCCTACACCAGCACTCGTCAGTGAGCTGAAATCAGCCTTGAAAAAGCGTTTCTCCATGTCAGATTTAGGGGAGGTGAAGTACTTACTCGGCTGGTCAATTCAACGTGACCGTAAAAACCGAACGATGTTTATCCACCAGCACAAGTACGCTACGAAGGTCATTGACCGCTTCAGCGACTACATTCCGTACCCTATTGCAACACCAGCAGAACGGAACGCTAAACTTTCCGTAAGCAGCCAGCCCAGCAGTGAGCAAGAGAAAGATGCGATGAAATCGATTCCGTATCGACAAGCTGTAGGTAGTGTCATGTATTTAATGGTAGGCACTCGACCCGATTTGGCATTCTACATGCGAGAGGTCAGCCAATTTCTAGCGAATCCAGGTATGGATCACTGGAAAGCAGTCATACGTGGTCTAAAGTACCTATCTGGAACGAAAGAATACGGTCATCTTCTGGAAGGCTCGACCGATATTACATCGGAAAACCTTGCCGATCAACTAATTGCCTACAGTGACTCTGACTACGCCAACTGCCCCGACTCGAGACGCTCCATTGGAGGATACGTGACAATGCTAGCTAGCGGTCCTATCTCATGGCTTTCGCGTAAGCATCATACTGTAGTTCTCTCTACAACAGAGGCAGAATATATCGCCCTGTGTCACTGCATGCAAGAGATGATATTCCCTTAAACTTCTCCTCAACGAACTTGGCTTTGCTACAACGCAGGCTAACACAATATACGAGGATAATCAGAGCTGCATCAAAATCTGCTACAACCCCGAACTTCACGGACGATCAAAACATATACACGTACGATACTGTTTCGTGCAAGAAAAAGTAGAGCGGCATGAATTCAACGTCACCTACTGCAATACGAAAGAGATGATAGCTGACATCTTCACTAAAGCTTTAGATAAGCACCAGTTTAGAGAACTAAGGGCCAAGCTCAGGATGAAATGTCTGAAAGCAGGATCCGGCCACTCAGTTTAGAAATATCCTGATAATACAAGCGCATGAAGCGTGTCTATATTCTGCGTTCTTTTTAAAAAAATTCCCACTGGGGTTTATTCTTTTTTGCTCGCACAAGGTTTTCCCTCGTTGAGGTTTCCCTGGTCAAGTACCGAATTATCTAGACACATGAGTTTATCAATAATAATCCATGCTTAACAACAAATTTGTTAGAGATACGCCAGTACATCTCAGTCGCTTTCACTTTCAGCATTTGTGTCACTGGACACGTAGTCGGTGTCATAATGTGTAGATTTTGTGGTTTCTGTGTGACAAATGACATCATCACTAAATACCCCAGCTTAGTGCCTTCTTCGATGGAGTGGTGGCCACGTGTGCTCGAGAAGCCCCTCCCCCCCTCCTCCAGCGTGGCGATGAGAACTGGCGCATGCTGCAGTGCTGTCCGCGGCGCCCGCTTCTTCTTCTCCCTCATAAGAAGCGCTCTTTGCAGATCGGAAGGGCTCTGTGCCCACCGAAATAGCCTCTACCGATGCGAGGGAGCCTGCTTCGTAGCAGCGGCAAGTAGAGACGACATGTTGGGCTCCATCCTTGAGTTCCTACCAGGCGTGTCACTTAGCGTCCTCCTTCCCTAGCAGAAACTGCAGGGCAAAGTCAGATCGGCTAGCCTAAGCGACTTCCTGGCGGCGTTTCAAGGACTGAGGAAAAGTCCTTTTAAGGAAAGTTTTACCTCTGTTATAACATAGAATTGTCAGTTTGATAAAATATGTTCAGAGGCAGGGAGGCTGTTGAAGTAGCCTCTTAACAGTTTGATTACCTTGACCTAGTCACTCCAAAATATTATAATGAGATTTAGGAGGTCCTGTTTAAGTCGGTATGACTGGCTTAAACTATACAGACACTAATGGCTTGTGTACAGCTATTGGTTTCTTCCTAAATCTAATAAAGTACTCACTTCGTCTTTTGACGCCTACAAGTAACGTCTTCTTCCTCTCCCTACTTCTTCTCGACCTGTCATACGAGTTATATGCTTCAAACACTGTGTCTTGACTTTCTCCAGTTCAGGCGGGAGATCTTAGACAGGTGGTTTTTCGAAAGGAAGCCCACGCTCCAAATGTCAACTTTTACCGTGTGCGACGAAGAAGCTAATATCTCAGGAGCACCCTCAAATGATTTACTTTCGCAGCCACGGTTGGCGCATACAGATGAGATGATACTAGCCACAGACATGGAATTGCATGTATTTATCCGCTCGAATTGCAATTTCAAACACGCAACTACATGTACAACTACCTGGGGGACCTATTACAGTGTAGGGGGAGTCGAATAGTAGTAGCCCCTCTCCCTTTCAAAATTGATACCGCACTAATCAGCTCATACTTCAGGTAGTACTAATACTTGTAAAATGCTTTAAATACTACTGTTGCACACGTCATGTGAAAACGTTGTTGCCACAGGAAGACAAACATTATTAGTACGCTTGGGTATGGAGAGTCTATTGGGCTTGACGCAAACGATGGCGCAGGTCTTATTTACGAAATATTAGCGGGCTTGAACACGTTGAAGCCGTCGCCAGCCGTGCTCATGAGCACACCTGGACACTGCGGGTGGAAGTGTAGCTCCTTGATGTCGGTCTGGCCCTGGTGAATGAACAGCAGCTGCGGTGGCAAGTCCAGCTTGGCCTCGCCATTCTCACCCTGGATGGGCACAGCAGCCTCGGCATCTTCTTCGACTGACATATCCCACACCGAGATCTGGTTGTCAGCGCCCGACACAGCGAGCACCGACTCGTCGGTCGGATGCCACTCAATAGACGTGACCGGGGCCGTATGGTACCGGAAATGAGCCACCGGGTTGTCGGCCTTAAAGTTGCGCAGGTCCCAAATCTTGAACGAGCCATCGTCCGAGCCGGACGCGAGCAGGTAAGCAACGTTGCGGTTCCACGTAATCACGTTCACGTCATCGTCGTGAGCAGCCACGTCCAGCATACTGCCAGCCTTCCGCCGGGTGTCCCAGATGCGCACAGTGCGGTCCGACGAGCACGAAGCGAACACTGACGCCTCGGTGGGGCTCCACTGCAGGTCCTCCACTGAGCTCTTGTGGCCGGTAAACGGCACCTTGTCCACACTCCATGCACCTTCCGAGTTAGCCCAGAGGTAAATGAACTTGCTGCAGTCGCCTGTAACGAGACGACCAGCTTGTACAGGAGACCAGTCCATCGCGAACCCCTCGTCAGCGTGTCCCGAAAACGTGTATACAGGAGCCTGCTTGGCTGGTAACGGAGCACTAGTCTTGCCATCTAGTGACTCGAGCTGCTTGGCGATATCCCAAAGGTGCACCTTCTTGCGGTCCGACCAGGTGGCTACAATGTTAGAGGACTGAGGCATGCAACGAATGCGATTCACGCCACCAGGGTGCGGGATGGAGCGCGACTCAAGCACGGGATCGCCTTCCGTCTCATCTTCATCGTCCGAGTCGTCATCCTCTGAGTCTGAGCCGTCGTTCTGCTTGGTTTTGTGCAGCTCCGACATCTTCATGACCGTGATCTGGTTGTCGTCAGCGTTGGTGGCTTGCGTGCCGGCCACCATGAAGACGGTCATAGGGAAGCGACTGCGCACGGCCCCGAGGTTATCACGCACGACGTCAATGCTCAGTGCCGGCCACTCGGCTGTCATGGCGTAGTACATGTCGTAAGCGCTGCTATCGTAGTCGAGCACCTCGTCATCGTGCAGCTTGTCCACACCAGGCATAAACACCTTCTTCACTTTCTTCTCGGCCTGCTCATCACCGTCCATGTCTACATCCTTGTCAGCACCAGCAGCTTCGCCATCCACGACCTCCTCGTCGCCGTCACTCTCGACCATCTCCTCGTCCTCCATGTCGTCACCGAACGGGTCTTCGAACACCAAATCTTCCTCGCCATTGTGCTGCTGTGCCGTGTGGCGCTTCACGTCACTCGAGAATTCGGTAGCTGCGCGCTTCTTCTGCTGGCTCATGGCTTCAGGATGGCAATGCAGTAGCAAGTGTCGGTAGCGATACGCGCCGAATGACAGGTCGCGGGCCAATGATGTAGTTCGACTGCCAATCAACAGTTCTGGTGGCTATAGCTGTGCATTTGGTGCCGTTTAAAACCCTTCTGTCACCAAACCTTTACTGTAGCCATTTGAAACACAAAATAGTGTGGGTACCATAGTTTTCAATTTTCACACAGATATCGACAAAATAACCGGTATTAATGTAGGTATTTTGCTGCTTTGAAAACGTGAGGCCAGGCGAAATGCTGAGCTCCTTACGGCGACGCCCGGCGACTCTGTTGCCACGCAGAGCTATCGGTGCAGCACGTAGTAAGCACAGCAAGGAGCACCATGAGCTGCGCGAGTCGGTCAGGTACGAAATGCGCCAGACATTCGTTCTAGAGCAGTCAGTCACAATTGCTGACACAAATCTACGCATATCAACAGAAAATTGGACTACGACGGATATCTATGCGGCCTGCTGCTACCGGTGAAGACGCGTCCATCTTTCTTCGCCATTGTACGTTATAAATGTACCAGTTATCGTATGCAGAAAGACTTTCTCGCTGACTTACAGCTCTACAGCGCGCGCTGAACGCCGAGATCGCGACCATCAAGGACTCGGCACATAGTAACCAGATCACGGGCAAGATCCGCATGCAATGGTGGCGCGAGCGTATTTACAATTTGTACGAAGTGTCGTCGTCAGCAGGAGCAGAGCGTCCGGAGCAGTCGACATCACTGCTGCGAGGGCTAGACAAGGCCATCCAGGAACACGACTTAACGCGGCGGTGGTTCGAGCGCCTACTGGACGCGCGAGATCAAGATCTTGACCGCGAAGACGTGCAGAGCTTACACGAACTGGAGATGTACGCGGAGCAGACGGCCTCGTCACTGCTGTACCTCACGCTAGAGAGTCTCGGTGTTCGCGACGACACAGCAGACCGCGTAGCAGGACACGCCGGCGTAGCAATCGGCTTGGCGACGCTACTGCGAGGAACGCCGTATCACTGTTCCCGACAGCAGTCTTATCTGCCCGAAGACCTCATGAACAAGGTACGGATCCAAATTCTGATCCACGGATTTGGTTCCCGTAATCCTTATGCTGACCGTTGGTTTGTTGTTGTTTGTCCGATCCAGCATGGTATCACGGTTGAGGATCTTTTAGCAGCGGTTGAAGATTCGAAGCTCGGCGACAAGGTGGCGCCCGTAGTGTTCGACGTTGCTTGTCGTGCTATGGAACATCTCCATCAAGCTCGTTCGTTGCGGAAAGAGTTGCCAAGCGAGTCCCGCAGCGCATTCCTACCGCTGGTTAGCTCCTCTTTGTATCTCAAAGACCTCGAGGCAGTCAACTTCAACGCCTTCGCTCTAGAACTGCAGCAGCGCAATATGTTTCAGCTCCACTTGCAGGTGTTGAAGCACTACTTTTTGCGCAAATACTAGAGCCCTGTAGACCTGCGCAATGCAGTCACAATACACTATACAACAACCTCAATTCCTTTCTTCATTGGTTCCTCGCTTCGTTTAGCTGGAGCTTCTACCGCTGATTCCAAAAGCCACTCGATCAATGAGGAGAACTGCCCAATGTCTGGCCTCTTGTAGCTCCTCCCACGGACCTAAGATATACACGGAAGCTTGTTCATCTTCCGTCCCTTCACACATGTAGTCCGTGGTCTTCGTTGATCCCCCTCGACGGCACAAGCAACGCTACCGGTAGAAAAGGCACCTCGCAGGATCTTCAGCACGCTAATTCCTCTGTTTCTTGGCCGATCCTACTGTTTTGTTGCCGCTGCTGCCACTGTTCGGTGTTCCCTGCTGCTGCTGCTGTTGACCGATACTCGATGACCGCCGCTTGGCGTCCAATGCGGCCAATTGGCCCTGCAGCTGATCCTTTTTCAACTTGACGCGGTTCTCGAACTCGAAGCCGCTTTTGAAGTAATCCAGACGCGACGGCGCCGAAATGTGCAGCAATTCCTCCTCAATAGCACAGGCCTAGATGTTATAAACAGCATTTTAGTCCAAAACTCATGCATACACCATTCTACAGCTCGAAAATTGGTCGCTTACCACTTGCAGTAGGTCTTCGTAGGTAGAGCAGCGGCTCGTGTAGGCGTCACGGATCTTAGAGCGCACTGCCTGACGCTCTTCGATAGTGAGATACATCCTCCAGTCCTGCATAGTAGACGACTGAGAGACGCTGCGTGTAGCGGTCGTGGCACTCACGTTGGTGCTAGCCACGGTAGAACCGCCAGTGCCCGTAGTCGAGAGGCCGCTGCTGCCTCCGCGGAGCGTCTGATTGGTCGACGGGCGATTGTACGCGCCCGACGACGTCACAGCACGCAGAATCTGTGGCGGATTCGTGTTGGGCGTCGCGTGTAGCACCGACGGGATCGAGTTCATGTTGTTCATACCCACGCCCAAGTGGCTGGACAGACCGCCCGCGTGTCCGTGGCCAACGCTGCTAGCAGCACCGCCGCTTAGCGTGCGCTTGAGAGACGGAATGGACTGCGTTGAGCCGTTGGCGGGGTCGTTCTTCATCTGCCCGAGGTTCATCGTGATAGGCTTGTACGCATACAGCGCAAGCTTCTTTGTTTTTGAGCGTTCCCCCTTTTGTGAATCCAGCGGTAACATGTCGGTTTACCGGTGTCAATAACAGCTGGCTTTTTTTCGCGAGGACCTTTACGTTGCTGCAAAGTTGGTGACTGTTGCATTTTGTTTTCACTCTATGGTTCTTATCTCTAGAGCGGATCGTGCGGCCACACCACTGGTTGGAAGGTATCGCAGAACTCATCGAATAGCGCGTTCAAAGACGTTTCTAAAGCGGTAACCTGCGGATTTAGCGGAGCAGTCGAGCCTCGTCGCTTCCACGTGCGTGCCAGCTCGCGGGTCTTCGCACTCGCAATTTCGCGCTGCAGGTGGCCTGAGCGACTTGCACTAGCCGCAGCAACCGCTTCTGCATTTACTGTCTGCTGCTGCTTGGGTTTCTTCTTCTGTTGGGGCTTTTTCTTTTTATTATTTGTCCTGCTCTTCTGCTTCTGTTGCTGGAGTTGCTGCACTTGAATCGACGACTGGAATCGTTCTCGCCACTCATCGCTCAGAACGTATCCGTACTCATACTCGTCATCATCTTTTTCATCATTACCTTCTGCTTCGTCGTCATAGTGAGCTTCATTCATCGCAGAATGGTATCTGCTGCCACTCCAACTCGCAGAGACCGGAGTATCCATTGGACTAAAGTATTCCGATGTGGGTGGTGCCGGATATTGCACTGGAGTGAAAGTCGTTGGTATAAGCCATCGCCTCTCCTGTCGCTGCTGTTGCTCTGCAAAGATCCTCGGCCAGGCCTCCGGGAACGGGAACGGTGGCGGGATGAACGAGCCGTCCATTTGCATCTTGCAAAAAAATGTGCTTAAGTTTGTAAGAAGAAACCGGTAGTACCGATTAGCTCCTCGTATTTAGGATAGGGCCTCTATTTGAAAAATGGATACATCTCTTTCCAGCCACTGAGGTTGAATCACTTGTCAACCATCAGCTCACTTGTCGGAAATGCCGCCCCAAAAAAAGCGCTCCCGTGGCTCCGGCAAGGCGCCAATCGACCCCAAAACCGCTCAAAATGAGGACCGTGTAGTGGAGATGATGGAGGATGACTCCGACAGTAGCGAGAGTGAAGACGACCTCACATTCGCTCCCAACGATGGAGCTGATGACGATGACGACTCGGACGACGAGATGGACGGCGGAGAAGCTACTACTGCTGCTGCCGGCAGCAACGTCAACGTGGACTTCCTCTTCTCAGACCCGCGCGAGGCTCATTTCCACAGCGTCAAACAGTTTCTACTGGCCTATCTGCCTCCTACGCAGCCCTTCGACGTGTCTGGACTGGCCAATGCCATCGTAGGTCAAGTCACTGCCGGTACTATGGTCTGCGTGGAAGGCGAGGATGACGTATATGGCTTCATCACTGCGCTCAACCTTAAAAGCTTCGTCAACGAGACAAGCATCCAGCAGATCCTACAGTACGTGACTAAAAAGTGTCCAAGTACCGAGCTGTCAAAGCTTCAGCAGATTCTTAACACCAAGAACGTGGGTCTTGTGCTCAACGAACGCATGGTAAACCTACCGTATCAATTGGTACCAGCACTTCACTCGGCGCTGCATGAGGATATTGAGTGGGCGATTGAGAACGAGGACACGGAGGAGCTACGCAACAGCTTCAAGATGGACTATTTCCTCATTCTGGCCACCTGTACGGAGGAGAAGAGCGGCAGTAGCGGCTCCAAGAAGGGCAAAAAGTCCAAGACGGCGTATGAGCAGACAGCCAAGTTCTTCCACAACTTCGAGGACGAGTTCCTGGAGCAGGAGGCCGAGCTTTCCTTCTCGTTTGACACGCCCTTGACTGAACGCGAGCAGGTGGACAAGAGCAGCAAGACTACAGTTGTGATGCTGCTCGAGCGCGAAAAACACAAGGCGGCGTTGGCCAGCATCTCGGCAATGATCAACGTGTAATTAGAATATTTAGCGCCCGCGTTTGACCCCTTGCTGTCTACTTATGGTATTCCTATGCCTGACTGTGTCGCGCCATCCAGTCTTTTGCCAGACCAATACTTGTACGCAGATGACGTAGCTCTTCTTCTTCTTCAGGTCGTAGAAAGCGTCGACTCAAGAGAGACGCAGACACTTGACTTCTAGTCTGGGAAGTTGAAGCTTCGTTAAGTAGATCGCTGGTGCTCGTATACGTTTCTTCATTCTCCCTCGCTTCGAGTGAGATGCCATTCTTCCAGTACGAAGGTCCTTTTCGAAGTGGTGAGAGCGGTGAAGCTGTCCACTCGTCAGTATCACAAGCCACTGCTTCGCCTGAGCTATCGCTATTGCCTACTGAGCGTCTGTAGTTAGCTTCTCGTTCGTATTTCACAGCTTTAGTTCGATAACCTGGTGCGGTGAGCTCGTTCTTGACGCGATCCAGAGACTCGGGTGAGAATGCTGCTAGCTTCTCTTCTAGTGCTTGCAATTTGGCTCGTTGCTGTGAAACTGGAGACGCTGGTCGAGGAGAAGCGAGTGGATTGTGGCTTGAACGTCGGACGCTGCGCATTCGCCGTAGTCTTGGCTGACTCGCTGAGCTGCTGTCCGTCGAAATGGAGCTGGCGTCGATCTGCTTTTCTGTCGACTCGCTATTTATCGTGGCGAAATCGCTTTGAAGTGCATGTTGAGTTTGGTCCTGCAGCTTCTTGGCTGCAGCGAGGATCGCTGCGTCGCATTCTTCCTGGCGATTTTGAATCGTGGCGTACATCTCGCCTTCGATTTCAGCAACTTTGCTGAGATATTGCTGCTGGAAGACTTCTAGACGCAAGGTGTAGCTCTAAGATAAAAGCGTATTAGAAGGAGGTGGTTAGAGCCGTGTATTCGATCACGAGACGATCGTGGGGTTTACCTCTTGAATCAGTCTCACTTGGCTTTCCAGTGCGCGCTCTTCTTGCCTCTTGAGAAACTGCAGCTCATCCATCGCTTGCTCCAACATACTCTGCACCTGGTTTGCAGCTAAGCTTGGCAAGAAATCAGTGCTAGTTCCCTGGCCGTTATAAAAGAGATGCTCGTTTCCACTGTTGACTTACTGGAGTCTCGATGTGCAGAATGCCGCTTCATCTGTTCCCGCAAGGCATTAATATGCTGCTCAATTGCCGCTTGAAGCGGCCGAGCGGAGCTACGTATAAGGGATTTGCTGAGTCGATTAGTAGCTCTTTCATCCGGCACACTGCTGTCGCTTGAGATGCAAGATCGCTGGCATTCTCCAGACTCCCGTTGCTCCGTCACAGTCTTCGACGGTCTCCGAGACCTATTCAGACTTTTCAAAAGACGTTTTTGTGTCTGGGTGTTCTCCTTCTTCTTGGTCTTTGTCGGACGATTCAGGAAAATGCGACGCAAGCGCTTGAATTTCTGTTGCGCCTCACTCTTCCCGTCCAGTACTAATTCGAGACCGTCAACATCACTGTCGCTAAGGCTTTCAACGTCGATTTCGCTGCTAAAGCTGCTTTCACTGCTGCTGCTATTGTAGTATCTGACGTCTTTGCCCTCGTTACTGAAGCTGCCCCGGGTCATGTTCGTGGCAGCGCCTAAGGTTGCTAGCAGCGTGTCTGTTCAGGGCTAGGAAACTGATGGCAACATGTTGGACCAAAATGAAAAAATAGTCCGGACCAAAATATTGAAGTTGAAGTTGCCCGATCATTCTTTCGCTGGTGCCCGGGTCCCAAGCTTCACAACGGGTTTTACTCTCCATGGAGGTGGTGAGCAAGCTTTTCGTGTACACCAAGCTGGTGGTAGTTCTCGCGGCTACGATGGTGGCGAAGGTATTGTGGATGGGGACTACTCGGCTCGCTGAGATGACTCGCCGTCTTGTGGGGATGTCTCGAGTTGATTTGGCGGATGGATATCAGCAGCTATTGAGCACGGAAAGTGTCGACGACGTAGTGCGGGAGGACCTCGCAGCCGAGTGGGTTTCAGAGTCTCAAGAGGACAATTGGGAACCTGACGCGAAGAATCTACTGGATGAGGGTAGAAAGCCAAGCCACCGAAGCTCTGAGTCAAGCACTGAGGACGAGCTGATTGAGCTCAGCGATGGAGAAGAACCCACCTCTTTGCTTGGCTCGATCAAACGCAACCGAGTTGCAGCCAAGTTGCCTCCGCTGAATTGGTCCGTGATTAACTCGGAATAAAAAGTTGCTCATGATGTTGTGGTCGCCATAACTATTAATTCCCTTTTCTTCCAATCACCGTCTTTTGTAGCTCTTCGTCAAAGGCATGGCGTCCCGGGCGACGAAGCGGTCGCTGTTGACCTTCCTCTTGGCCTTGATCGTGGCCATTGCATGCATGTTGGTACTCTCCATTCAAGTACCGAGTGTGGCAGCTGTTCCTGCCAATTCTCGTTCATCAAAACGATTTGGAGTCGACGCAGCGCTCGACGAAGACGAGGAGGAGGACGAAGATTGGGACTTTATGGACGACAGCGCCATTTTGGGGCTGTCACAGCGAGAAAGCGGTGAAGTCCAGGCAGACACTGCAGTAGCGTGTGTGGATTCGATGCCTACTGAGCTCGTGGACGACGACTACTGCGACTGCGAAGACGGTAGTGATGAACCCAATACAGCAGCCTGTTCCCACGTGCTACAGCGCTCCGAGACACCCCCATTCAGTCGCGAATATAACTGCAAAGCTGACGATAAGATGGTGTCACTAGCCTTTTTAGACGACGGCGTGTGTGACTGCTGTGATGGCAGTGACGAGAAGGACGGACTGTGCGTTAACACTTGTGACACCGAGTGGAAACAGAGGTTCCAGACGCTTCAAGAGAGGCTGAACGTAGTGCAGAGGGGCCTAAAGCGTCGATCCCAGTATCTAATTGAAGCTGTAGACAAAGTGCAGCAGCTCAAAGAAGACTTTGAACGTCTTGCAGAAGCATATCATGCTGGACAAAGAGCATTCGAGGATTTGCAGCGACGAGCACAACACAACCCGGAGCTGCGAGGACAACTGGAGCAGTCATACAATGTGCTGCGTAGAGTGCAGTACGTCACGTACATCCAAAGTCGTGTGGTCGATCCAAGTACGTTCTCGGATGCAGTCTGGAAACCTGCTTTCGTCGAGCTGGTGGGTCGATGCTTCACGTACACAGTGAACGAGAAGGAGCTCAAGGGAGGGACACCCAACGTGATTCCTCGCAAGTACGACATGGTCTTCTGTCCATTCCAGAACGTATCACAGACTGAACCTTGGTATCCTCTGTGGACGAAGGTAGAGCGTCAAACAAAGGGCGGGAGCGAAGCAGCGATTAAAAATGAAGAGGAAGAAGTGCCACGTCCCATCGGCTTGGGGGTCTGGAACGAGTGGCAAGAGTCTGTTAACCTTCTGCGTGTGCAGAGCTACAACCACGGAGAGCCCTGTGCAAATGGACAAGAGCGGCACACACGCGTGCAGTTGTCATGCAGTGATCAGAATCGTGTGGTGTCTGTAGAGGAACGTGAAATGTGTCAGTACGAGATTCGCTTCGAGACTCCAGCAGCGTGTGAACGAACAGAAGAAGACACGATACAAGAAGAAACAGCTCGCGTTATGACGTTTTCCAAGAAGGAATTGGAAGGCCACGAAGAACTGTGACGTCGATGCAATAGATTTCACCTCGCCATCATCATTATGAGGCTTTGTTTGCGTGATTCAGCAGCTTCTTGGTCGTGTGTTCTCTTCAGTATCTCGTTCTCTTCGTCTTCATTGAGCCAACGTTTGCGTTCACCACGAACAAACTCGCCATATCTCCATCCACCTCGTTTACCGAGTCCACAACACGCTACGCCTTCGACAAATCCGTTCACAAACTGTCCTCGAAGACGAGATCCATCTGAGTACAGCAGCTCGCCTTCGCCATGGCGAACATTCCTCACAAACTCACCAACATACTGTACGACGTCATAGAGTCCCATCCGCATGTTAATTAAGTTTGAGCTGCCTTTTTCAAGTATTTCGTTCGCCATGAGAATGTCGAACTCCAGCGGGAGATACACACGTTCACCGCGACCATGAAGCTGGCCATGTACCCATTCACCACGCCATAATTTCCCATCAGGAGAGCGCAAACAACCCTGGCCATGGAAGCGACCACGTACAACTCCACCTTTGTACGTTGTTTTCCCTCGACCACGATGCCAACAGCCGGAGCCTTGAGGGAACTCAAACTCGCCCTTCCATTCCCAGTTCGTTCGTTCTTCCTCCGTCTCTGGTCGTTCTTCGGTCTGCGGCTTGAACTCGTAGATGATGCTAGCTTCACCTGTCTGGTGACCATTGTAGTAGTCTCCATCGTATAGTACAAGTCCAATGCCACCGTTCTTCTTGGCTTTACCTCGAGGTTTCACAATGATCTTGCTGGTGTGAACTCCTCGGCCATGCATCTGATCGTCCACCCAATCGCCTTCATATCGATCGCCATTGGAGAACACTCGAGTGCCTTTACCGTGCCGCTTAGAGCGTACGAGTGTGCCATCATACACGCCTCCATCTCGATACACAAAGCGTCCTTCGCCATGAAGATCTCCTCTTTCAAAGACACCGTCGTATGTGTCTCCATTCGCATATCGTATCGCTCCTGGACCGTTCTGCAAGCCACGTTCAAATATCCCCACAGCAGTACGTCCATCGCATTCAAGAACACCCGTTCCGTGCGGTTCATCGTCCTCCCACGCACCTTCATATCGTCGTCTATTCTCCTTCTCTTCACCTCTTCCGTACACACGTACACCTTGTCCATGTCGCTTACCATCCACAAAGTCGCCTACATAAGAGCCATGGACACCTCCAGGTCCATACGACATACGTCCAAAGCCGTGGAAGTTGTCAAAGCGGAAGCCTCCGCTGTAAACTGACCCGTTTCGATAACGCAGCTCTCCACTTCCATGGCGCAAACCTCGAACGAACTCGCCGTCGTACACATCACCCGTAGTTCCATACACACAGACGCCTTTACCGTCGTAAAGTCCTTTCTTCAGCTTGCCATCGTACTGGTCTCCACTTCGCGTTTGCCAAGTGCCATGTCCATGCTTGAGTCCACGTACGAAATCTCCTTCGTACTTTTCTCCACGTCGCCATGTCTTGGTCAGCGGATGTTGAGATTTGGGGATACGCAGCACACCGAATCCTTCATACAAGTTGTTGACAAACTCTCCAGTGTAACCTCCACCCGACCCAAAGGTGAGAGCTCCTTGGCCATGACACTTGCCATCAGCCCACTCGCCATCATAAACATCACCCGTTGGATACTTGAGTCGACCCCGTCGATGAATCGATCCATCGTCACCAAGACGCCACGAACTGACGCTGTAAATCACGTTTCCTCCTGCTCTGGGTTTCGTATCGCTCATAGTTTCCTACAGCACAATAAAAAAATAGATCCGGCGACTCTCCAACAACAGCATAAACAAACACACACAAGTATCTAAGTACACTTGATCCGGTCCTTTTCATTCCGCTTCTTTTATCCCTAAAACATGCACAGCAAGGTGTTTCAAATACACGTCTCGTCAGTCCCCTGATTACCTTAGATGCTGCCCTTCTGGATGGGCGCCACTGGCAGCGAGCCCGCCTTGCGTGTTCCCAGACGCTTCTTGACCTTGCTGGCCGCCACTTCTGGGTCTGGACGCAGCGAGAAGACAGCGCGCGAGCTCTTGAGGTATTTGTTTCGACCATTGTCCTCACGGATCAGACTCTCCAGCACAACGTGAGGCGACACCTGTCGTCGCGACGCACGTCGCTGCGTCTTCAGTCGAGCCAAGTACCGTCTCGTACTCGGCTGCTTACGTTGAAGTCGACTGCCTGCTTCATCTTCCGCCACTCCATCGCTAGTCATGCTGCTTACTGAGCTCTGGTTTCGCGAGAGTTTCCCGGGAGGATTGCCACGTGCAGCTGGTGTCTTAGTGTCAACACCTTGCTGCCAGGCCTTACCACAAGACTCGTGGAAAGTCTGACCCGACATGACCAACACCATAGACGTATGCAAGTTCCATTTCTCCGTTCCAGGAGCTCCAGATTGACCCATTCCGAAGGGAGGCTTGGACAGCGCAACGTGACAGTAGCCACACACATTGGAAGGAGGCGCGTAACAACGAGACTTGGCTCGCTTCAGCGTCGTGATCTGGTCGAACAGATCCACGCTGATCAGCGCATTAGCCGTCTGGTAAATGTTCTGCTCGTAGTTGTACGTGTCCAACATACCAAAGATCGTCGGTCGGAAGTCTCCAAACGCGCCACGGCCGTGCTCGTTCGTAATCTTGAATAGAATCGACTTGAGCGACACAGATGACGCCATGCGCTCCAGAATGAAGCGGATCATCTCGTTCAAAGCCACTTGGAAGGCCGTCGTGGCCCCGTGGCCGCTGTTGCCTCCGCCGCTATGAGTACGAGTGACGGGAACGCTACGAGACGAGCTCTTGGAGCTCAGACTGCGCTTCACCGAGTTCTGGATACGTAACAGCTTGTCCAGCAGCGTAAACCAAAGTTTCTCCGCTTGTTCGTCACGGTTACGCAGCGAGTTACGCTGACACATCGTCAGAGCCACTTCCAGCGTCTTCATAGCGTCCTTGCCCTCCTGTACACTGTCAATAATACGGTCCGACGACTGGTGTCTGGCAGCGCCATTACTGCCACTGGAGCCCCCAGCAGCACTCGATAACATGTCCGAGGCGCCTGTCGACGATGAAGACACAGCCGAGACGTTGTAACCACGCAGAGCTGGCTTGAGGATCTTGAGTTTCTGCTCCAGGCTCTGCAGAATAAGCGTCAGTGCGCCAGTGACGTCGCCCGTGCGCTCAAGCAGATACGCTTCGGCGTCTGTGATCGCGAACTCCTTGCACAGTCGTAGACACGCATCCACCTTGAAGCTGTCGTGGGATTCGAGGTACGGGAACACGCCGGCAGGTTCGAATTCGCACAGCAAGCGCACAAATCGCTCCTGGACGGCAGGATCGTCAGCAATACGCAGCTTGGAGCGTTCCAGCAGATCTTTCATAACATCAGCTTCATCACTACTGCCACCATTCGAAGTCGACGAGGCCATGAGCACTTGCTTGAGGTACAAGAACTCGAGTTTCGACCCTTCTTTACCCATCGACAGGAACTTCTGGATGACCTTGTTGTTCAAGTTGGGGAACTGACCCAAGATCAGCGTCACGAACGCGTAGCCATCGGTCTTCATGAGTGCTGGAGCGTGAGTCAACACAGCTTCTTCAATAACCTTGCGACGACGACGAGTAGGCTCAGCACCGTTGCTGTCGCGCATCTCCATGTCTTCTCCATCCACGGCCTTATCAGTCTCCATGCGGATGTAGCTGAACGCATTCATCTGATACTCGTGATCCTCGTCCGCCAGATACGAAGCAATTGCCTGAGTAAAGTCACCGTTATCCTTGTACAGCAGCACAGCCGCACGGTTCATCTTCTCTCGAATCACACTAGCCAGCAGCGCCTCGTGGTTGTAGGTGGCCTTGTTCAGCTTCGTCAATAGACGCACCAACATGGCTTCACGTCCAGCCTTATCGAAGCCTTCTTCATGCGACGTTTCAGCCGAGACAGCCGATGAACCATTGGAAAGCAGCGACGCGGGTCCAAGAGCGAGGAAGTTCATCAGCGAGTCCATCATAGACGCTCCGTCGGCCGAGCCAGCATCACCAATAGCCTGCGCACGCGCATCAGCGTACTCCTGTGGCTCAATGGAGCCTCCACTGAGTAGTCTGGCTTCAAACATAAAGAAGTGAGCGTGTTCTACCGAGCTGAACGGACTCTTGGGACCAAAGATGACTTCAGCCAGTGACAGCACGATCGACAACCGACTAGGACACTTGGTCATCTCAGCATTGCGAGCAGAATCGTATCGGCTAGTAGGACGACCAGAGTCGTCCTTCTTCTCGCCTTCAAACTCCACACTAGGCGTGTCAAACATACGTCCCATAATGTTGAACAGCTCGCGTGCATCCAAGTCGATTAGAGTCTCCAGTCGCGGGTATGGGCGTGGGTGTGGCGAGCCTGCCACGGCGTTTTCGAACAAGTGGTAGCAGATCTGCGAGCGCACCTTTCCTAACTTGACCGGAGAGATCTGCTCATGCTTCGGAAACGTACGACCACTCAATGCGTACGAAACGTAAAGCAACAACTTGTAGCCGAACAACCGTCGGCGTCGGGGACCACTAAGCGCTTCTTCTTCTTCTTTCTCGCGTGCAGATAATGCTGCAGGCTTGGCAATTGAGATCGTAGAGCTAGAAGCTCGCGTCGTGCCGCCAAATGCCGACGCCAGACTGTTCACACGATTACCAGAGGGCGCACGAGCAGTTCGTGCGACTGGCTGCGATGCTGGATTTGCCTTGGCCGCCTTCGCATCCGAACAAGCCTCCAGAAGAACATCAATTGGCGTCGTGTAGTCGTCCATGCCTTCATTATAGATGTAGATGAGCGCTGAATACAGTTCGTGGTCGTGACAAAGCTTGAGGATCGTATCCAAGTCCAGTTCCGCCACATTCAGATGAAGCAGACATTGTTCCACTTGAGCGAGTTTTCCCTGCGAGCTAAAGTGGCGAACAAACTCCTCCATCGCTACTGGAGACAGGTTTCGTAGCTTTTCGGACAGAATATACGGCTCCAGCAGCTCAATCAGCACGCTGAGCTTGTTTGCATCCTTGAAACGTGTGTAGATCTCACCGAAAAGGAGATCCGTGCGACCAATGAGAGCACAGTACTCAATGCAAACACCCGCCAGCATCTGATAGTGGCTCTTCGCCAGGTCCAGCTTCATCCCGATCTTGTTGAGACTCAGTTCACCACCCGCAGCAGCTGTAGAACCTGGTGCATTCGCAATAGCAAGACGTACGTACTCCATCAGCAGATCTGCGACGCGCTCAGCCACACTAATAGGCACGAAATTCTTCGTCACTTCGCCACTACGAGCCTTCTGGAGCGTTTCTTCGAGCTTCTTGGCGATATCAGGAGGATACGGCACCTCACCACACACCCAACGCACTTCGTTGGCACTCTCTTCGTGTCTAAACACATCCTCCTTCTCGCCAGTACGTTGATTAGTCTGACACATGTGCAGGATGTCCACAAGACACTGATCGTTCTGCTTGTCACGGAAGAATACGGGTGGGAACCGGTCTCGTGCCGCGCGATCAGCTGCTGCGATCTTCAGTCCTTCATAGTGATCCAAAGCGAGTGCAAGAGCCTCCAGCCACTCGCCATCATCCACCAGCAAGTCGATACGTTGCGTCCATGGCAACACACGAGCAGTCTGCAGCTCCTTAAGACCCAGTAGATACAGAATATTGTAGCAACCACGGAAACTATTCGAGAAACTGCGCGCGTTTTTGCCTCGATAAGAGGCGAACACCAGCTCCAGCGAAGATACGTCCACGATCTCCAGTTCTTGACGCGACATGACGTCGTACACGCAGATCTCATCGTGCGAGTTCAGATACACCACCACCTGGTCGCCCAGCCATTGCACAGCCATCACAGCGCTTGAAGACTCGATCTGGTCGTGTTCATCAAACGTAGGGAAGCCATGACGCGCGTGCGAGTGGTTCTTCCCGCCAGGGAACACCACTTCCAGAAACTGTACACGGTTGCCCCATCCACGCGCCAGCACCGGCGCCAGCGCTCGAGAGCTGCCAGGGAACGAAATCCACGCGAATGCCAGCGTTGGGAGCACAGGATCATCCGGCGCAATATCGTCAGGACGTGTCCAGCGGTAAATTACACGAACCTCCGGCTCGATAGCGATGATGAACGTCACCGTCTCTGTGCTCAATGCTGCAAGACAGTACTGGTCAGTTAAGTACGAGATCTTGGCGTTACCAGCCGACTGTGGCAGCACCGAGATGGACAGAATTTTGCCCGCTGATCCATCGTAAAGCGGATCCACGTCCACTACGTACACCATTCCCATCATTTTGGAGAAGTTGAGCTTGTTCACGAGTCCATTGGTGTCCACCGAGACCAGTACTGGCTTCTGGTCCTTCAAGAAGCGGAGACTCACCACAGGGTTCTCGTGAGCGTCGGATACAGCCTTGAGCGACGTTCCTTTGATCATATCCCACAGTACAATGCGTCCGCTTTGGTATCCACACACCAAATAGTCACTGCCAGGCGACACGTCCACAGCCGTGACGGGTCCGTCTCCATCTGCGTCGTTCGTGTTGCCCAGCACTTGTCGGATGTTCTGGAAGTGGTCGAAGATAATAACCAGCCCCTTGGATGTTCCAATAGCAATGAACTTGGAGTGAATAGCCACCACAGTGGGGGAGCCGGGACCGTACTCCTTGAACTCGATATTCTTTCTCAGTTGTCGACTGATGGCTTCCATTGGCTCCACTTTGACCACTCCTGTGGACTTCTTTTCTGCGGCAACGGCAGCTGCTCCTGCTCCTTCTGCAATCTTTTTCTTCCTTTGGTTCTTCTTCATGGCTACAAGACCCTCTCGACGAGACTTGAGAGCCTTGGAGCGAGCGTTAGCACGTAGACGACGCTTCACCTGCAGTGGGGATATGAGCTCTACACCGACACAGCTCAGAAGCTGCTTCTCTCGGGCTTCTGCGATCTCCAGAGGCGTGCGGAAGTGCGTCTTCGTAGGTGCGGGAGTTGCGGGTTGAGGTGCTGGGATCACGTCCATGCCTGGACCAGGCTCGATATTGAGTGTGAAGGTGGCGGGTGAGAAGAAGAGATCATCTCCGTCCTGTGTGGAGCTGTCTGTGTCATCTGCGCTCTTATTGGCCAGCTCCTCCTCGCGCAGGATCTCCTCCAGCGTGATGGCCGACAGATCCAACTCCCCCAGGTCCTCCTCGTCGCTCTCTATCAGCAGACTTTCCACACCACTCATGGCTATGAAGTACACGTGTGAGTGGGGGACACGATGCGACTTCGGAAACGCGTCTAGCTGCTCTAATAGCCGAGATAGAGCGCAACGTCAGCGCCGCCTTCTCTTTGAGCTGAAGCCCCCCTGATTGAGGTTTCTTGTAAAGAGAGATGAGCCGGAGAGTACATGCTGTTCTTATGAAGGGAGGGAAACATATGTTGCTGGAAGCATGGCTACATATCAAATGCAGTGTAGCCATGTCTGACGGTCAAGAGAGAAGCTATCGAGCATCCTTTTGCAACTACATGTAGTTATGTATCACTCTAACCCTTGAAAGAAGAGAACCATTGTCACCTTCGTTTTCTTGTGAAAAATACGAGCCGAATTCACATAAATTCACCAAACTTACAGCCAGATCAGTGAATGCTGCTGTTTAATTTCCGTGCCACATTGGCCACTTCACCTTCATCGCTGCTACGTCATGTGGTTCACCAGCTATCCGTCCGTGCATATCTCTTACCGTCGGCGCTTCCGACTATCGTATTTCTGGTCAAACTTCCGTCGCAAATTGTGCGGCAGGTTCTCCGCTGGCTCCCACGTGACATCGTCGTAGCCGACCCACTTGACCTTATACTGATGCGTCTTCAGCCTCGTCTCGGGGTCGCGCTTGCTGCGACGATCAATAATTTCTTCCACGACGTACACGTCTTCACGCACAGGTTGGCCCTCGAATTCATCAATTAGGTCCTTGGAGATGTTGGCGGCAGGCTCCCACGTCGTCTCGTCGTATCCTTCCCACTTGACCTCGTACAGGTCCGGATCGCCGTAAGTCTCGCCGCGTTTCTTACTGATAATCTTCTCCACCTCGTACACGTCCGGGTCTTCCGTGTCGAACATGTCGTTGGGCTCCTCGTCCTCGTCTGAGGACAGCACCACCTCCTTCGGCGGCAAGTTGCCCGAGGTCTTTTTCTTCTTCCTGGATCTGGTGTCGCTATCTGACTCGCTAGACGACGAGGACTCAGACGACGAGTCGCTCGAGCTGCTGGACTCGTCGATAGACAGCACGTCGTCGTCGCTGTCCAGCTGTACGTGTCGCTTCCGTCCGTCTGTTCTCGTCTTGCTCGGTTTCTTCTTCGATGCAGATTTCTTTTTCGCTTTGGTCTTCTCTTTGGCCTTCGACTTGCTGCTCTCTTTCGCTGCTTTCTCTTTCTTTCTTCGCTTCTTCTTTTTATCGCCTCCAGTGCTCGTCAGCATCGCGTGTTTCTCCTCCTGTAGCTTTCTCTCGATCTCCTTGCGTTCTCGTCGGTCTGTCTCCTTCAGCGAGTCCATACTGATCTCCGACGAGAGCGGTTGGTCCTCCGCTGGCTCGTACGAGCGCATCCAGTCACGGATCAGCACCAGTTTGCGCGATTCTGGAGATACGTTCTCCAGTAGCGGGACGCCACGGATAGCCGCCAGCGAGAACTGGTCCTTAGCTGTGTTGTAGAGCCCCAGAGCCTCGGGCAGGTTCTGGCACATGGTCACCAGCGCGCGGTCCATGAGGACGGACGACTCATCCAACGACATGGCTTCCTTGCGATTCAAGTTGTGCAATGAAAAGACTGCTCCAATCTAGTCATCTCCTTAAGTTGCACGCTTATGTTGCATTAAGCTAGTGCAACCTTCACGCGACTTGCGAGACTGAGTGACCATTTTGCTCTCCTATTGCTGGCGGAGATGGCGCCATGGACGCTCAAGCGGCTGGAGCGCGCCGTGGAGAACTTCTCGGCGCAGCTTCAGTGCGCCATCTGCCTCTGCGCCTACGATAACCCCGTTTCTCTTCCTTGCAACCACTGTTTCTGCGAGGAATGCATCCATCGCGCGCTAGAGCTCAAGGCGCAGTGCCCAATTTGCAAAACTCCGGCCAAGAAGCGGCGTCTACGCTACGATACGACAGTGCAGGAGCTTTTGCGGGCTACAGAAATGCTATGCGCCGCTCCAGATGAAAATTTAGTCGCTATAGCCCCCAAGACGCCACCGCAGGCCGAGAAACGGGTGACGAAGGAGTCGACACTAGCTTCTAGAGTTGCAGCGGCTAAATCTACAAAAATTGCTACTAAGGCTGCGACACCAGAGAAGAAAATGACACCTCGACGTGGTGCTAAACGCAACTCGCAGAAGAGTCCGCCGTCCACACCGACATTGATGGACATGTGGGTGACTACAGAAAGCGTGCAGCTGAAAAATGGATTTAAAATCAAGAAGGAGAAGCCGTCAACACCTCAAAGACGGCGAGCGTTGACGCAGGAGATGAGTTCTCAAGTTGCAGTGACGCAAATGTCTCCCCCACTTTTTGAGATGCCGATTTCGAATGGTGGCAACGCAAAGATGAACGACAATACGGCGGACGAGAATAAGTTGATGCCGTGGAGGCGGCGGTCCAATGCAGATGCAGTTGTAATGGATGCTGACGCTACAGACACAGCTATGGACGAGACGCAGCTGGAGGAAACAGATCGCAGCCGACTAACACTATCTCCGCGACGGCGGCGGCATGCTACGGGTGTAAGAGCAGAGTTATTGTCACGGCGGCGGCAGTCTGATGGAGATGAAGATCCAGTAGATGCCGTAGTGGCTGAAACCCAATTGGAAATAGTAGAGATGGAGGAGCAGGAGACACCTACAAGGCGGCGGCCGGATTCAAATGGAGTCGCTATGAATGAAACGCAATTAGAAGCAGTAGAACCAAAGCTTCAGACTCCAATGCCTCGAAAGAGACGGCGGTCTGCGCCTACAGCTGATCACGCGAATGGGGTCTCGAATGGAACGAAGCAACCGCCGCTGTCTAACGGGAAGATACGCAATGGAGCAACAGAATCATCCTCACTTCTTATTAACAGCCAAGCGCAGCCTCTTGCTGAAGTCGAAGTCTTTCACGTCGGAGATCTAGTGGACGTTATTGAGCGCCAGTGGGTCGGTATCAATAAACGCGGCGGCGCAGGACGTATCACAAAAGTCCATGGGGATGGGTTCTACGCAGTTAAGTTCGTAATCGGCCCTGGATCGGATGGTCGTGTACCAGGCTCGTTTATCCGGAGACCTACCGAGGATTTGGTGTCCGACCTGACGCCAAGTCGTGCTGTTAGGAAGCGTCAACGTCGACGGCTATTCGATACTATGGTCTCACCGGATCTATTGACTGTCAAGACTAAACCGTCACCACATTCCACAGCAAAAAAGGTCAAAACGAAGTCGACAACGAATGGGAAACACTCGGGGATGGTGTTTCTGTGCTCAGGATTCAAAGAAGATCGCATGCAGCAGATCGACGAATGGGCCGAGCTACTTGGAGCTGAAGTTGTCCATTACTGGTCGAACGATGTGACGCATTTGATTGTCAAATGCGTGAGTGGAGATGAAATCGAGGAAGAGGGCCCGTCCATGGACGAGTCGGACTCGGAATCCTCGCCACAAGGACTCAAAAATGGTAAACGGAAGCTGTTCGGCGACCGAAAGCCTGGTCGTTGGGTGAAGATCCGGTCACTCAAGTATCTCAAGGCTCTAGTTGGAGGCCGCTGGATCGTGAGCGATGAGTGGCTGCAAGGTAAGGATAAGTTGTCCCCTCAATTGCTTCGTACTTAAGTGCTGACTGCTCCTTCTCGGTTGTTTAGCGTGTGCAGACCACGGCGGCTATGTGAGTGAAGTAAATTATGAAGCCGATGGTCACTGGAAGGGCAGGAGGATCCACGACGCCGTGAAGCGGTCACGATTAACACGAGAGAAGCTCCTTCAGCTGTCTTCACCGGGTGTACGATATATTCCTCGGTGCTGGTTTTGTATAAGATCGTGGTGATCTAACCCTTCTTTGATGTGTTTTAAATGCAGGTCGACCGCTCAAACGTCGGCACGATGCTGTTTGCGGACTTCTGCTTCCATGTGATTGGCGATTTCCTGTCCCCAATGCCACCGATCACGGAGTTGAACACCTTGATTTGTATGGGAGGCGGGAGGTTGATCGCTTTTCTGGATGAAATTCAGGACGAGATGCACAAGCGTGAGAATCGCTCCCGGAAGCTCATAATCGTGTCCGACAAGCTCAATCCAACGGCACTACGACAGCAGACAAGGCAGTTGAAAGCCAAGCCGCAGTTGAAAGGACTATCGTCGGCTGTCATTGTGAATTACCTGTGGGTGATCAACAGCATCAGTGAAGCCAAGTTACGCGAGCTCCCCTAAGCTGTGGCGTTATTGAAAAGCATACAAGAAGGGAGGGACGGGGCGTAGAGCTGGAAGCATGGCACGTTCATTTCGAGTCTTTTGGGGGATTACGAAAGCACTGGCAAGCATAAAGCACTGTGAATCAACTGCACAAAGCACTATCAACACTGTTTGACGTACCACGATCAAGGGTTTATCTTTTAATATGACGCCGTGTACGTGGAGTAAGGCACTTGATGCGAGATCAACTGAGGGGTATGTTACGAAGGCCTGGCACTTCATTCGGCCTTCAGTAAAGTGACGTATGTTCAGGGCTCTAACACGATTACAGCGCCAACTTTACGTTAGACTGATATGATCATACACTGACAACACACATGCCACGTACTCCAGTCCAGATTCAGGCGGTAGGACAGCACCGAAGACCGCGAAGAGGTCGACCAGCTCCACTGTCTTGGCGAGGTTCTTCACATAAAGTGAGTTTGAAGGCTGGCCGGGCTGGTATTTCTTCATGGCCTTCTCGGATGCTAGTTGGGTTTCGAGTACGCGCTTGCTTGCCAGTTCTTTCACTGTCCAACGTGCAACGGTAGCGATCTCTGTGTCTTCTGAAGTGTTGTGAAAACTCTGTGTAGCATGAGTACCATCGTGTGAGGATCAAATAATCTGCAAAACTCATTTTGTACGTACCACAATGAGCGTTTTTCCTTCTAGTTGAACGCCATGCAGTTCATTAACCGCTGCTGTTGCCACCTCTTCGTTAAGGTAGTCTATTACAGCTGAATCCTTTGCTGGTAAAAGCGTAACTTTCATCGAGCTAGTCACAGCACAGCATCGACGGTCATGAGGTTATTTAGCCTTCCAAATGGGGATAATTGCACGTACTCCAGCGCCATATCCATCGGCAAAACGTAGCTGAATACATAGCGCAAATCTTTCTCATCCACCCCATGTGCGATGTTCTTCACAATGATGCTACTCGATGGTAATCCACGGACGTAGGATTCCAGGAACGGCTCCTTCACTAACTCTGTGCATTCAAACGGCATATAAGTAGGTAATTAGATTTCTCTGAAGCTCACACGAATTACCTTCAGGTGTTAGTCGCTGCCGGTTCACCTCAATCGCCGAAATCACACCGGGGCGAGTCGATCGCTGCACTTCAAGGCAACTGGAATCATCGGTTCCAGTTTGAAAAGCTGTGTTGAATGAAGCATCTTTCTTGATCGATAACGCTTTGGTCTGTCGGGCCAAAGGTCTACCGATAAGCGCTGGTAGCGAATAATTTTCTTGCTTCAATGGTTTGCCTAGTACTGACGCACCACTCGCCTCGCTTGGCTGCTGTGATCTTGGCGGTGAATGGGCTTCGGACATTTTGACATTATCCTCATCCTGATCATCATCCTCATCTTCTTCGACGAGCTGTGTGGTTAGCTCGTCGTCGATTCTGCGGCGCTTTAAGTTTTTTGTTTGGAAACCTCCAGTTGTGTGCGTCGTGTCTTGTTTCACTGAGAAACTACCTGGGATCGCGTCTTCCTCAAATGGTGGCGGTAGATTCATCTTGTTCATCAGATGAAGCACTTGAGTATAGAATCGGGGCAAAGCAATCAGCGCTGTATCACGAAAAAAAAAAGCATCAACGTATCAGTCAAAACATCTAAAACACACAATGGGCAGCTTCCATGGCTTCACAAACCATTTGCAATATTGCGAACAATATTCTCGGAAGCCTTCGGATACTTATACTCGAGCAGCGGTGACGGGGCGTAATTTAAGCTAGCACATAACAGTAAGCATTCATACTATTTGACGCCATTATGTGCAGCGTACCCGAGGTGCGGAGCTAATGGTGCCGGAGCGTATCGCGGGTGCTGCGGAGGAACTGCAGTCGGTGGAAGCGGTGGAGGCAAACCTTTAGGCAGTGGTGGTCGGTAGCCTAATGAGATGTTGTTCCCTGTCTTTTCAGCTTCTGGTTTCGTCTCGATCGACGTGGTTGCAACTTCGTTGCCAACCATTTCCACCTGGAGGCGATGTCCAGCCAATTCCAGCAAATGGAGACGCTTTCGCGCGTTCTGCTGTGCTTCCCGTGTTGCAAATAATGCAACGGCCTTTTGAAGTTTCTTGGGCTCTGCACCTGGCTCTTTGCCGCTCGACGTCGCATTCTGCTTAAGACACACCACTCGAGACTCTGAGCTTTGACACAATCAGGCAATTTCATCTCGGATAGCGCGACATACTCTGCGTTTCAGCACGCGGACACAAATAGCGCCGTAGTGGGAGAGTAGCGATGTGATTGCCTCTGTCGACAACACAGCTGGCAGGTTCCGAACGCGCAAGCTAAAGCGCTCGTCTACCAACGCACTCGACATGCTTGGGATATCATTAAAAGTGAAAAACAAAAATTGTCGGTTCGATTAGCAAATGATACAAACAAAGCGGATCGATTATCTTAAAGAAAGTAAAGATCGTCGATTGTTCACAAAACAGCAGTAAAGGCTAAATGTTTTCTTCCTGTTCTTCTAAAGCAACTGATGGAGATTGCTGTGTAGCGGTGCTTTCAACCTTGAAGCATCTCTTCGATGGCTCGCAGCACATCTTGCTTCTGGTTGACTGTCAGCTGCGCCACAAGGTTGAGAATCATGGCCACAGACGGCGTCGGCGAACTAAAGCACCCAAAAAAACACAAAACGTTGACAAAAACATAAACTCATCCCGCTAAAGAAATCCCTCGAGGCGTACCGGATAAATGTGTTGAAGTAGACCGTTGTGAAGCAGTTCGTGATAAGCTGGCAGTCCATTCGATCCATGACCCCACCGTGGCCTGGGATGACAGAGTCGAAGTCCTTGAGCTTGTACGTGCGCTTGATAGCAGACGCATAGAACCCTCCAAAGGGCGACACAACCGAAGCGAAGATCGCGAACCAGACGGAGTGGAGCTGCAAGACAATGGGACCCAAGAATAATGTGAGTAGCAGCGTCAACTTCACAGCACGAAACCATAGCAAACCTGAATCGGAAGGAGCTGAATCTGGCTTTGGCCAATGACACGCGCAATGGAGACCGGCACATCGTAGAAGTGTGGGAGGAACACGTCATGCGGAATGCATGTGAGCGGGTCGGGAATCAGCTTAAACTACAGCGACAGAGAGCGACAACCACGTGTAAATAAATGCAAAGCCAAACTCGTCACAGTCACAAATTTTTCACCTCGAAGCTTTCCACGGGGCATGTCAGCCATGAGAACTGTAAAATGACATCAAAATCACAATAATGAGTAAAGATCCCACCGCATTCGACGCTATCCAGTGCTTACCTGCGAGATGAAAGCGCTGGAGAAGAATGCGTAGATCACGGTGCAGATAAAAGCACCAATGAAGCCCTCCCATGTCTTGTTGGGCGACAAGCGCAGGAATGGCGTCTTAATGAACTTGCGACCACATAACTTTCCGCAGAAGAACGCAAAGCAATCATTGCAGACCACAAGTGATACGGGGAACAGGAACCAGAAGAGGCCTGCAGATAGCCACGTGAATTAGCCACTATAGGTTGCATGCACATATGGTCGTATCATACCATTGAAGATGTTGGAGAGCACGTATTTCATCTGGAAGACGATCAATCCCAGCGTCACAATAGTCCACGTGTATTGACCTGCACCAGGATATTCGCCACATACACTTTTAGTCTTCAGAAAACAATGGAAAGACACTAGCAAGTAGACTGTACCCATCTGGTACTTGTAGTATCCTATCCATTTAGTCGAGCAAGTCACAACACAATCATTCCGTCAGTGGATTATTTTGGCAGTTGCGATCGACAATTAAACTTGCCGACGCAACTGCGACTGTACAACCAATGACAATTGAACGCACCCTTCTTGAGACTTAAAACCGACATGACGAATAGCATGGCGTACATGGTAAACGAGACCCACGTGTGATACCGTAGGTAGTGCACGATGGCGGGCGGTACGAAGCGAATCTTGCTGCTCTCGATGAAGGCGCCGAGCGAGTCTCCATAGTTGTAGAAAAGCGCCACAACGAACCACATCCACTGAACAGAGCGAAACCACGGGATGTTCTTCTCAGCCGCAGCACGGTAGCGCACGTTCACGAGTTCGCGGAAGATCAACGTCTGTAGTACGACCACGAGGCCCCAGACGTACATGTGGCCTCCGTAGATGATGGTAATAAAGCCGCCAATCATTGCGAAGCCCACGATGGTGCGCGTCATGAACTTGGTAAGCCCACCGGCCTTAGGAGCCAGTGGAGGAGAAACGGCCGACACATTGTCGGAGTTTCCACCGTCGGGAGTGGAGCGGCGCTTGCGCAAAGACATCGTACTGCCGGTCACAGAGTGTTCTTGAAAGTGTCTGCTTTGTTGCTTCGCGGTTTTTGCCGTTGTTTTGTGACGTCACCTGGCTGATCTAACTTACTTTTATGTCGCATTTCCTCAGACGGAAAATTACGCCCACTAACAAAAAATCTGATTCGGCTTCAATTTGGAGATTCACCAAAGATGATACCGCGTCGAATCTCAATCCTGTTTGTGGCGCTGCTGCTGCCACTAGCTGTCAACGCCTCCATCGACCTATTGAAGGTGAATGCAGACAGCCATGACGTGGTGACAGCCGCACGTGGTCTCGTCCACCGCCGTCTAGGGGCTCGCTACAGTGATCAGGTTGGTCATACGCCAGGATCTCAGTGATACATGGACCAAAACTAACAATTGAATATCGCCTCAGATTTCACTTCGTGTGCTTCCATCAGCAGCTAATGGCTTAGATGTGTTTGAGCTGGGAAACGACCGTAACAAGCTCGAAATCGCCGCCACTTCAGCCACTGCAATGGCGTACGGCCTGCAATGGTACTTGAAGACGGCGTTGCACACGCAAACGGACTGGGACAACCACAAATTGCAACTTCCCTACGTTTTACCCAAAGTTAAACAACACGTGCGACACAAACGCAGTGCCAAGTTCTCGTACTATCAAAACGTATGCACCGTCAGCTACTCGTCATGGACGTGGGGGTGGGCACAATGGGAGAAGCACATCGACTGGATGGCACTCAACGGTGGGCACTTTGAGTCCGATCATACTAATGCTATTACACATACTGACTTCTTGTTTTGATTTAAATGCAGGTATCAATATGCCGTTGGCGTTTACAGGTCAGGAGAAAGTCTGGCAGAACACCTTCCAGAAACACTACAACGTGAGCTCTGCCGGACTCAACAAGTTCTTTGCCGGCTCAGCATTCCTGGCATGGGGTCGTATGGGCAACCTTCGCGGTAGTTGGGTTAAAGGCCCACTTCCACAAGCTTTCATCGACAGCCAGTATGCCTTACAGCTGAAGATCCTGAACCGCATGCGAGAGTTCGGTATGATCCCAGCCTTACCTGCATTCGCAGGTCATGTCCCGGAAGAAATGAAAGCCTTGTTCCCGAACGCCAAGTTCACTCGTTCACCCAATTGGGGCGACTTTTCCGACGAGTTCTGCTGCGTGTACATGCTGGATTTCTCCGATCCACTTTACTACGATATCGGCAAAACATTCCTCGAGGAACAGCGCGCACTGTACGACTACACGTCGTCATTGTACCAGTGCGACACATACAACGAAATGGATCCGGATTTCACCGACCCAGCAAAGCTTCAAGCAGCATCACGTGCTGTCATCGACAGTATGACGGCTGCAGACGCTAATGCAGTGTGGCTTATCCAGGGATGGCTTTTTGAGAACAGCCCTGACTACTGGACCAAGAACCGTGTGAAGGCCTATCTGGACGGCGTGTCAAACGAAAAGATGATCATACTTGACCTGTACAGCGAAGTTCGACCCGTGTGGAGCAAAATGGACAACTATTTCGGCAAAAGTTGGGTCTACTGCGTGCTACATAACTTCGGTGGTAACACTGGGATGCGTGGGGACTTGGCAACTCTCGGTACGGCTCCTGTACAAGCGTCCCGTGACAGCAATGGGACTATGATCGGCGTGGGCTTGACAATGGAAGGAATTTACCAAAATTACGTCGTGTACGACCTCACTTTGCAGATGGCATGGGTGGATACCCCACTGGATATGGACGAGTGGGTTCCCAGCTTTGCAGCGCAGCGGTATCACTCGCAAGATGTGCATACTGAACGCGCTTGGGGGTTTCTCTTGCAGTCAGTGTACAACCGTACGCTGGGTTTTGGTGGCGTGACCAAGAGTTTGATCTGCTTGATCCCACACTGGAAACTCGTCCGTGACGGGTTCATGCCGACTTCAATAACGTATGACCCGATGGATATCACGCGTGCCTGGAAGGAACTGCTTCTTGCAGGGTCGGAATTGCACGCAGTCGACACATATCGCCATGATTTGGTCGATGTAACGCGGCAGTTTCTGAGCGACCACTTCATGGCTCAATATCTCCACTTGAAAGAAATGTACGAAGGGAAGACACAGCCAGCACATCAACTGTGTGCTTGGACAGAACGCATGCTTCTCACGATCGAACGGATGGACGAAATTCTGGCAACTAACGAAGATTCCTTGCTCGGCAATTGGATCGCAGACGCGCGGGCACTGGCGGAAGAATCTGAGAGTATCGAGTCGAGTAACCTTCAAGACTACTACGAGTATGAAGCTCGTAACCAAGTGACACGGTGGGGCGACAACAACTCGGAGACCATCCACGACTATGCAGGCAAGGAGTGGGCTGGCCTCGTAAAAGGCTACTACTTGCCTCGCTGGCGCATGTGGCTCGGAGAAGTCTGTCAGGCGTATACTCAAGGTCGCACGATAAACAAGGAGGTGGTGAAGAAGGCTCGCATCGCATTCGAGCTCAAGTGGCAGCTCAGCCACGAGCATTATCCAACCACAACGGTCGGTGACGCGCTTGTCGTCTCCCAGCGCATCTACGACGAGTTCGCCGACCTCAACATCGTTCAGCCATGGGCATCGCAACTTGTGATGCAAAAATGATGAAGCCTCTCCAAATTAATCTTTGTGGGCCTCTCATTGAGCACAGTTAGGAACCAGTTTGTCAAACTTAATTCGATAATCCTTTCAATCAGCATAATGTGGCTGGAAACGCAGTAAGGGCCTCATCATTAAAACATTATGGAGCAGCCCGTGGATAAGGAGAGAGCCAAGGCCCAGTTCCGCTCGTCGCGTCTGTCCTGGAGCAACCAAGCTGAACACGTGCGTCTTGCAATCTCTGTGAACTAAATCGTAGCTAATGGCTGACGACTGCTGTCCAGAAACTGAAGCAGGAACTGAGTGACATTGCCATCGCCAAGTGCCGCAGCGTCTCGGAGAAGTTCGCCGAGTGCGCCAAGGCCAACGGTCTCATGGTGGCCTTCAAGTGTCGCGACCACAACAAGGCCCTCAACGCATGCCTGCATCAGTACACCAACGACGAGCAGTTCGAGATTTATCGCCAGAAGCGCGAGAAGGAGTTGTAGTAGGACAACTAGACCAAGCCTAATGCCAACACACCAGCCACCTCAGTAAGCATCAAGCATTCCATTAGACGGAAAAGTTAACCGTCGCATTGACTTGATAGGCTACACCTGTCTACACAACCTATTGCTTACGCTGTCGAAGACCGCTTGCAGAGGCGGCGTCCACCGGAAAGGAGGTAAGAACCTCCTTACATATAGCCATGGCCTCCGTCGCAATGATCTTGCAGGCCGTCTCCAGCTCCTTAGGCGAGTGAATAGCAGTCACGGACACACGCAGACTGGGCAGAGGCTCCAGCGTCTGGTGGGTCTTGTATCGCGGCGAACAGATAGCCACACCCTTGGCCAGACACTTCTGCATTACTGTGTCGCACACTTTACGCTGCAGAGCACGTTGGTTCTCCTCACTACCGACACAAGCCACGACTTCAGGCAGTAGACGCAAGTGCAATATAGGGGAGACAACTGCCTTGGAGATGCTGTACACACCCTTAACACCAGCAGACAGAGAATCATGCGCGAGTTCGGCGTTGTCCCGGAGCTTGGTGAAGAGCTCCGGCTCGTTCTTCATAATGCGAATAGCTTCGGAGCAGCAAGCAGACGTGAAAGGCGGCGCTGAGGCCGAAAACACGTAGCCAGCGCTGTTAATACGTTGGAAATCCACCACCTCCTGCGAGCCAGTACTGAAGCCGCCCACACTGGCAGTGGAGCCAGCCAGAGAACTGCAGATGATAGCCACCTCCGAGACGTCCATACCGTAGTGCTCCGACAATCCACGACCGGATTTACCCAGTACACCAAACGAAAAGCTCTCGTCCAGGAAGAGACGGAAGAAGTATTTGTTGCACAGCTCCACGACGTGAGGCAAGTCGATCATGTCGCCGTGGTTGCGGAACAGCGCCTCGGTCACAACGTAACGGCGTTGACAGTCCGAGCCACGCTTCTTCCTCTTGTCTTCGTCACGCACACTTTTCAACACACGCTCTAGATCGTCCAAGTCGTTGTGCTTGTAGTAGAGCACAGTGCATCGCGCTAGGGTGGCACCCACCAAGATGGAGTCATTGCAGCCATCGTCCATGACGATGAGATCACCACGTTTGGCAAAGGCCGGAAGAACCGACGACGAAGTGGCTTCAGTGTCCGAGAAGGTGATCGAGTCGGTCGTTCCCATCATCTGTGCGATGTCCTTCTCAAGGATCTCGTGCGTATCGATGGTACCGTAGAAACCACGAGGCCCACAGGAGCCACAGCCGTACTTCGTAAGCGTCTTGACCGCGACTTCCTTTAGTTCAGGGCGTGAGCCCAAGCCGAGGAAGTCAAATGTGGCCAAATTCAGTAACGGCTTGGCGAAACCCTGCAGTTTTAAGTGCGTGTCGGGTGTGGCTTCGACAATACCGATGGGCTTGGCCTGGTTGACGTCCACGACGGCATTAGGCGGGATGATGGGCTCCGGAGTCCATTCCTCGCACAGATCGTCGATCTCCCGTTCTGAGAGCTTGGCGGCTGTGCCCTTGGGCTTGTCACGCTTGAAAAAGGTGATGTAGATGACAAATACGATAAGGAACGTCTCAATGATCACGTGCTCGGGGCTGCGCTCGTAGACGGAGCGGATGTACTCGTAGTACGAGCTGGGCGCGTTAGCGAACGCCGCCTTGATCTTGACGGTATCCAGACTCAGCAGCGCCTGGCGGTTGGTCATTCATTAGTCGACCGCTCCTAAGGATAACACGGGTGTCTAGAGAAGCGCCACTTACCTCCGCAAAGGGCTGCCCGATGGTTGCCCACCACTCGCTCATGCTGATATGATGGCAGGGGTGTCTAAGGAAGAGGAAATGGAGGGGGAGGGGGCTCACCGATAGAGACGCAGCTCGCGACATTTCATATCAGCGATATGATTCGCTAAAACAGTTCTACATTTTGATCAATCCGAGATCGACCTGCTTTCCCGCGGGTCAGGTACACAAACCCGTTCAACAGACCCGTGTGATCAAAGTTGCATTGCCCGCATCGACAGCACACTTGACCATGGAGCTACGTAACCGAGCCACGGGCTCCTCGAAGCAAGGCCAACGCGGTGTTGATGTGGCTCTAGGCCCCACGATCTACAGTGGTGAGCGCTACACCAAAATGAGCGAGCGCCTCAAGCGTCAGCACAAGAGACCTTCTGAAGTTGCAGAAGCCAACACACAACGGGTGCGTCCTACAGGCTGCTGTTCTCCATATTGTTGTGGCGTCCAACTGTACTGACGCTGCAGGTTGCTCCTGCTCTTGCTCTTTCTTTGTCCTGACCTGCTTGCGGCAACAGATAATGCGATCGCAGGTGATTGCGTTCGTGGTGGCGCTAGTGTTCGTCTTGTCGGTGGTGTTCACGATGATGTATCAAGCGCACGTCCGCCGTTCCAACCGCAAGCCTTTCGACGCATAATAGCCAGCTATGGACGGCGCCGCGATGTAGTTTTGTAGCGGCAGAAGAAGTCGTTGGAATCAAATTTTGACTCATACGGTATGTGGCACACCTTCAAATTGAAGGCTTCAATTGAAACCACGCACGAGTCGTGCGGCACGACTCGAGTTGCCTTCTGTTTCCTCACGAGCTGCTGGAAGCTACCACTGAATCAGTACTGTAGCAGCAGGCCTCGCTTGCATTTTGATCCCTCCCCCATCTCGAGCTCGGTTGTTTGCACTTGACGCACGAATAAAGTAATGAAGGACCTCAAACACAATTTATGATAAATATTAAAGGACGTGGGCGAGCAGACATCTAGCTCTTCTGGTCACCTCGCCCACCGGCAGACATCTACAGGATTCCCGATGTCCGGGTAGACGCTACTTTTTTTAAAAAACTGGCTTAGCCGTGGACGATTTCCTGCGTCCGAGGCCCGAGATCTTCGTCAATCGCGTGTACAGCTTACGCACAAGTGTCTTGCGATAATCGCGTAGCTCCTTATCGACGACGGCGAGCTGACGGTCTTCGATTACGACGGAAGACGACGTGATAGCGAGTTCGTTCGCGTCGGCGCACGAGCAGCCATAGCTCAACACGCTAGAGACACGTTCGGCTTCGGACTCATAGCTGCCATCGCTGGAAATGTGGTCCTCATCCAGCTGCGTGTCGTGCGACGAGCGCTTCGAGGCTGCGTCCAATTCCTTCGCATCCTTGGGCTTTAGGACGCCGCTACTGCGTTGCATGCTTTGCTGGCTAGATCTCTGAATCGACTGGCGCTCTGGGCCCTTGTAAGGCTCATCAGAGCAGATGTGGAGGTCGGTTTCAGTGCCTGCGGTGCTGTGGCGACTGCGCAGCGAGATTCGGCCGTGCGTTGGGCATCGAGGCAGCTCCGATGTGGCCGAAGACACTGAACGCTGCGAGGTCTGCGAAGACAGCGGAGCTGCGGTCACCGCGAAGGCGAGCTCGTCGATGCTTGGGCTGGGCGCCGTGGGCCGCAATAGAAGCGGCATGGTAGCGTCTACACTGCGGACCTGATCAGCTTTTTTGCACTTATGGCGACGTCGGAGGAAATCGCGAAGTGATCGCGTCGAAAAACGGCGATGGGACTTGATCCTGCAGAAAGGTAGGGAGGGCCCCCTAACCGCACGTTGCTCTGTTGGACAGAGACGCTGAATTATAAACACTTCAATTGGCTATGGAAGAGTCAGAAGACAAGTGAGACCGAGGAAGCTAAAGAGACATCCGATATACATGTATTACGTTGCCGTCGGCGCCAAGGTAGACGTCTCAGGCGCTGTAAACGACCAAGGTGGCGCGGCAGAAATCGTATTGCTCGGTCAACGGGCGGGGGCAGAAATTCCTGCCTGTGAAGCAGTTTCAGATGTTGTGGTGCGAAGCACCCAGCTGCTGACCAACGCACTTTAGGAATCATCTGCTTGGCGAAGGTGATGGCGGTTCGACGACCACGCGACTGTCGCGTCCGCGCTCTGCTCGCCATTCCCCAAAGCTTCTCGGTACAATAAACAAGGCTCTATCATGAGGCCAGACGTCGAGGCTCAGAGGCCACCGTTTCCTCGGCGCTGCATTGACATGCCTGTCATCGTCGGTTGAGCGAGCATTTTCTTCCAAATTTAGCCTGCATCCAATACTGAAAGTACATGTATCCCATCAATCCATCGAGGCTGGTCGACCATCAAAACGGCGTAGTGGATATTTCCTGCGATTGCACGGTTGGCAATGGGAACCAACGCCTATATGGGCGTAGCGAGGAGCACTCACTACGGCAGCTCTCGCGTGCCTGTATGGAGCCGAGTGGTGTCAAAGCTCCGTGCAGTGCACTAACGAGTCAGTGACGACGGAGCGATCGGCGCATGCCCGTCGGAAGTTCCGACTCGGAACGACTCAAATAGTGGCCTGTCCTTGTGTGCCAGTTTTTTTTTATTCGTCGGACCACTTCAACCACGCACAAAGCGAATCGTCACCTTCCGCGATCTTTTGATGAAAAGTTACAGCAGAATCTTCCATCAAGAAAACCGCGTCAGCCATGGCAGTGATCTCCTTACACTGAAATACATGTACTTGTATGTATTAATAGTGTATGAAGGTTGCTGCACTTCAGGCGCGTCTGTATTAGCAGTGCAAGAACAGACACGCTTGAAGTGCAGCGTGCTCGAATGCGACAAGGAGAGTGGCTTCGTACACAGTAATTAAAAGGGGCGTTTTTCACTCGGAGTGGGATGTCAACTGTGGGATAGTGTATCCCCTATCCACGCAGATTTGTGTGGTTTTCTCGTCGTAGAAATCTGCGGTCCTGCGTGCCTCTCCCTCCATTCGAATCCGCGCGCTCCGACAGCACCGTTAGCATCCCCGGAGCTCCACAATGTCTCGCCGCCGGCACGCCGGCGTCCTAGCAGAGGTGGCACATAGCTCGGGGGTGGAGAAGACGCCTCGTCAGCGAGCGAAAGCTCAGGGTACGTCTCGTCGTCCAGAGAGCAAACAGAAGAGAGAGGAGACAGCGATTTTCAGAGTCCGCTTCCTGCTACGTTTCGGAAGTCCAAGAAAAGAAAGAAGAGCAGCTCTCAACCGAGGCACCAGAAGAGCACGCGTCAAAAGAAGAGGCGGTCGCGGCGCTTATCGTCGCCGCCGAGACATAGTTCATCATCCGACTCGGACGCTGAATCGGATTAGTCTTCTGAAAATCAACATGAACCTACACCAATGCGTCTTAGCCCTCTGGAGAACACTATCCGCGTTCCAGAACTGGATGTGAAACTCTTTGCGGACTGGGAGGATCTAGAGCGCTACTTGGGGAGCTACAGCAGGCGAACGCACCAGGTATGTTTATTGTGTGGATCTAAATGTCTGTCAGTCTCAGACTGTGTACAAGTCTTGGTATTACCAAATGAGAACTTACTGCTTTTGCCACAGTTGTATTCCGTGCGTACTGCCACACCTGTTCAAGTACGAAATGAGCGTATTAAGAAGAGTCGGAATCCAATCAAACCGATTCCAGTGACTTTTTCTTTATACAACAAAACGTACGTCTGTACGCACCACGGCAGGCCACGGCGCAGCAGAGGCAAGGGCAAGCGTCCCAAACAGCAAAACCAGTGTGGTTGTTTGCTGTTATTCTCTATGCTAGCGGCCACTGGTGTGCCAGCGCTGTAAACTTTAATGAGCTCACTATCACGATATTCGACCCCCAGTTAACTGGAGACAGATTCGAGACTCTAAGAAGATATCTTCGTGATGGGCTGGTCCCGTTGTTGCCGCTGCCGCCGTCACCAAAGCGCTACCGATTCAAGCGAGTTGAATGGGTAACGCAAGTGGATGACTATAGCTGCGGAGTCTTCGTGATAATGTTTTTTGAAATGCTCCTGCTAGATGTCGTTCCGACCGGGTTTGATACTTTGACTGCGCTGCAGTACTTCCGCTATAGGTACATCAGTCAGATTGTAAGCACAATGTAATCTCATATTGCCTACACTATTGCATCGCTGCTTAACGTATAAGAATTGATCATTAGCTGCGTAGCGGACTCGTTGTTTTAGGCAGCCGTATTAGACACTGTGTTTTTTTAATTCTGGAAATCTCTAAGATGCACGTCGTTCCTGTTGTTAAGACAGTTTAGCCGATAGCGCTGTTTGTTCTATGAAGAGAAGCGTGACCACAGCTGCCAAGGGCTGTCCAAATTGCTCGCTCTATGAAGAGAAACCTGGCTGCCATCTGGCAGCTATACCCAGCACATGGTGAGGCTATCCACCAGATACTGTGCAGGACTGTGCACGACTCTGCAAGACACTGCAAAAATTGCTGACTCATACCCTTCAGACTGTGTACGTAGCCTCTGCCATGCGACAAGACTGCACGAAGGGAATTAGCAACGCTTCAGTACACTGTACTGTATTGAGTACAGTAAATGGTTGACTTATACATGTAGTCAACGACTATACAGTACTATACGGTATCACCATCATTGTGTCCACGTAAATCGCTTTTCATTGGCGCTCAAAAAGCTCGATGAATCCTCGTTCTGGTAGTTCTTACTCAAACGCGATGACTTCCGCCAGATCCTGGAGCACTGCATCAAGTGACTCACTGTAGCCATCCTCTTCCGGCCCGTCGACAGCAGCAGCAGCAGACTTGGCGAAGCACACGCGGAACGCTCGCACTTCGATCGCCTGCAGCGTCACCGACGTGCCCTTCACCGGCAGCGAACGAGGAGTCCATCCGTACGCGTCGTCCGTGGTTTTCCACTGCATACCGGTCCCCTCCTGCTGCTCAGCCAGCTCCTTGGTGCCTGTCAGCACCAGCTCCTTCACCTCCGACACGGCCGCGTTCTTCACAGAGAACAAAGTCGAGAAGTCCACCGTCACAGGCTTCGACAACGTCGAGTGCTCGTCCACAGCGTACAAGTGCGACAGACGCACCATCAAACACTGCTTCGTCAGCTCCTGTAGCGTCGTCAAACCCACGTTCTCAGGAAAGTCATTCACCGTAAGCCACGGCACCTTCGCTTCCACTTCCGACGGTACTGGTTTGCGGAATATCGTCAGTGGACGGAAGAACTGAGCCTCCATCTTGGAGCGGATACTGCGCATGCCGTCCTCAGCCGAGTCCACGTTGACGAAGAAGTTGCCGCGAACCACCAGACCCTTCGTCACTTGCTTCTTCGTAGCCGAGTCGTACACAGACTCCGTCTCGTTCAAGTGTTCACTCACTCCTTTGTTGTCGTCAGCCAGCAGACGACGATGAACCATCACCTCCACCTGGCCATCCACCAGACTCGCTGCTCCTTGCGCACGATCCGTCACGACGTTCAACTGGTGCGTCTCGTCCTTGATGTACGCTCCCGTCGTGATGGGGAAGTAGTTGGCCGCCACCGCCTCCTGGTTGTCGTGCAACGTCAAGTTCCACGTGTCGCGGTGGTTGCGCACACGCTTCATGAACTCGAGTCCGTTCGAATCCGTGTACAGCGTAGCGTCAGATGCGATGCTCTTGCCGGCGTCGAAGCGCAGAATCACCTCCTTGCCCGTCTTGTCGTCAATGGGGACAGGTCCGACCGTCCACTCGATCTCCAGGAACTCGTCGTTGTCGTTCACACGGTACTCGAGCGTGACCCAGCTACCAATCTTGAAAGCCACACGCGGCACACTGGCTAGACCACCGTTCGCGGCCGTGTGAAGCTCCACCATCTCCACGTCTAGTAGCGAGTTCTCTTTGCCCGCAACGGGGTATGTTTTGTTCGAGTCGGGACGGAACACATACGCCCCAGACTTAGGTCCGCCAGCTTGGAACGCCTGGTAGTACGCGACGTCAAGAGAAAGCGGGATCTGAATGTTCTTCTTCTTGTTGGCGAGCTTCGTGATGGAGCCCGTGGTCTTGCTGATCTCCGCTCGCATCAGGTGGTTCTCCAGCACAATCACGTCGTCGGTAGCATCCAGACTGTCAGTAACGATCTCTTCAGCTTCAATATCCTTCTGCTTGACCGTGAACCGCGTTGTGCTCAACGGCTTGAGCTCTGCACTGAACACGAACGAGTACGGAGCCACCTGCACTTCAGGATGCACTGGCAGCGCCACATAGACGTTCTGTTCACGGACTTTGGCGTTACCCGAGAGCAGCGTCACCTCTGCCGACTTGTGTGTGATCGGGATCGAGAACGTCTGCACACTTGTACGCGCCAGTGCATTGTGCACCAGAACTTCAAAGTTGGAGTTCTGGGTGGACACGTCGCACACACTCGTGTTGGCTAGCAGACACAAGTGGTAGGGCTCTTTGTCTCCAATCACGAACAAGACCTCGTTCAGCTCCTTCTCCGCCTTGATGATGCCGTCATTTAAACGCAGCGAATAGTCGTCAGCAACACTCTGCTTCTCCGTTCCAGAGACACCGTCGTGGTGCTGAACGAGCCCCACAGCACGCTGCAATGCAACTAACGGAGACGAGTGGTGGCTTTGATACACGGCGTCAATCTGTCGCACTTGCTGCAGTAGAGTGTTCGCCACACGTGCGAACCGCTTCAACGTCGGTCGACTGGTGAAGAAACCGGACCAGTAATCGTCTTGAGCCGATCCATACGGGAAAAAGTCGTCGGTCTTGACACTCCACGTCAGTCCTTCTTCTCGCTTCACGTCCGTGTAATACGACAAGTTGGAGTACAGTACATTCACTCGGCCGTCCTGGTTCACATAGTGAAGGATCTTGTCCATGTTCTTGAACCAACGAAGCGAATTGTCGTACTGGAAGTCGCAGCCCATGGGGATAAAGACGTGGTTGCCTTTCGAATGGTCGCCGCGCATCTTGGCATTGCTGACGAACTGTTCCACTTCGTCACACACGTCATAGTCGTGCAGCTCCGGGTCGTCTTGGATCTGGTTGCCGTTATTGCCAAAGTCAAACTTCCCAGGTGGACAGTAGTGGTCAATGATCTCTCCAGTGAACACTTGCGACGCCTTGCCACGAGACTTGCTGGGACGCCAGATAAACTCGAGATCCTTGTTCTTCTTCCGGTTTCCGTAGTCCTGGTAGTCGATACGAGCGAAGTACAGCGCATCGAAGCCCACACCTTGCGACAACAGCGAACCTTGCGTGGCCGAGTGGCCGAACGGGTCGATCTGCCAACCGATACGCGGACTGATGCCGAATTCGTCCATGAGCAGCTGATGGCCGTACGCGGTCTGGTCCACCATGGCGATATAGTGCGGTGTGGCCTCGTCGTGCATGCACCAGCCGCCATTGACCGTCAGGTCTAAGCGGCCTTCGCGTACGAGTTGCTTGACGATGCCGCGCACCTCGGATCCTTGTTGATGCCACCAACGTTGAAAGAATGATTGCTCCACGTACATGAACTGGCGGTCCGGGTTGCGCACGAGCTCTTCCACGGCCGTATCCAGGATGTACTGCACTCTTTGGGTATAGTACTGGTCCACGCTGATGAGCCAGCCAGGATCGTCATGAGAGTGCGCAATGAGGTGAACGTTGAGTTTGTTTGGGTCCACGCGACTTGATGTGTTGTACACGCCGTCCGAGGGAGGCTTCCACTTGCTCGGGTCGCAGGTAGCGGCCGCACTCGCAGCTAGTAGAGCTGATGCGAGCGTTCCTAGCACACGCATGACAGAGATAAAACTAATCTTCTCGCTGCTTGCACGCGGATGAGGAAGTGTCAAGGGGAAATCAGGTGCGATCTATTGCTTCAACACATCCGCATCCACCGAGCACGATTCATTTTTGAATTGATTACTTAGAAGTCAACTTCAAACAGAACGTTGAACGGAATGATCCTTTCAGTCAGGCTCACCTGCCCACTTCTGGTTCATGACCGCCGCGCCGCGGCCCGCGGAGCCTTCGCGGCACAGTCGACCTTTTAGTTATAGTACTGCATGTACGTAGAAGTATTGTAGCATGCCTTGCATCTCAAACATTAGGTAAGACGACAGCTACAAGCGAAGAGAGCACCAAAGCAAAAGTGAGAAGAAGATTGTTAAAAAGACTAGGCTGGCATTCTGATCATATCAAACTCATGGGGCCTGCAAATGGCAGCTTTTGTGGAGCCGCACAGATAACTACCGTACTTTTTCCTCTGTTCGCGTCTCTAGAGACGCTTACAGGTTGCCACGGATACGCTCCGAGACGTCACCAATGCTGTGGTGAGCGGCGGACCAGGCGCAGTGGTACAGACCCTCACGGTCCGTGCGCTCATAGGTGTGGCCGCCGAAGAAGTCACGCTGGGCCTGAGTCAGGTTGGCGGGCAGACGCTCACGACGGAACGTGTCGTAGTAGTTGAGCGAGCCCGAGAACGAGGGCGCAGGGATGCCACTAGCCACAGCCAGGGACACCACGCGACGCCACGAATACTGGCGAGCCTGCAGCTCGGCGGCGAAGTCCGGATCCACCAGCAGCGAGATCAATGACGCGTCCTTAGTGTAAGCCGACTTGATACGGTCCAAGAACTTGGCACGGATGATGCAGCCGCCCTTCCAGATGCGAGCACACTCACCCAAGTCAACGTTCCAGCCCATTTGGACACCAGCCTCACGGATGAGGTTCAGGCCCTGAGCGTACGAGCAGATCTTGGAGGCGTACAGAGCCTGACGCACGTCGTCGATGAGCTGCTGCTTGTCCACAGCAGGGATCTCAGACGGACCCGACAGAATCTTGGAGGCGAACACGCGCTCGTCCTTGCGGGCGCTTAGGTAACGAGCGTCCAGAGACGCAGTGATGGTGGGGGCGGCGATGGAGCGCTCAGCAGCCTCCTGCACGGTCCAGCGACCAGTGCCCTTCATGCCAGTCTTGTCTAGGATCTTGTCAACGACGTAGCCATCGTCCGTCAGATCGTCCTTTTTGGCGAAAATCTGAGCCGTGATCTCAATGAGGAACGACTCGAGCTCGCCCTTGTTCCACTCGTCAAAGACGCTGGCCAGCTCATCGTTCGTGAGGCCACCAGCGATCTTGAGGATGTCGTAAGCCTCGGCGATCAGCTGCATGTCACCGTACTCGATGCCGTTGTGGACCATCTTAACGTAGTTGCCCGAACCGATGGGGCCAAGGTACGTAGTGCAGGCACCGTCGTCCACCTGGGCGGCACACTTGGTGATAATGGGCTCGAGAGCGTCGAAGGCCTCCTTGGGGCCACCAGGCATAAGCGAAGGGCCGTTGCGGGCGCCCTCCTCACCGCCAGACACGCCCATGCCCACGAAGTGGATGCCCTTGGGCTCCAGCTCGCTGGCACGACGAACACTGTTGGGGAACCACTCGTTACCGCCGTCCACGATGATGTCACCAGGCTCCATGAACTCCGAGAGCGCGGCGATGGTCAAGTCCACAGGCTTGCCGGCCACCACGAGGATGACAACCTTACGGGGGCGCGCGAGCGAGGCCACAAACTCCTTCATGTCCTTGAAGCCCACAAGCGGGAGGTTGCCCTCGTCCTTGGCGCGCTGCACAGTGGCGTCCACTTTGTCAGGCGAGCGGTTGCACACCGACACCTTGAAGCCGTGCGACGCCATGTTGAGCGCGAAGTTCTGGCCCATAACGGCCAGGCCGAAAAGTCCGATGTCCGAGAGGTCAGCCATGGTGGAAAGATAGAAAGGAGAAAGTTGGTGAAGGAGCTGAGCTCTAGTGCGCAAAATGCGGAATGACGAAGTGGAGGGGGAAGATCTTGACACGCTGACGACGAAGTACGGTACCCATATTTGCCGAATAATTTAAGTACAGAGGTCCCTCCCGTTTTGCGTGGATGGGTATGGAGTCGTCTCCTGCAGGTTCATTTATTGCTAAGGGTTTAAAACACACAAATCGTAAAGCTTCTGGATAAACACTTAAATCTTATACGATCAAACAGGTGCCCAAAGCGAGAGGGACTGTACCGTACACCGATGACGAGGTCATTTTTGTTTGCAGTTTTCGAGATTTTCGAGACATGAAAAGACCTCAGCCAAAAACGAGAAACGATACGGAGACAGTGTGTCCGTGTCCTTCGACAGTAATACTCCTGTATTTGCTGAGAATCATACAGGAGCCGGGTACCCTAGCTACTCAATAAATGACAGTAAGTGCTGCTGGTTTTACATGCTACTGTATCATTTAGATACAAGACCAACATGGTTAAGGTTCTCACAAAATACATGTCAAGTATTTTGTAATGTATACACTGTATACAAAAACATGCTTACCGAAACAGATCAGTACTGTATGTACAACAAAGCACACCAAAAAGCCACGTCACACCAAGCACCAGTATTACGGGGGTGTGACAAAGGTTGGCAGGATTCTAAAAGGAAAACCGTAGATACCTCGCGTTTTGACCACCTGTTTGATCGTTTTTAATTTAGATGTTCATTCATCAGAGTATTGATCTGTGTAAATAAAACCTCTAGAAGTGAATGAGCTGAGTCCCAAATTCTTATCGCGCAAAACTAGAGACTTCCTTTACCATGATGACAGAGGTTGGCACTTTCAGTTTTGAAACATATGTAGATACTAGGCAGGGTTCTTCGCGAATTAAAATCGCTGTCCTCAGCGATGCTCTGCATACTCATCCCAAGACTTGTAGGGGCCAACGGCGCTCAATGCCAGCAAGCGGTGACACTGCATTGCGGTCTGCAGCTACGCAGTGTATGGCTCACCCACCCATAGCTCCTTTAAAACGAATTGAACCTAAATCACGCGACGCCCGAAGTGTTTACAGTGATTGTTCGCACTATGATAGCGACAAGATGGTGCGAGCCCACAGCGATGATTCCGTGCCAGAAATGTTCGTCGACATCTCGCGACACGTGAATTCCACCGCAGAACTGGTAATCAAGCCTTGATTTAAGGAGACACGGGCGCAAATCATTCTTTTAACTGGGGGACAAAGAGTTTTATATACTTCATTAAATGTCAAATTTTGAAGTACATGTACATGTACTTAAGTTTCCCAACTCTTTTAACCCTTTAAAAAGATTGAAGTACCGGTAGTTACATGTATTAGTACTATACTACTACTACTGCAGAACCTCAAGTACTACTGTAGTAAAACTAGTAGTACTAGGAAACTACAGTCTAACATTCTACTACTCTGTAGTACGAAGTACTAGTACAACATGTTTTAATACTACTGTTGAACTGTAGTTATATGATCAATGCTATTGTACAAGCTCAGGTATTATAGTTGGGAGCGCTCAGACATCCAAGGAAAATTGGAGCCTCAAGCGGCAAGTCGGGTGGCAACCCGACCGCCATCAGCAAAACACTGCGAATCTTTAAGGGATAATTTTCTTCATCAACAAGCTCCACGTGTTAGGAATTTACAAAACTGTCCAGGAGCTGGAAGCTGATCGGACAGCAACTCCACGGTCCATTGATTTCGGCGGTTCAGTCCCACTTCTGGAAAATTCGATCACAACTTGATTGGTCGATCTTAGATGCAAAACAATTCATAAACCAATCAGAAGCTGTTGTGGACGATTGGTTTGCGCTGCTTCAGCATCTGAGGCCTTTTCATCTCTCCGTCAGAACACGATTTAGAATTGCGAAGTCAAGTGGGTCTTCATCCTGGTGCACCATGTGCTAGAGCTGGAGGCGGCTTGGGGAAATTCCCCGGACACCAGGGCAGAGAGTGCCAGCGTCTAAGCGCAGACTCCCTCAGCGATGAAGCTACGCGGAGATGGCTCACTTCGGTGGGCCGGAGCTTTCGGCGGATTCGTGAGGACTGATGGTCATACTAAAAGTTATGCAATTGGCTCAGCGGCACATGGCGGACGTCGTGTCGTCGTCGCTTTGAGCTAACCCGACGGGGATTACTCATGTTGTGTTCTCCACGACACCCAAGACGAAGGAAGAAATTATAACGTGCCTCGGCCGTGTTTCTCAACGCGGCGGAGTGTGTGTATGTATGTGCATCCATGTGTGTGTTATATTTGTGTTGCATTTTGTTATGGAGCGCGTTGATGAAGAAAATTATCCCTTAAACATTCGCAGTGTTTTGCTGATAGCGGCCGGGTTGCCACCCGGCTTGCTGCTTGAGGCCATAATTTTCCTTGGATGTCTGAGCGCTCCCATTTTACCATTTGCATATTTATTTTAGCTTATGAGTACAAGGATTAAAATTTGACATGCGCGTCGTTTGAAGGTCGTACTGTAGTGGTCTTCCTGATGAAACGACAACCTAGTTAATCCATTTCTAATGAGTACTCAAGACTGAAAGTTCATAACCACTGTACAGTAGTGTAGTTGCTTTTACGGGGTAAAGATTTAACTCAACCTTTCACAACCCAAAAAAGTTGTCGCATTCGGTTCTCTTGCAATGAAAAATGTCGTCGCTTGGCATCCACAATTGGATGGAACTGTAGTGCATTTTGCAGTTGACTCAGTTGGTACGATATGTTGCCACGACTGAGCTCGAAGGTGCACCCAAAACGTTCGTTGCTGGCAATTGTAACTCCGCCATCAAGTTGCGAAGGCAAGGTAGAAAGTTACAATTGTTTGCCGTCACCTTCCGCCCCACTAGCTGGACCTGAGCCAACGTCGTCCACAGTTCAAGACCACACACGATGGTTTTACAACTACCCGCGCCTCAGCTTCGTCATACTTTTCATTGTTTGCACCTACATCGGAGGCATCTACGTCTCCACGAAAGTCACTGCGTGGACTCTTGACCTGCTTGGAGTTCACGCAGAACTCACTGCCGCCAGAGAAACATACGTTGCTACGAGCCGCATGTTGAACACAATGACGGAGTGTGTAGATCGGAGCTCGTTGGAGTACCTGGCCATCTCAAAAATGCAATTTGAAGCCGACAGCAAACGTGTCCAGAAAATCATCGATGCTAACGACAAAATACTTGCCGACCAGCGGAATGCAACAATGACATGTAAGTCCGACCGTCATAGTTTCTATCTTTACTAACCGTTCACAAACGTTTTGCCAGGTTCCAAATCATTCTTATCGACTTTAAAAGAGCAGGTGGAAACGACATCAAACGAAAATTCGACTCTAAGTTGTTTCTCGGACAGTTATTACGATAACGTGCCGGAAACCGAAGCTGTGTCGTCCTCAAGGGCTTTAGTACTTTCAGTGCGAACACTATTGACGACCCAAGCTGTGTCGACGGCGAACGATAGTGTATCCAAGCAGCAAACTCATTTTAAAAATCAACTCCTGGAAATGTGGAATGCCGTCGACACGGTCAAATCGTCGATAGAGAAGACACTCGCAGCTACAAACTCCTTGGCCTCCAAGGAGTTGCAATCACTGACACCAATACTATCGAATAGTGATGGGAGTGGCCACACAAAGCAGTCGGCGTCTCGGTTTGGTCGTCTAGGCAAAGTAATGTCGTCGGAATTGTCGGACCCGCTGACAATAACGTCATCAACCAGCGTAGAAACCATACAAAAAGCTGGTCGAACACTCCACAAAGCGCTCGAGTTTTTAGCTAAATTACACGATGGTTTTACAGGCGTCATGGACACAGTCGACGAGACTTGGGGGTTACTGGAGAAGCAGCTAAATGCCACTGTCCAACAGGTCAACCAGCTGCAGAAAGAGCTGGCTTACGTTGCTGAGTCGACGGCACAACAGATTAACAACACAAGCACCGCCGTTATGACGAGTTTGAACCAGACTCAACAGGAAATATCCACGTCATTCGACATCCTGCGCGATCAGTGGCAAAACGCTGTCAACAAGTTGGTGGGGGACGGCTTCACGCCATGGAAACGACTCGGAGACCAACTTGTTGCCGAACTCACGGCAAATCAGCGTCAAAGCGAGAGACCGGAAAGCGCGATCCAACGCAAATATCTATTGCCAGATAGAACGTCCAATTCAAGTTTGAAACAAGAGCATGCGAAGCTGACACGTGATGAAAGTTTGCACAACTCAACGTCGTCTGCCTCTGCTGACAGTAGAGACAAATTTGATATCGACACTGCTGTGCTGCGTGCGTCAATAGTGGACCTGGGTGTTTTCATCACTCAAGTGGTTTTCTACGTGGATATTGGTCGTCTCACTCTGTTGGCCGCTGATCTTGCAGTTGGGCTAATTACCGAGTCGTATTCGGATATGCCGATGCTGGATATACGAGACATCACCACAGTTGACACGATCGGAAGCGTCTGCGAGGTTTTCCTCTGCCAGCACAGCTTTTCAGCTGTGTGCTATACGCTTGTGGCAAAGGCATCCGAGTTGATGCGATTTCTGGTAACATTTTTGCTGCTCTTCTTCGCTGCTTCAGTTGTTACAGGAGGGCTATTCATGTGGAAACAAGACCATATTGCGCATTGCAAGGCTTCAAATGTGATAACTTCCCCAACAACAATTCAAAGTATCACCAGAACATTTTTTGAGAACAATGGCAACAGCAGCAAAACCGTCGGAAATCCACTTCATGAGATCCAGAAGTACGCCACCATCATCAACGATTCGATCCACAATGACTACACCGCACTAGAGCTGGACTCGGTTGTCGTGTGGAAGAACCAGTCTGCGCTGCTGGATGATTTCAGTGACTGCGCAACAACTACGAGCAGTTTGGTTCGAATGCTTCAAGACTGCACAGCGCAGAGTGGCGGCAATTGGATGACTCCTGTGGAGGAGTCGTCTCTTTCAAGTCAGTGCTTGACAAGCACACTAAGCAACATGTCAAACATTGTGACTCCAACTTCCACCGCAGAGGAATTGAGTGGAAAAGCTCCTTTTTTAGAGCCAACCAACGCATTCACATCGTGTTTTCCAGAAGAAGAAATGTTGCAAATTGGACGTGAAGAAGTTGTAGCCAAGCTGCAACACAAACTCGCATGTGCAACTGAAAAGGCTGTGTACCTCTCATGTGCGTCGTGGTGGCTACTGGTCGTCATCTTCGTCGCGAACCGCTTCACGGTGAGGATGATCATCAAAGCTGCAGGCGTCTACTGGTGGCGCTTCCTCAGTGCAAATCGCCTGGAATTTGTGGGTTTTTGCCAGGAAGACGGAAATATCGAAGCAAGTGACAAATTGCCAAAAGCGATTCAGCAACATTTGCGTCAAGCAAAATGGCAAAATATTGGTCGCTTGGCCGGTATTGCATTTTCATTTACCTGTGTCGTCGCTGTTGTTGCCATTATTTTCCATGGAGTTGCCTGACGATAAAGCAAATAATAAAAAATTGCGTTGAGATCTATAACTTCAATCTATTGATTATCTACATACGGGAAAGTGCAGGCAAGCGAGCCAACACTTCGGTCTCGCTGGTAGTGGCAGGTTGCACTCCTGGCGGTAGTTTACGGAACTTAGAAACACGCAAGGCAAGTTGTTCCAGCTCGCCATCCTTCACGTACTGTGAAGACAAACTCAAAAGTTGCACTGCTGGTTTGTTCGCATTGGGCTTGCTCTTCTCCTTGCTTGGAAGACGTCGACTGGAGAGAACTCCCCACCGTTCCAGCAATGCCAAGGCGTTTTGCAAGGTTTCACGAGAGCAAGACTCGTAGAAACTTATAAGTTTCTCATGATACATCGTCTCTGCGAGCCATTGCAAGCGCTTGAGCAAGTCTTCGGTGCTAACTTCACCGTGTGGACGCAACGCAAACAGACTCGTAACAGCGACCCAGTAGCTGTCGATAAATGGCCACATAAGCGTACTCAACAGCGATAACATCGCGCCGTCTGCTGCCTCCAGTCGCGATGAGGAAGTAGCCACAGGAACGAGAACATTGCGCGTTTCAAGCTGTGCTAGTGCCTCAACGAGATGTGCGCGATCAGCCTCCGGGTCATCTTTGCGAACGAACTCCATCGTGAGCATCTCGTACAGGAACAACGCGCCGTCGAGTAATTCCTGACGATCCACTCCAGATTCCGAGTTGCTTGATACTGACTGTGAGCTGCTACCCCCAAACGGCAAGTTAAACGCATCCAGAGCTTGATACGCACAAGCCACGACACCTTCGCGGTTAAACCAGTGTAGAATTTTGTTACGGTAGTAACCGAGGCCGATCATGTTGGGGTATTGCTCACGCTGCAGAATACAAACAAGTTAGAAATTACTCAGCAATTGTCATTTACACTCAGTGACTTACACTGGTGATGGCAGGTTCGACGAGATCTTTGCGTCGCATAGTGACGAGTTCGTGAAGCAGCTCAAGTGCGCGGTCTACGACGACGGTAGGCGAGCGACCTTGAGTGCCAACGACTCGACCCCCACGACGTAGGATCTCTAGTCTCAGCCAGTCAGCTTGGCGCACCAGCTCCTGCTTGGAGATGCCTTGACGATACACCAGCAAGATAGCAGCCACAACATGTGACATCGCACACGTCGCATTGTCAATCAACGCGTCCGTGATAGCATAGCCCAGATCCTCGACGATAGCTGACGTGGGCACAAACATCTCTTGCTCTTCAGCACGTGTAAGTGCTGCATCCACGTGTTGTTTGACGTCCAAAGGTACACCGAATTTCACTGAAATGGACCCAAACTTCTTGCGCACAATAGGCATGGCTTTGAACAGCGCACTGATCGACTGTACACCAAAGATATATTAGTACAGAACAACACACACACACAATAAAACAACATACCTCCCGGATCTTGCCTTCTCCAAGAAGTTCATTCTGGTGTAGCAGCACTTCTAGCGGCTTCTCGTAGTCGATAGTCACGGGTACAATGTAGAGCTGACAGGATAAAACAACCGTCAGTGTAAGTCTTCAAGCGTACTGACATAGATACAATACTCACGTTCTTGACTTTCTCCGATAGATAGCAGTCGACGACGGTGTTCAAGATGCCAAACTTGGGGTGCAACTGCTTGCCGCTTCGACTGCGTGAGCCTTCAATAAAAAACTCGATCGTGTGTCCTCTTGACACCAGATACTGCGTGTAAGCACGAAAGACAGCAGAGTAGAGCGGATCGTCCGAGAAAGAGCGACGAATGAAGTACGCGCCGGACTCCCGCAGTAGTTTACTAAGACTTCCCATGTGCAGGAAATCTTCCCCAGCTGCGACGTATGGAACGGGGATATTGTAGGCAAAAAACACGTAGCTCATGAGCAGGAAGTCGACGTAGGACCGATGAGTAGGCACAAGAACGACACTTCCACGGCGCTCAGCCAGCAGCTCACGGATACGTGTGAGTCCCGTTTCATCCACGTGGATCTGGTCGTACATGTTGCGGCACACCTTCCGCAAAAGCCATCCCAACTTACGCACAGCCTTGTAGTCCAGCTGTGCAGCCATAGTGCTCAGTATACTGGCAGCTTGACGCTCGACGTCGTCGATATCCATGCCGTAAGCCACTGCGCGTTCTTTAATAGCTGCACGGACGACGTCGGACTCGAGAACACTATTACGAAGACCGCCCACAGACTCCACATGCGGCCTTGGGACGTGCGAAGCCTCGTGGTTCATACCTTCCTTCCATCCGGTGATACCCATAACTCGACCAAGGAGACCAGACTTGGTGTAGCCAGGCTTCCGACTGGACGTGTACGCCCACGCCACGTCGGAAAGAAGTCCAGGGAACGAAATCGCGTGGTGATCCGGATCCCAATCCAGAATCCGCCCCGTACTCAGAGCCAGCTGCGTTTGATTCACTCCTTCGATATCCACGTCGATTACGTCTTCATGCAGCATATATTTCTTCAACCCGACGCAGTAATTCAGTACGTATCGCTCCCACGCGATCTCGTGCGAATCGATCCAAAAATCTTTGGTAGCGTACGGTCTGAGAGTCTTCTCTGCAGCATCTGCAACGAAGATCCACTGATTCTCAGTGAATGGCTTGAATAACTCCACGAGATTTCGTGCACGCCACGTGAGCTGCCACAGCTTTGCTGCATTTTTAATGTGTCCTGGATGTCCGCTTTTGTTCGCAACAGTTGAATACACAGACGACGGTAGCGCGTACGTGAGGAACCATTGGATCTGGAAGCTTTGATGGGTTGGGATCATGGAGAACTTGGCTGGGAAGAGTCCACGTGCTGGTGGGTTCTTGCGGAAATACTCAGGTACCAGTACACACGGTATACGCCAACGTAGCGGGTTTTGTCTTGGATCTGACGTCCCACAATGCACCACCATCGGTTTATTCACTGCGACGTCCTTAACCAGCGGACAAGACGGTTCGGACGACACACGCGAGCTTTCATGCTCTTGTATCTTCGCACAGATAGAGAGAAGAATGCTGTTAACAGCCAAGTCCACTGGAACAATGTCCGCGACGTTTCTTGGATCACCCGGCAGCATAGTCAGCACGCCCATACCTGCAGCTAAGAAGATAGCGCCTGCTGCAGCGATCTGGTCGATCCAGCCAGGCATCGGCTCTTTCCAGCTTGCACCGATAATTGTCGGACGGTAAATAATTAACGGGAAGTTGGGTGCGATCTCTCTAACCAGTAAATGCTCCGTCATGGATTTCGTGAGCGTGTACGTGTTGGGATACGTCCCCATGAGGTTCACTCTCAGTCGCTCCAATTCACTGGGTGACGCGGTTGTCACTGCCCTCAGTGCGTCGTGAGCATCGAAATCCAGCGGATACAGTTCCTCCGAGATCCTCGTATCTCGTCGATTACTGTTCACGTAGGCTGTAGACACGTGCAAGTGGCAGCGGATTCCTGGACAGCTTTGCACGAACTTTGCAATGTTCAGAGACCCCACGCAGTTCATCTCCACTGCCACTTCCAGCGGCTCGTCGAACTGCACGGTAGCTGCTGAGTGGATGGAGATCTGCACACAGGCTCTTAATAGTCGCGCATCTTCTGCACTGAGACCCAAATCGGGTGTCGTGATGTCTCCTGCAATTGCGTGTAGCTTTTCTCTTGCAAAAGCTTCAAAGTCATTGGGTCGTTCGGCTCGTAGACGATCGAAGACGCGACTGTCGATGATTTCCTTCTGTAGACGCTCAGCTGAAGCCACACCCTTGCGGGGGCGGATCAATACAAATATCTACATGATTACACAATGCAGTGACAGTTGTGGCGTGAGAATTAAGAGATGTTACTGAGGATGAAGAGAAGTTGTTACCTTGGCGATGTTTGGAGTGCATCGCAGCAGCTTTTCGATCACGGTCTGCAGTGCGAAAAGTGGGAAATGGAGTAAGTAAAGGTAGAGGAAGATGGTGGAATGGTGGTAGGTAGCATACTTTGGCCAGGAAGCCCGTGCCGCCAGTGATAAAGAGACTTTGGCCCGCGTAGATCTGCTCCATGTTGCGAGTGACACGTTTTAGCGAACTGGGCGGGCCTGACGTACGCTGGAATGTGATTGGTGGATTATCGACAGAAATAAATTTGAAAGGTACCGGTGCTGGTACATGGCTACATAATGCAAGTTCAAGCTGTCTTTTTCATGGACCACCGCAGCATTTTCCAGGTAAGGCTTGGTCGTTATAATACGATGTGGTAACCTGCAGCTCCGTGTCAGAGGTGTTCCATAAATTATAAGTCCACCGAAGCTTCTATTCGGAATAGATGTGAGCTGTGCACATCATTCGATGCGAAGCTCAAAATCTGCCTCAAGAGAACGCATTTCGCTTTCGCCACACATTATCAGCGTAGAGGATGAATAGCATGCTGCGACTCGCGCTTATTGCGGCCCTCATCTCCGTCTTCTTTCCGAGCACAACAAGCTTCCAGATCGGTAGTAGCCAGAAAGTAGTGTGGGCAAGCAACTGCGACTTCCCTGGTAACGACTACCGCTCGTATAGCAGCATCTCCGAGGTGTGTGGGGATGTTTGTGCCAGCGAAGCGGTCTGCACACATTGGGCGTGGAGTGAATACAACGGCGGAACCTGCTGGCTCAAGAAGGGCATGCCCTCCTCCAAGGCGACGAGTTACGATACTATCTGCGGCTATGTGGTTTCTCGCACCTTGACACCTGCTACTACTAGCGGTATTTCTACTACCGACATGGAAGAAATGTTGGCGCAAACCAACTCGTATCGTGCTCAGAATGAACTTGCAGTATTGACCGTGGACCATCGTTTAGTCGTAGCAGCCTTGCTGCATTCGCAGGACCAGGCGAGTCACTGCAACATGACCCACACAGGTACAAATATTAAGAAATTGGGGGATCGAGTAAAAGCACAAGGATACCGATACTCCGTTGCCGCAGAGAATGTGGCTGCAGGTCAAACCACAATTGAAGACGTTATGACTTCATGGTGGAACTCTCCTGACCATCAAGCCAATATCCTTAACGAAAAAGTTGAGAACGTCGGTTTTGCTGTGGCCACAAATGAAGCTTGCAGCGACTATAAGACCTACTGGACACAGGATTTCGGACGATTGGCGGGGTAACGATGCAGGTGTGAATAAATACAGGAACATATATGAACCTTGGTTGTTCAGTAGGGGTGGAGTGCACTAACAAGATCGGAAAAGGACGGCGTGAAGTGATATCCAGTTGAGTTGCAGATGTTGAAGAGCACATGTGTAGCAAAGGCGAGACTGTTACAGGTGCGAACTGACTGGTGCAGCCCCAACGCCGCGGTGAACGCGGGCACACGAAACACTAGGAGTAGTTTTCGTTAAGGAGCTAAGGCGTCCTTGCAAGGCGAAGGGAATAAAAACAATTAATACATCACTGTGATGTCTTGAACCCTTTTTTTGGCTGATAGATCTTCTGCTGCATAATTAAGAGTGTGTCTTGTTTGTTGGCGAGACGCTTGACCTTCTCTATGCATGTACATGTCGTGCTATCGAGATTAAGCCCACGACCCACATGTTTAATTTGTCAGGTAAATGTTGACCAGAATCTAACTTGTAAATGCTGGTTGTCTTTTGGATATCACATGTAACACTTACACTATTAATGATACAATCAGTAGATACTGCTGGAGTGAATTATCATTTCTTAATAATAATGTTAAAACTACTTGTATTAATAGGTATTTACATGCTAGCAAACTATAAGTACACAGCTACTAACGTAAGTAAAAGTAACGGGTAGTTGTTTACGACGCTAGCAAAGCTTAAACGGTTCAGACACACGCGAAGAAGCATGTCTGTCGATCCATTCATTATCTCCATCCAAGTCTCTGATGAAAACTCAAACAAGTACCCATGAATGTAGAGTCGTGCTCCCTCGCAGCACTCCTCGTCCTAGCTACTGAATGATCGTGCTCCACCGAAGTGTACGGAGTGAGGGAGCTCAATCGACCGTCACCTTATTCCCCAGCCGCTTCGGGGGCCCTTTAGCCACCAAAAAGATGTTTGCACGATCAACCCGAGCGAACACGAGTCAACACAACAACATACCTCAACGTCAAGACGTGTACCCGATGTTTCATCGCTCCTTTTCCTTTGATGGCCGTCAGGGTTTGCTACTTGCCACTTCACCGAAGTAGGCCGAAATCCGTGTTATTAAGCATTCAGTTTCCATTTTGACTTGTCCTACTCAACACAACACATCAATAATGCCTCGAATCTCCAACTTCGTGGTTATTTCGGCCCTCGCAGTGGGCGCCTCGATCTTCTCCACTGCTTCGGGCTATCAGACCGGCAGTGGTGGCCGCGTGATGTGGGAAAACAATTGCGACTTCTATGGAAGCGACTATCGATCCATGAGGGCCACCCCAGACGTGTGCGGTGATGTCTGTGCGATCGACTCGAAGTGTACACACTGGGCCTGCAATAACTACAACGGCGGTACATGCTGGTTCAAGACGGGCTCTCGACCAACCAAAACTGCCAAGTGGGGCACGAATTGCGGCTACGTGGTCTCCCGCAGTAAGGATCAAAACCAAGGTCAATCACAGGGCCAAACCTCCAGCAGCGGATTGTCTGCATCCGAAATGGGTGAGATGCTGGGCCGGATCAACGCCTACCGCTCACAGAATGGGCTACCTGGTCTGTCAATTGACAACCGGTTGGTAAACGCCGCCACTCTTCATTCGCAAGACCAGGCCAACAACTGCAAAATGACGCACGCCGGCTCAAATGGTTCAAGACTTGGTGACCGCATCAAGGCACAAGGTTACGACTTCAGCACGGCCGCGGAGAACGTAGCTGCTGGCCAAACGACTGTGGAGCAAGTCATGACTTCATGGTGGAACTCTCCTGGTCACCGTGCCAACCTCCTCGGAAAGAACGTGGAGAACGTCGGATTCGCAAAGGTGGTGAACAGCGGTTGCAGTAATTATGCAACCTATTGGACGCAGGACTTCGGACGCCTCGGCTAATGTAAATGTCCGTCTCGTGTCGTAAAGGCTCAGTGGTAAGCCAAAGTGTCGTATTCAAAACGATCTACCAAGAGCAACATTTGGTGTTGAATGTAGTGCGTAAGTGAAGGGTTAATATGTGCGGTGTAGCTGTAGTGAGTAACTCAAAGATATATACAATGGCGTCAATCTCCAGGCGAGCATGTTTGTTTTTAGTTTAAAAAATCTTACGAAATGAAGTCGTTCAGAGTGACGACCAAACTCGAGCAATCATCACATAATTTGCTACTGTAGCTGCTACTGTAGCTGTTTTGTGACTCACAAAACAGACTCACTCCCACAAATTGTAAGACTACCTATTGTTAGGCTACTTGTACAATACGCTGCTACAACGGCAGGTGCTAACAATTGATTCAAAATACCTTGCCCCGTTCTCGATTGGGTCATGTAGGCTCCGGTAGGCCCAATGCGAGAGGCCAGCTCATGAGGATCGTGCTATCAAGAATTGCTTTGATTGAAGAAAGTATCTTGACAAACATCAACACGTAAAAACCAATTTCCTTCTGTAGAATGAGCGAAGCTTAGCGCCAGAATATTGCTCTCTATGACCACCAAATGCTGGACTTTTATATCTGGTATTGGATAGCATTACATTTTTGTCTGCCCACCAAACAGGGACAGTATGAACGATATGAGTCGCATGTCGAAACCTTATGCTCCATCTGTGCATGTCCTTTTCCCACCGAGAGCCTATTCATACAATCGATGCTGTAGAAACCACCAAGCAGCAAGGCGACATGTGGATGTTTAACCGATGTTTCAAAGGGAGACGGATACCATCGGCTTGATCGAGCTATCCGAATGTATGTGCGCTGGTCGTAGTCCGAGAGCACAAGTCCATAGCGACAGTGCTCACTTCTCAATTTGCCTTCTACCTCATAATCATGCCGCGTTTCAGTACTTTCGCGATTATTGCCGCTTCTGTTGTCGCCGTCTCCGTTGTTCCAAGCACAACAGCCTTCCAGCTTGGAAGTGGAGGTCGCGTAATGTGGGAAAACAATTGCAACTTCAGCGGAAACGACTACCGCTGGATGAAGGCTATTCCGGTGTGCGGTGATGTCTGCGCAGGTGACTCAAAGTGCACGCACTGGACGTGGAGCAACAGCAACGGCGGCACTTGCTGGTTCAAAACGGGGCCCCGGTCGGCTAAAACTACCAAGTGGGGGACGAATTGCGGCTACGTAGTGTCTCGCAACTCCGTCGTGCAAGTCCAAGCCCAAGGGACGGCTCTAATCCAAGCGCAAGTTGGTTCTAGTAGCGGTCTCTCCCCCGTCGAGATGAGCGAAATGCTTAGCCGTATCAACTCTTATCGTGCTCAGAATGGTCTGGGTGCGCTCACTATCGACAACCGGTTAGTTATTGCGGCCACGCTTCACTCAAAGGACCAGGCTAGCCACTGTACCATGACACACTCGGGTTCAAACGGGTCAAATCTGGGCGACCGTGTCAAGGCGCAGAGCTACAGCTTCGCAATGGTGGCGGAGAACGTGGCAGCGGGTCAGAATACCGTTGAGTCCGTCATGACCGCGTGGTGGAACTCGCCCGGTCACCGAGCCAACTTGCTAAGCAAAGACGCACAGAACGTCGGCTTTGCTAAGGTGGTGAATAACAACTGCGACAGCTACGCTGCGTATTGGACGCAGGACTTTGGTCGCCTCGGATAAGGCTCAGTGGAAAGCCAACTAATTTCTCGATGTAGTTGAGTGAGTGCAGTGAAATGAGTATCGTCTTGTGATAAGTGTGAAATGAGTTAATAGAACGGCGTTTGTCCGCTTCGAATAGGGTGCTAAAAGTACAAGCTGACAAGCTATGGATAGCATTCACTCTTCTACCGGAGTTCTTTTTGGATACTTCACGACGAAGCAACAAACTTCCTCAACAACCTTTCATCCCTCTAGAATCTGCCAGCATCGGTAGCGCAGATACGGATGAGTAAGCTGGTGGACAGCTACCTGACGTATTAATTAAAGTTGCCGCCTTTACAAATTGTAAGTATGCCTTTATTGTTTGCCACCTGAATCCAAGTTCGCTAAAGATCGCGGTGACGAAGATGGCATGTGGCTTCAACAGCCGGTTCAGCTTAGTCACCTCAATGGGAGCAAGACGGGCGACAGCGGCCGGTCTCCTTTAACTTGGAAGGCTACGCACTCATCGAGTAGAACGCGTCGGTAAAGCTCAGTGATGGCGGATTAAGCCGGAGCAGTGAATGGGTGAGTCGTAGAAGCTGAGATTTTACCATGGTTCGACTGATACGAACTGCCACAAACACTCGGATTTCTTTCGTGTTTCGATGCCCTGTATTTCGGTGGCGGTTGGGAACTTGTTGCTTACAAAATCTCAGATAAACGTGTTCAGGAATTCGCTATCCGTACCGTATATTCCAATTTGCATGAGATTCCTGCGTTATATCCATAGAGTCCAAGGCTAGGACTCCTAGCTGCCAGCAGTGTTGATACATGTATCAGCACTACTGTACAGGTACTCAATTACTCGAGGTGACAGGGCCTCAACGAAATTAAGGGCGTTCGCTCTCCAGACCTGTATTACATGTAATACATGCAGCGTCAACTGGCCGCCAGCTGTTCCGCCAAGCAACGTTGCGCTTTTGGCAAAGCTTTGACGCTCAGCTTCCCGGCCTCAACACGGGATCGGCGGAATGCCCTAGTGGATGGGACTTCACGCTCTATCTCACTTTCCAATTCGTCGGGCACCAAACATTTCGCGTCGAACCTCGCAAGAATGCTCCATTCCCAAGTATTGGCGCTGTCTGCTGCCGCTGCAATGACTTTGAGCGCTTCCTCTGCTTTCCAGATCGGTAGCCAAGGTCGCGTCATGTGGAAGAGCAACTGCGACTACTACGGCGGCGACTTCCACTCCGTCCGCGGCATCCCCGACGTGTGCGGAGATACATGCGCAGACAACCGGAAGTGCACGCACTGGTCCTGGAACAACTTCAACGGCGGTACTTGCTGGCTTAAAAACGGTAAGACGGCCACCCCCACGAAGCACTGGGGTGGAGGCTGCGGGTATGTCATCGACCGCTTCACGCGCTCTAAGTTGGCCTCGGCCAACCCGAAGGGAGACCGAAACGTTGATGAAAAGGCTGGCCAAAAAGCCGCAGACCAGAATGTCGATAGAAACTCCGACCAGAATGGTCAGTCATCGCGAGCTGGTCAGGCTTCCCAGGCTTCCGGATCTACGTCGTACAATAACGGACTGACAAGTGCCGAGACGTCGGAGATGCTTGCCTCCATCAACTCGTACCGTTCTCAGTATGGGCTTGGCGCATTGACTATCAACGCTCGACTCACGGCCGCTGCCCATGTCCACTCGAAGGACCAGGCAAAGCAGTGCAAAATGGCCCACGAGGGATCGGACGGCTCCGATCCTTGGGACCGAATGGAGGACCAGGGCTACCAGTGGTCGGTTGCTGCTGAGAACGTCGCTGCCGGTCAGACCAGTGTCGAGGCCGTCATGATATCCTGGTGGAATTCGGCAGGACACAGAGCCAACATCCTAAAGGACGACGTGACAAACGTGGGGTTTGCCGTGGCCTCCAACAGCGCTTGTAGCGAGTACGCAAAGTACTGGACTCAGGACTTCGGCGCCCAGTAAGCTACTTCAATGGAATGGAATGTGCTTTAATTGTCCTGTGTCTTCTGTACTGCGTCTGTGTCGTTGTGTGTTGCTACCTGTTACTAGTACTTCAAAGTACATGAAAGTTCCAGTGCTTATCCAGGTGACAAAGTAATTGAGCCACGATCGAAGTAGCAAACATGTTGATGAGAAGCGTCAGTTTTACTTGTACCATAACTGATATGGTACGCACAACACCTTTCTGTCACGAAAATTACACGAGCGGGTGTTCCCCATAAAAACGCGTAAATGGCAACCGCTCAGTCTATGCCGCGCAGCAAACCTCGGTAGCGCCATAAGCAGTCGCGTGGTCCTTCTCCGTGTGCTGCACGGGTGCACATTTCTCGCAGCAGAAGTACACCGTCGCTGCTCGAGACAGTCGTGCGCTGTACTGCATAAGCGGGATGCCAATTCCCAACAGCAAGACAGTCGCGAGCAAGAATACCAGCAGTCCTACAGCTCCGTCAAAATTGTCTCCCATATCCCCACGCGAGATCGCACATACCGGCAGCGAGAAGGAGATCGACAGCACGAGGCTACTCAATAGCCCGATAAATGTCTTTACCGACATGAAGTACAGCGTCGCACGCATGGCTGGCTGCGAAAACTTGTTCAGATCAGGCACCAACCGCTCGACGCTCGTCTCGCCGCACGCTCGGGCACTAGCATGTGAGCCCCGTTGCAATTTCCTCGTTGAGATGTGTTCTTCCGGCAACGAGATGAAGTTGACAAGCCTCACGTCCACTTCAGCTAGCACGGCCACTAGACAAAGCACGAGGCGGAAGAAGACGAGCCCGAGACAGCACAGTGGCGCCAATAGGATGGAGAGCAGCACACCACAGACAACGATAGTAAAGGCTGCCATGCCAAGCATCGAATTTGCCAAGTGGAAAATCACGAGCTTCAGTGTGGCACGCAGCAGTGTGAACGCAGGGCCTTCGGATCCTTCGTCGTCCATTGGAGGACATTGGTGCAACGAAGGTGGAGCAGGATCGACGAAGGTCTTGTGCGATTGGGGCTTGTGTTTCTTGTGCGAGTGCCCTGCGGCTGCAGAAGCTGAAGAGCTCTTGGTAGGCGACGAGAAGCTCACTTCCTTGGACATGAGTTGCTGACTACAGAAACGGAAATGGCGAGGGGATGAGCGAAATTTTCTGATCTGATACGGTACCGTCGGTACCGTATCAAAAGAGTGCCGCCCCATTTGAATGACCGTCTCTGTTGACATCTACTGTACATGTATTAATACATGTACCGGTATCGATAGATAATGAGAACTTGAAAGGCGTTGCAAAATTCTGGTGCTCTATCGCTCGAGACCAGCTGAAAATTTTGTGATTCTTGTGAATAGTCTAGGTTTCTGTCTTGTATGGTGCAATTTTTCGTTCTAACAGTAGGTCTTTGTCTCCGCAATCTCTTGACGACTTCATTCATCATCAAACTTGTTGCATGGGCTGCTTAGTGCCGTACGAGGCCTTTGTCGCGTCCTCCGAGACGGATGGCACGTAATCGCGTGTGTAGATCGAGGAGAAGACCTCGCGGCAAAGCAGACGTGTGGTGATGCACGATAATCTCGCTACATGAGGCATTGCGACAAAGCCGCCGATTAAGAGAGCGGTGGCCACCACCAAGAAGGCCCAGAGGTTGAACCAACCTCCACAGAAATACTCGTCGCGGAAGATTGGCGACGTGAGCGCGTGAATTGGCATGGAGAACGGGATGATCACGACCATAGCGCTGAGTACGCCGACACCCAGCTTAGCAGTACCGAAGTACACCAGTACCGCGAGTGATGGTCGCGCAAAATATGATCCATCCTCGCCATAGTGCGGGATATGACCATATAATTTGTTCTCCACAGGCTCCACGAAGTTGTGCAGTGCCAGGTCGAGACGCGCGAGCAATGGCGCCAAGTACAATAATCCTTGAAATACGACGACACCTAGACAACACAGTGCCAAAGACCCAAGCGAGAAGGCGATGCCGAACAGGATCACGATAAAGCCCGAGGACGCGAGCAAATGGTTGAGTACCAGAAACACCAGCACGCGCGCGGCTTGGAGCACTACGGCCTTGGCGTCCGCGTCCGCCATTATGCTCGAAGTGCTCAGTTGCAGAATGTGACAATTTGATGATAGACACAGTGTACTTTGGTACCGTATGGTCTGATATCCTAAGACGCAGAATGAAAACATTTGGCAGCTTAAGATATGTGCAGTACAAATAGCATCGCGGCATCGCTACTGATAGTGTTTACTTGTTCATGTGCTACATGTATTATTGCTTATTTACTGTGGCACATTCATTGTTGTCTTTTGTTACAGTACTACAGTACAGTTGTTAAAGTTTTCAGTTGCCGATACTGGACCCATAGTAGGCAGTTGTTGCTGTTGTGTGAGGGTACTGCACAATTGGAATGGTGTACTCGGATGGAGAAATTCGTTCACAGCAGAAGAAGCGCGTCAAGGCTCGTGAGAGCCACGCCACAACATGCATGGACACAATGGTGAGAATGCAAAGGCAGCCCCAGAGGACGTAAAATGTGAGTGGGTACTGGCGCAAATCCACCGTCTTGTGGTGGTGAACTTTGACAAGCCAGTCGTTGTCGTCATCGTTTCCGTAGGCAACAAGCACCATGGGCAGTGAAGCAAGCACCGATACCACGATCAGACTATAACAAACTTGACTGTCGAGAAGTAAAGTGCGCCAAGCAGCGACACGGGCGAAAAATACGCCAATTCTGAAGAGAGACGAAGCCCGTCGAATCCACCAATAGGCTGGTCACTGTCGAACATGAAAACACGTTCACCATTAGGTGAAGCGACGTAGTTGCTCAGCTTCACGTCTAGCTTGGCTAACCACTGCACCAAGACAACTACACCGCGGAACACCAACAGACCCACGCAGCATAGCGGGATCAGTCCGATCGCAACGTGAACGCCAGTAATGACAGCGACAAAAGCGACAATCCCCAGAATACCGTTGAGTACGTAAAAGAGTCCAACTTTCAATGTTGAACAGATGAAGCCTTGGCCATTGCATCCGCCATGTTCGTGGCAGTGACGGTGACGGTGGTGAGAGCTGTGGTGATGACAGGGGCGTTCTGGAGACAGCACTCCATAAGACGGAGGAACGTAGTAACCGTTGCGGGGGTCATGTGGGGTGTACATCGGTGGTGCTGCCGATGTCAATGGCCAACGCTCCGACTCGGCCGTGGTCATCGGAGGAGCGTTTGCATTTGCGTACACTGCGCCGTATCTGGGATCGACAGAAGCTTCAAAGTCCGGGTACAAGCGGACGTTGTAGCTCGGCGTCTCGACCATGTTTGGAGAGCTGCGGCTGATCCGAAGATGGCGAGTTGAGGAGTGCTTGCCTGTACAATGTATGCACATGGTGCAACTGCAAACATTCTGAAGGTTTTAGGAATGGTTGTGCAAAACTTGCCTTTTTTCTGGCCATGAGATGACAACATTGCGATTTAGGATCTTTGCAGGCACCGTAAAATACCGATAAACTTTCTTCCAGTAGCGTGCCTCGACGTTATCTAACGGCTAACTTCCCATGAAGCTGTTCCATAGGATGTCACCCCGTTGTTACTGAGTGGCTGGAACGGGTACGACGCGGACCTCGTCGTCGTGGCAACTTTTTCGCAACAGAAAAACCTTGTAGCTCCTAGCGATATCTTGGCCACAAGCTGCATGAGTGCCACGCCCAGGAGCGTCACGCAGATAGCGCCAACCAACGAGAGTCCCGGGTTTCGACTCATTGAGGTGGGTCCAACTCCGTAAATTTGGATTGAATCAGTGTACTCGTCTTGGTAATGCGAAGTCATTGACGTGATGAATGACACTAAAGGTGCAACGACCAGCAGCACCGACAGGGAGCTCAGAGCACCGATCACAGGTTTCACTAGCACAAAGTACAGCATCGCCAAGAGTGACAATGGTGAGAAGGACGTTAAACTCGGGGAGATCCGGTATCCAGAAAGCCCCTCCCTTCCGATGAGCCTTCCAGGAGGTAGCAGGTTCGAGTATGCGCATTGATGAGCCGGTGCGATGAAGTTGCCCAGCTTAATGTCCCATTGAGCCATGGAGAACACAATGTACACCAGCACTTGGAAGATCAGTAGTCCGACGCAGCACATAGGGATCAGCGAGGCAGCGGTGCAGATGCCTGCCGATAGAATACCACACGCCACCAGTGCGAAGATCACATTGAGCACGTGATACACACAAAGTTTGAGCGTCGCCATCACGAAACCCGGCGTCCTGTTCCTCCAAGACGGCGGGTCGTGTCCTCTCCCCCAGTATCTGTGTCTCTCGTTCTGCTGCAGGGCTGTGGATCCTTCCATCCAAGGCCCTCGACGGTTCTGCTGCTGATCCAATGCCACCCACTGGCCATGAAGCTGCAGAGGAGCTTGAGGGCCTTGGTACATCGGCGGACCTCCGTACGGAACAGAGTCATACTGTTTCAGACGATCATGAACATCACGAGCGTGTCTAGTATATCCTTGTGGAGGCATGGGAGGGTAGCCCGGGAATGTCTGAGGCATCCTCGCATTGAACTGCTGAGTGTGTAGAGGACGCTGTACATTTCCATTTCGATCGAACTGGGCGTCTCCACTCGTCTCTGCCTTCTCTTCATAGCGGAGAGGTGGCGCAGTCACTGTATTGCGAGCCACGACCTCTTCCTGGGACATCCTGCCCCCTGGGTAGCGCTGCCATTCCGCCATCTTCTGGCAATGAATCTTTCTGGAATTTCAGCCAATCATCTGTGAAATCACATGTTGAAGTGCGTCTGATAACCGTTATACCCAGTGCGCATTTGGCTCTAATCCCCACAGAGACCATGGATCTGCTGGTGGAGTTCATGCCAGACATGGGGGACGTCCTGGCTGCCCAGGAGGACGCGCTCACGTCTGTGATCGCCACATTAGCGTCTCAGCTACAGCATTTAGCGGCCACGAACGAGCAACAGATGCAGCGGATGGCTCAGCTCGAGTCCACACAGGTCTCTATGCAACTAACGATCACGGAGCTAAAAGAAGCTCCAGCACCAGCTCCCGTGGTCATTGAATCTCCAGCGCCTGCTCCTGTGATTGTCGAGGTGCCAGTGCTGCAGCCAGCAGCACCCGATGCCTTGATACTGGAGGCTATGGAGACGTTAACGTCGAAAATGGAGCAACTACAGCAGAATGTGCAGCAACAGGTCGCGGAGCAGATGCAACAGGCTTTAGTGACTCTACAGAGCGCCCATAGTCCCCACATCCCTCAAAGTGTCGACGATGCACCTGCGTGGGCTGCACTGGAGCTGAAGTTTCGAGAATTAGACGAGAAGGTGAGCGTTCAGATCGGAGAACTGCGCAATGAGGCGACAGACAGTCTAGCAGAGAAGACCGAGCAGACGGAGGAAGCTGTGAAGAATCAGCTGGATCAGCTGGAGAAGCGATTCGACTACTTGTCGAGGGTGAAGATGGAGATCAAGGAGCTCATGCGACGTGCAGATAAACACGAACAGAGTGTTGAAGACGTTCGAGTGGGGCTGGAAGTGCTGGCGAAATCGCTCGGGAGCGATGACGTGGACTCGGAAACTAGTGAAGAGGAAGCTGTAGAGGAGCAGGAATTGAATGAGTCAGAAGAGGAAAGCGAGCCTCCTCCAGTTGTTAGGAAGACTGCACTCCACTATGCCCCAGTGTTTGAGGATCCTCCTGAAGTTAAGCCGGAAGAACCTCAAATAATGCAACGAACAGAACCTCAAATAGTGCAGCAAGAAGAACCTCAACCGGATACAAACGACAAAGGAGAGGTGTTGCCTGTGCACTCTGAAGCCCCAGAACCGCCTCAAATAGAGACACCAACAGCACAAACTCCGCCTTCCCCCAGACCATTACGCTCAAAGTCGATCTCTCAGATTTCAAAACATGTGAGACGTTCTCTACGACGTTCTCTCCGCGCAGTAGAACTCCCTCCGCCAGAGTTAATCGAGCCCCTCATACAAGAACCAGTTGTTGAGGTACCAATCGAGGAGCAGGACGCAGCTCCTGTATCGCCAGTAGTTCCATCTCCTCGTCAGCAATCTGAAGGAGAATGCACAACTGAGACCGAAGTTGCTCCAGAAGTACCAGAACCTGTCGTTGTTTCTCCGACTCCTGTCATCCCCGCGATTCCAGACATTGCAGAACACCATGAAGAAGAAAAAGTGGAGGAGCCTCTGATAAAAGAAGAAGACACTCCTGTAAACAACGAGACGGAAGAAAAACGAGATGAAGAGTTACCGCAGCAGTATCGTTCCCAGTTGGCCACGCAACATAAAGTCATGGACGACCAGGTGGATCTCTTCCGCGCTTCCTCATCCAAAAACCTGCTGCGCCCTACCACCACGCCACCCGTTGTACGTACGACACGTCAGCGTCGTTCTACAAACCCACGTAAGGCGTCACACGCACATCCTAACGACGTGCCAGTGCCACATGAACCAACGACGCAGAGATCCACCACCCCTCCATCGACTGCTATTGTCGAGCCACGTCCGCCTATAACCAAGGCGAGAATCAAAGAGCTGTGGATGTGGCTACTCTCCAAACTCGTACGTCTACAGCGTCTTCGTCAACTGAACGGCATCAACGCAGAGAAAGCGCTCTTCCGTCGACAGCAAATGTCCATGGGTTCTCGAGTAAAGCGTCTGGAAGAGAACACTGCTCGATTGGACGAATCGCTCGAATATCTCGAACGCCTTGTACAGGACAACAGCTCCGCCATCAACGCGCTGGACGGCAGCATCGCAGAACTTCACCCCGTACTGGATCGAGTCCAGAAGATGGAACGCAGTCAGAAAGCCCAGGCACGGACTATCGTGGATGTCGAAGAAAAACTTCAAGAAATCGACGTCGAAGTGCAACGACTGCGGACTTCGGTGCTCCGTAACAACTCGGTATCATCGAATGTTACGAGTGCTGTGACCAATGCGATATCCGCGCAACTCCACGACGTGACAGCGAAGTTTTCGCACCATACCTCTGCGTTCGAGGCCTCCGAGAAGTTATTAACTCAAGTGAGCGAGACGGAGATCCCTGCTCTCCACGACAAGATCGAGCTCTCTCTGTACACGATACGTCAAGAGGCCGAACAACGCACCAAGGAGGCAGCTCAAGAACTCCAGAAGATTCTGGATCAACTGCAGACTTCGCAACGCAATTCAGACGGGAGTCTGCTCGTACGTATCACGGACTTTTGCAATCGGATTTATCATACGTTACTGGGCATGAGTGGCGCCATGCTTCAGTCGGTCGAGCTCAGCCGGATCGAGCAGTCTTCCAAGGCTTCTACACGCAGCGCACTTGATGTCGGGATCGACTTGTTGCGCGGCATCTTCACGCACTTTATCACGAATTGTGAGACTCTGATGCCGCAAGATACGGGATCGGAGATCGAGTTTCTGATCGAAACGTCCAAGGATTTCCAGCAACAACTCGAGAAGCTCAAGGGCCAAGCAGCGATAGCAAGAGCGGCAGCGCATGCTCTTGAAACCAGCGACACTCATGGTAGCAATCCCGTGCAGAACTCGAGCTTTGACGACCACCTCGTGTTCATTACCACGACCAAGTTGAAAGAGCTGGAGGTCGCGTTAATCACTCGAGAAGCCCAAAGAGAAGGCAACCAGACTCCGGAATTGATTCTCTTCATGCACGACGCAGTGGTCCAAGTGCGATCGGTTCTCTTCTTGCTGCTGCTACACACTGACGCGGTCAAGTCTCGTCTACAAGTGGAGGAGTTGCGATCGTCGCATACTCAAGTGCAGAGCACAGTGGTGGAGCATGGCTTCGCTCTTGGACATCTCGACTCGACCGTGGCACTCGTCAAGATGATGAACACGCGTCTCGATACGTTCATGGAGCTGTCATTTGCCTACGCTAAGGAAGAAGACGTGAAGAAATCCATCGAGGAGTTAATGAATGCAAACAACGACATGCGAGATCTCCTCACAACCAGCTTGGAGGCGAATCGCAGCGAGACACTGGAGCGTGATGGGCTTTTAGGCGAAGAGATGAACCAACTCATCGCTCGAGTGAGCAAGAAACTGGATAAAGACGAACTGCTCTGGACGCAAGAAGTTCTCGAACGACAAGTGCAGAACGTTGCCAACTCGTCACTGGATGAGCACGACCTCATCGATATCCACCGACGCCTGCGACGTAAATTGGACAAGAACCAACTCAAGTCGCTCCTGCAAAGCCAACCTGGGCAATTGGAGTCTGAGGCTCGAAGTATGACCAACACAGCAGTCGATGAAGGCCACAACTCACCTCTCATCGGAGCCAAGTGCATCTCCTGCCAAGGCGAGTTGCCACCAACCAAAGCTATGATCAAGACTGTCGTTCGTGAGGAAGTACACCACGAACTGGCCAAGTCTCGAGCACAGAAAACGCCTCCCAGTACCTTCAACGCTTCCAATCACCGCAATCTTGAAGCCTTCAAGAAAGAACTGCTCCTGTCGTCGCTGCAAAAGACTGCGAAATGAAGTACACAAAACCTACAGGACAAAACACAGTTGACGTCCGTTTTCCGAATAAATAAAAAAGCACACCGCTCTATCTCGATCCTCCTGCGTCTAAAACACTCCGGCAGCCACCAGGATAGCTTGGAGAAGTTGAGACGCTATCTCCTTCACCAAGATCATACTGTTCTCGTCTTGTGCCAAAGCGTACACAATCGGACGCAGGTTGTACTCGACGAGGAACTGGATCGGCGAAGTGTGCGACTCGAAGAGGCTCTTGAGCATCTTGAGCAGGTTCTTGCGTACAATCGCCTTCGGGATGAGTCGCAGGCGCCTCAAGATCTCCGTCACGAACATGCCACAGCGTCCGAGAGCCTGGTTGAGTCGAACCGAGCGACTCAGAATCTCCAACAACGGCTCCAGTAAGTTCTCCAACTCCGTGTCCAAGGCGTTGCGAAAGCAGACCATAATCTTCATCAGATTCTCGGGGACGAGCAGAACATTCTCCATCTTGACTGTGTCGTGTACAAGCCACACGCTGATGGACTTGATAGCGTCGATCTGCCAGTATTTGTCTTCCAACAGCTCCAGAAACAGCGTCACGCTGTCAAAAGTCCACAAATGAGCGCGTGCTGTAGGCGACGCGTGTGCCAGATCGCACAGGATCGGGAGAGCGAACTGCTTGAGCGGACTTGAGTTCCTAACCACCTTGATAAGCGACGGAATGACGCCAGCTTGAGCTGCATGAGTCTGTCGATTCCGGTTGATCCGACACAGGTAGAACATGGACTGCAGCACGATGTTCTCCACTTCTTTCCGCTTCACATCAGAGATCGACGGACCTTTAGTCTCCCGCTCGTTCAGCAGACGCACAAGTGTCGGGATGGCTCCAGCTCGGTCCAGTTTCTCCAACGTCAGAGGCTCCATACTCAGGTTTCGAATGCACTTAAGAAGCTTCAGCATGGCCGAGACATATTCATCCGAATGGCGTATCAGCGGCAGTGTCCGTTTACTCTCAGGCTGTTCCTCGCCGACGCTAAAGAGAGGCGCGCCGGGATGGATCGCTTCGAGCAGTCCTTCGAGCACAGCGCCATCACACATGTGCTCCTTCACCACGGCATCACCTTGAGAAAAGAGTACGAATATGTCACACGTTTTGTGCAGTTCCTTCATGGTCCACTGGCTCGTCTTGTTGACACCTAGAGTATCATTCTCTGGCCCACGCGTATCGCTGGTCGACACCGACACGACAATTTCGGAAAATACGACCACGAACTTCTTCAAGAGCCCAGCTTTGACAAATAGTCGGCAGATGTCGTTCTTCGGGATGGTCTGGAGGCTGAAGACACTGAAGATTCCGTCCAAAGCGATGCGTAGAAGATCCGTGTCGTAGTCGAGATGGGAGGGTTTGGCGTCTAGCGTCAGGAAATCCACCAACACAGGCAATCCACCACACGCGATGAACATCTGCAGCGTCAACGAACTTGTCTTGCAGCACTGTCGCACGAACTTGGCGGCTTCCATCCGCACAGCGATCGAGAACTCGCTGTCTTCTGGACTTCCGACACGGAATCCTCGGCTGCTTCCACCGGGCAAGTAATAAGGATTGTGTTGCTTCGTGAGCTTGATAATCACCGGCACAAGACCCACCAGCGCCAAGTTTTCTTGAAACTTCTTGTTACCCTCCACAATCTACATAGAAAAATATCCAGTCAGAAGTTAGAAGCTGTGATAAAAGATGCAACGACAGTGAAGCTTTCTCACAATGTTAATAACTCGAAGCACAGCATGCAGCACGTCCATCTTCTTCATTTCTAAAGCCTCCATGATGTTGGGAACCACTCCGCCTTGCGACATTAAATCCCTCCTCAGCGTCACGTTCTGGTCGAATAATTCTTCCTACACACAGCAATAAAGTGTCCAGTTAATAGCAATCATGCGTAGCACAAAGCAGTATCACTCACCAAGTTGTTGCAGGCATCAAGGATCACCTGGTCTTCCATGCTGGGGTCCAGTAGCGACAGTAGCTCCACCACTCGAGCAGTGGCCTTCTGGTTCGTGTCTCGAGCAGTCGAATAGTCAAAGTCCAGCTCGTCGTCGAACAAATTCTCTTGCGCACTCCCACCTGAAGACGAGTCTGCATTGCTCCCACGGTTACCTCCAACACGCAGCACCAAGTTCCCTTGACCTTCTGCAAAATCGAAGCTGCCATCGATATCGTCGTCCTCCTTAAATGCATTCAGCGACTTCTTAGCTGGGACAACAGTCATAGTCTCCGTCTCCAAAGCACGTTGCTGCTTTGCTGCCGCCTGTAAGAGCTGTGTCTCGTCGATATCGTCGAAAGCGAGATCTTCTTCCGGATCTTCGACAAATTGCTGGAGCTTCGCTATGCGGCTTTGGGCAGGAATAAGCGACGATCGGTCCCACGAGTTCAGCTTGTCAGTCTTGCTTTCGTTCGTGTTGCCTTGACTGCTCTCGGGACTGACATCCAGCCTCTCTGGTACCGTAGTGTCGGGCTCTTCATCCTCCCACACGTTGTCATCAAACAGAGCGTTGGCATCTTCTTTCGAGAGTTGAAACTTGGGCTTACTTGGTGCAATTTCCGCTGCTGTCTTGCTGTCTCTCCTGCCGCCATCCTCTCTCAATACGAACGGTGTGGGGTTGGAATCCACTCCAAACTCGTCGTCCCAGTCCTCGACATCCTCGTCGGACTGTTCATTTGTAACACTGAGAGACCGCGAGGCTTTGGCTGTTGTGGTCGGTGGTACATCTGTCGTGGACGAGCTCTTCTCGTACAGTTTAATCGTATTCAGCACAGCGTCGCGGTCATTCGAAGACGTGACGCTCTCTGCTACAAGCTGCGTGCTCTGTTCGACCTTATTCTTCGGTATTTGCGCAATCCACGGATGTGCGAGAAGCTCCTCGGCCGATGCTCGCAGTCGCGGCTCCTTCATGAAGCACTTCATGATGAAATCGTGTAAAGCCTGCTTGCAGCACAGCAACAAAGTCAGAAGATACACTTGCGAACACATCGTTGCTACACTGAGAGTGTACCGGGGACATGCGTTGCGGTAGCGGTGGATGGTCTTCTTGTACGATACGGAACAGCGCAGCCATTGGCGCTAAGTCGAAGTACGGCGGCTTGGTCGTCAACAGCTCGATGATCGTGCATCCCACGCTCCAGATATCCGACGCAGAAGACCAGCCAGCCATCTCAATCACCTCCGGCGCCACTGCGATTTATATAGACCGATTAATATAGACTATTTAACAGAAAAAAGCAGGATAAACGTACTCCAGTACGGCGATCCCACAACGGAGTTTGCCTTCTGCGTCTCGTTTAACTTGATCGCCACCCCAAAGTCCGCCAGCTTGACTAATCCGTCTTTCGTGGTAAGGATATTTGCTCCTTTAACGTCTCGATGCAGCACACCTTGCTCGTGTAGATACGCCAGCCCTCTTAGGACTTGTGTGATGTACATGGCCACGAGCGTCTCGGACAGAGATCCGAACTTCTTGATAAATTGCGCCAATGAGCCGTTCTCCATGTACTCCAGTACAATGTACAGGTATCCATGTGTCTTGATAGTGTCGTGGTACTTGACGATGTTCTCGTGCTTCAGTTTACGGAGCAGACTGATCTCCGTCTAGCACAGCAGTTGGACTTTAAGTTAGCTACACTATCAGAACTTCAAAACTAATATCACCCTTATCCTGTACCTCTATGGATAGCAGTTCATCCTTGTCAATATCTCGAAGCGACACTTGTTTAATGGCAACAGAACGTCCATTGCGCAGATCCAGCGCCCCGTACACGATACAAAAGCCTCCGCGCCCAATTTCAGCCCCCAATTGCTAGTTTTCCGCCACATACAGGATAAAAAATTAAAAGGAGCACTTTGATAAAATTGTAAAATACGCCTCACATAATGGGTGCCCACTAGTCGCACTTGCTCCAGATCCGCCTTCTTGCCTCCGCGACTGGACGCCAGACTGCTGCGTGAGCTGCTGGGACGCGTGGACGCTTGGCTACTGCGTAAGGATGGGCCAGCGCTGCGTCCGCCGCCGCTGGTCCCGGGGCTGCCGCCCGTGCGCACATGGAGACCGCTGCTGCTGCTCATGGGAAGCGCATCGTCAGATTGTGTGCAATTGTGTACGAGATGATCAATTTTGAGATCTGTTATTATTTTTAGCAGAATCTATCGGTTTTTGTATCGGTATTGTGTGTAGCGTAGCCATGAGGTAAATGCACAAAAATGTGACGATAAGTTGCCTTTTTGGTCTACCAGCCTGCGCTGGTGGTCGGCCGCATGATGGTGTCGTGTCCTGGCAGATCTGATAGAGACAACACTTGGCTATTGTCATAGAAAGTAACGCTGGTCTCGAGCTCGTCTTGCGGCATATAGATGTTGTTAGCTTCAGCCTCAATCACCTCGAGATCGTCCGTGAATAGTAGCGTTTGTGTCATGTTACCTGCATTGGCGGCGGCCTCAGCTTGATCGTGCCACTTCTTACGCAGTCGTCGGTTATCCAATGAATGAGTAAAAGGGTCCATTGCTTCGTTGGAGGTGCCATCTCCGCTCGGTAGCGTCAGAGGTGGCGCTTGTTTCAGGATCCCATGGTAGATCAACACGTCGTCGAGAAACACCTCAAACTCACGAACACCACGGGTAGGTGTCTTGCTGTAGTTCCACAGTCGGATTTTGGAAATAGTCATGGGTTCATTGAAGAAAAGCACGAGTTTATTCGGATGCGATGGCGTGTGAGGAGCTAGCCACATGTGTCGATCGTCGTAAGTGTTGTTGACACCATCGTAGAGTTTGTCCAACGTCCGGACGTCGTGTGTGGCTCCTGGTTCTTTTAGTACATTGATATCACGTGGTTGCGCGTCGACAATCTCGCTGTAGAGAGGAATAAGCTGGTTGTCACGGTCGAATAACTCCACGCCATTGAGACCCAGGTAGAACGTGTCGCCCCAAGTAGACGAGAAGACGAATTTTATGATATATCCGGTGGGGAACAGAGGCGTCTGGTACTGCTGGAAAACTTCTGCTATAGGCTTCATCGCGCTCTTTTTCCGGATTAATCGCTTTGACGTAGAACGTTGTGAAATGTTCGGGCTGGATAATTTAGACACCCCGTCCGATAACTCAGTGTCTTCGGTGGGTTTACTTTCCACAGGTGACGATGGTCTTGTGCATTCAGCTTCTTCCGCTGTCGAAGTGAGCGAATCACCCACCTTGCTAAGCGGTTGAACCGGTGACTTTTGAGATGAATTGCTACGTAAATATAAGAACTGACCAAAGTCGAAGTCCATTAGATTGCCCGGTGCCTTCCGTAACGATACGCGCGTGTGATGTACACCGTCAATTCGCACTGAAACCTGCTTGGTACCTTTAAAGGACCCCTCCAGAGTTGTATTGTAATTCCAGATTTTCAGCGCTCGAAGACTCACTTTTTCAGAAAAAGTTATTGTGATTGCTCTGCGCTCCAGAGGAAGTGCGAGTACTTCTCGAAGCGGAGCCGTCCACATTTCTTCTGGATCAACCGCGAGATGTCGTGCACCGTGTGTCGTTAGGAGTTTCTTCATTCGATCCTCAGCGATCGGAGCCGAGATTGTCACGCTATCCAACGATATTGACAGAGGAACATAACTGGAATCGAGAAATTCAAGACCTGCAAGGCCAATCTCGTATGGGTCTCCCCAGTTCGCTTCGAGGATTAACTCGATCGTTTTACAGCACAACGGCCGTTCTGTCGTTGCCCCACCCACCACTGGAGCAGTACACGGACGTGAAGCATGAGCTGCTTTTGCCGAATTTTTACCATGCATTCCACTTATTGGCAGCGGGGAGGTGATTGGTGAGAAGACGGAATTAATCGCCCCTGTTTCAGACGAGCAGACAATATGGCCACCCCCTCTGGCTGCGGCGCGAGACGTCTTATTACCAGTGTTTGGTCTCTCAAGGAGACGTGGATCAGCACCGATCGGAAGGCCGTTGCTCAACGCAGCATCCTTTGAAGACTGGTGTTCTGTAGTTGCTACCGATGGCTCGTTATCGACCAGTTTTTCATTACGCTTCTCGTATTTTTCGATGAGTTGCAAGATCGACTGGTTCATGGTGAATAGAATGCACTCGTTACAATCGTCGATATCTTCAATGACACTACCCGGTGCACGACGGATTTCCCCCTTGAAGATAGACTTGCCGTCTAGAGAAACCTCCACGTACCGAGCACCGCGGTATGAGTGGATTCGAGTGGCATTATAATTCCAAATACGTAGCATCGAGATGGATAATGGATAGTCAAAATCCATATAAATAAAGTGATTCTGTCCACGAGAAAACGGCGCAAGCCACGCGTGCAGTTCATCACAGGTGAAATAATGTTTGTCCACGAGCTTATCGACAGTTCGAGGATCTAAACGATCGTGATCTTGGATATTTAGATCGGGGGGATCTGCTGATAATTGTTTATCAACATCAGAGAGATAGACAGCGTGGCCTGTGTGATCAAATATCTCGATACCCATGAGCCCCACATAGAACGGATCTCCCCACGTCGAGAGGATGTTGATGACAAGATTCTGTCCATGAGGCAATTCAGGAATTTGGAAAACTTGTGGTGGCTCTGGAGATAATTTGGAATCGGCAGATTTTGCGAGGTACTTTAACGCTCGATTCTCAACGGTATCTCGGGAATTGTGACTCTCGCTGTCGTATACTTCGTCATCTACAAGTGTTTTGCCGTCGTCTCCTTCATCCAATTTGTCATCAATATTGACAAAGTGCACGTTGTCTAAAAACAATTGCTAGCACATTAGATATTTTCAAAGGATAACCTATGTGATGCACTAACCTTCGGGGTCTGCATAGGGGCGCATGACCGACATTTTAGTGGATAATTCACGGCTTCGATTTGTTTTGTCAAAGAACTCCAGAGACCGCAAGGACTCCACAAGCGATTGTTTGACTCGCCTGTAGTATCACTTCCTGTGAGCTAATATTGCATGCATAGGCAATCATTTCGGCGCTCACCTGCTTTTAGATTCAGCTGCTTGCTGCCGAACCCGTTGCCTTGATCGTTTCGGAGATTCTGATTCCTTCGGCAGGAAATCTTTGTCACCAGAGCCAATTGCGTCTTTGTGCACACCGATTGGCGCGCGAGGCCGAACGGCTGAAGGGCTGGGTGCCAGGGGTCCAGCTTTGTCTTTGAGTGGAGAGCCTCCGTGCGTAGTACCATTGCCACCTCCAATATTGGTTCCAGCAACTCCGTGCACTGATGTTTGATCAACCAACTCGACGCTAGACGTTCTTGGACCGAGTGCTGTGACTTTGGGGGCGTGATTCGTGTCACTGCTTAGCCACGACGGCACGGATTGCGGTCTCATGGAGAGCTCCAACTTGGACAGCGCGTCCAGTACTGGTGGCCCGCTGTCCATCTTGCACCACTTAACTGTTCTGCACGGCACCGTGTCGCTTGAACTGACTGATTCGTTATTAATATCTTAAGCGTTCAAGAAGACGATTTATGGTTTCATCAAAAATATTTCCTTGAAAGTGTGAAGCCTTGTGAGGTAGATACTGTTCTTGACAAGGGATTCATTTTTTTTTCACTAATAACAGCTCTCTGAAATTTATTTCGGAGCTTCACCGATAAGATTTATCGAATGGGTGAATAGGGGTAGTCCAGCGCAACATGATAGTTTTTCCGGGGCAAATTGATCTGTGAGTTCAATTCGCTGTGGGCAGGGGTTCCGAAAATACAATTTTTATTAAATACTTTTGTTTTTTTGGTAAAGCAAAAATTATTTTTAGCTCTGCTTTGAAGGGTTGCAATATTTGGTTTTGTGCTCTGTGTCGCCAATAACCCGAGGAGCGGCATTGCAGCCCGAGACCGGTTCACAATCACTTGTCCACAGGCCGAGCTCGTTTGAATGGAGCACGTTCATCGATTTGTGGCGTATCAATCCTCCAACATCTTTACATTTTCAGCTGGAGCAATACACTCAAAGCCCATTGTCCACTCTACTTAATACGAAGCCTGCGAAGACCCCGTGGAGTGCTCCAAAGCCGCGTCGAAAGCCAGCTTCATCCCCTTCCAGAGCGCCAAAGAAGACCAAGAAAGCCAAGACGTCGAAGAAGAGGGTCCGCACGGACCCGTTCACGTCGAAGCAAGTGTCGTCTTTCTACTCGACGATGACGGAGAGCCTACCGCAGTATACACGTGCCGCTGTGGTGTCCAGCGCCGAATGGAGCCGCTGGTCATCGACATTTGCCATGGTGAACAGATATTTTGAGCTGAAGGAGCTCATCAGTGAGTACATTGAAGAGGAGCTGGCGGATTTTATGCCAACGCGCCGAGAGGAGAAGCAGCTGAAGGCGATCCTCAGGATGTACGAGTCAACCTCTAAAACGTTGCAAAGTGCGGACGACATAACGCTACTCGACGTGCGCGACCTCTTCGATGCGCTTATTGCACAGATCCCCGAAGTCGCCAAGTACCCCCAAGCCGAGGCAGAGATCGTCTAGAGTCTTGGCTTTGAGCGAGCTTGAGTTAATGTGATGCCGGGTCGTGACGGATCCGCTGTCTGACGATGATAAGCCTATGCTTGAGCCGCTAGCCGCGGAAGACGCCCCCCCCCCCCCATCGAGCTCGTCGGAGACAACGGCGCTAGGTACAGGTTTTGCCGCAGTTGCGCTCAAGCAGGCGAGACGACATCGACAAACAACTTCACGCTTTTTTTTAGCGATCAAGTCTCTATGATCGCTCCGACTTCCAACATCGAGGAGAGATTATTTAGTTATGCGAAGGCAGTGGTTGGCATGCACCGCCAAGCCATGACTCCATTGCATCTCGAGAGTATCCTCTTTTTAAAGGTGAACCACACGTACTGGAGCGCAGCCACTGTGCACAAGGTCGTTTGGGGAGCACAATAATCTCAAAATACTTATTCTCCATTCAAACTCCTATGATTTTCTTGCAATATGGTCAATTATTGCAGTCACCTCTGACTGAGATAGGTAAATTATTTTTATTGCTGAATCCTCCAGCAAAATAACAAGAGTATTGTCGGAACCCCTGATCGAGGGCCTCTCAAAGGACAAAACCCTATCAAAGGTTTGCGCTGCTCGATCTCCTTTATGGGAATCGAATACAATCTACCGACATAGCCCCTGGGACTTCAGGTCCGACCTGAGTTCCGTGTCTATCACGTAGGATCACGTTGACGGCTTTTATGCAGTGTATCATATCTGTACCCGTCGAATGATCCACTATGACAGGACCCCAGAGCTCCAAGCAGCTGCAGAGGAAGAAGAACCCCACTACGATGGAGCCCCACATCATCGCATCTTTCTGGTTTGGTTCACCTATTGGATTTTCTTGTTTTGATCTGAGCATTTCTTGTTTTGAGCCGAGGATTTCCCAATTTGATCTCGATTTTGTGTAACGTGCTCATTTGACCGAAAACGCGCAAAACCTTTCGTGATATCAGATCTCAAACTTGAGCGCGATGGTTGCGCTAGTTGCAGACAAAATAAGTTGATCTATACAAACCGCAATTCCTCGTGGCGAGCTGAGAACTCGAAATGCAAAAGCCAAACGGGGAAAGTCAATTCAGCTGTGTTGAGTCGAAGGCTTAGGTTGAATATGCGACCCCACCGGTCTGAAACGTCATTCGAACATTATATGCACGTATACCTGAGCTGGACCACTCAAAATCAGCTGAAGCGCGCAATATCAAGAAGCCTGCTAGAGCCGCCCGGCGTGACCGCCTCCCCTTCTACGGACCCTCGACTACGAAAGCGCGTGTCCTCTGAGCTGCGCAGCGACGACGTCGAAGGAGGTGGATACATGAGTGAAATTCGCGACCTAATGGCGCACACATCGTGTGTTCAGCAAAATTACTTGATTGACCGAGTGTTGCTGGTGTGACTGCATCCGCTTCTATGGGCCCTCGTGTACGAAAGCGCGTGTCCCCTGAGCTGCGCAGCAACGACGATAAAGGGGGTGGAAATATGATAATATTAGCGACCTAATGGCGCAAACATCGTGATGTTCAGCAAAATTGTGTGATCGACTGAGTGCTGATCCGACCCCCTCCTCCCGTTCTGCAACGGCCACTCCTCTCACCTAGAAGACCCAGTTCGATGGGAAGTGTTACACGAGTAATCTAAAACCTGCCAACCCGATACGTACCGCGTTCGTCCCCTGTCATTGATATTGCTTACATATATTTCTAAAAATCACATTTAGCTATTGAGACTTCGGGCAAACACGAGCGTGCCGTAAAGGAACAACATAATGCATCGAGCCGAGTCTTTCGCGGTCCCTCTTCTTGCTGAGCGACATAAATACTCTAAAACATTTGCATACATACCTACAAGCCTCGTGGTAGCGACAAGCGAGCACGACAAGAGTCACGAGCAAAAAATTACTCCACCATCAGCCATTACGCGAATTGGTAACATATCGGGTGACAGTCCGGTTTCATACCCCGGTTAGGTTCCGGCTGGGCACGATGCTATTATCTTAACTTGCTTTCCTGAACATTGTGTTTTGCGACTAAGATGAATGCGTGTGCTCGCCTGAAAGACAAGGGAAAGGAGACACCGCGCCTGGATGTGTGCGTGACAAGCAGGCGCTTCAACACAAACACACATTAACCCACCATTCATTTTCTCAGTATCCACCAATCGCCCTGATATTGTGCCAGATGTGCTGAAGACGGAAGGCGTACTTAGGAATTTTTATGCAAGTGCTATCTCCATTTCCGAGAGCTGGCGCAATGACCTTATCACTACTCCTAATTGGCCATGAATGCATTATTTTATTCTGCTCCTTGCTAAATATAGCGACGTGGTTAGGTTTATATGTGCTATGGCTTGCGTCGATTAAAACAACTTTTGACCGTTTTTCGTACATGCACCGCATATACTTGCTCTGAAAAATAACGTAAGTAGCGGCTTCTACAAACTCCCTATCACGCGTCATGAGATCAAAAAGGGATACAAGAGAGATCGAGGTGGTTGAATTTGGGGTAAAATCAAGTCTGGCTTGTCATCAGCGTTCAGCTTCCTCAAAGGTAGAGGACTACTATCTAAAGCAGCTGCCACTGCAGTACCCGCTCTCACGACCGCGTTCGAAGCTCTTCAGACAGGAATTCCAGCTCGTGCTGCTCTCAAATCGCTTACCGGAGTCGGCATCTATGACAGTGATGAAGGTGAGGATAAAGCCGGCGGGTGGATCACCATGGCAGACGTTAAGAAGTCAGCGAGGAGCGCACTATTTTATGCTAAGCGCAAAGGATTACTTACCGATGGTGTCGATGCTGGCGAGAGGTATCTCTTCTTCAAATCAACCAAAACAGATCATGAAACACTAATCAAGTCAGCTCGGGGTGGGGTCTGACGACGGTATGGAGTCGGTATGAGCAATCCCGTGAAAGGATCCGACGAAGCCAAGGCTGAAATGGCTGTGGTGTGCGCTAAGCGAAAGGCCGGGGGCAGTTTTAGATTAAACAATTTCCATCCGTTTTTTTCTCGTTTGAAACAATAAAAAAACATCAACAGTGGTTAACAAACCGCTAACTCCAATGACCTTATCATGTTTTTGTCTTAAGAGGAGCATGATGCTAACCGAGGGATCCCGAAATTTGACGCTCTGATCGTTTTGATTGTAAAAAGTAATCGTGATGCTCGATCGAGATCCGTTGAAGCAATCCATTCAGGCATACTGACTAGGGTTGCAGGAAATTAGCTGACCAACAGCTGCGTCACCTCGATCGAATGCACTCAGAATGTATCCGCTAGCGACATACTCATTCTTGATGAGATCGCATCGCACGATATGTGACGAGGTCGGATGAATATGAGGGATGATATTCGATAGCTGATCACTCGCAACGGTAAGAGGAGCGGCAGGGTAAGCCCCTGTCGTCAAACGAATTACCTTGCCAAATGCTGCGATATAAATGACCGGACGTGGTACATGGGTTGTAGTAAGTAAACGCGTTCCTACGGCGCTGTATAACCCAGTCGAAGGTTTTGTATAACTCGATGGTAAAGTCGTAGGCGTCGCTTTAAAATCGATCTCAGCCGCATATTATACGCTATTTCTCAGTCGACTGGATACAAACCACATTGTCCCCCGACGGATCGACTAGAAATGCTCCAGCATTAGCCAGAGCTGTCTGGTTGCTTATCATTGTACGTATATATACCATCAGGGAGGACAATTACTATTGTCAATGACGTACCAACAGCTCCAATCTGAACGAGTTATTCCAGAATTGAGCCGAATCAATGTTATACTCAGAATTATACATAGAAATCGATTGAACTGCGCAAGTGATGTTCTTAAAGTCAGCCACACTGCCTGGGAGACTGTATTAACATGCCGAATTGTAACCATCGACCACTAGGTTAGTCGAATCAAGCTTAACGAACGACGCGCACATGATTGATTTATTTTTGAGTATATCGTATCCCGATTTCATAATTAGTCATCGGTTCGGATACACCGACGGACAGAATGCAACTGCCGACAAAACTAACTGCCAGTCAGTGTAAAATGGGCGTGCAAGATAGAAGAGATGCGCAAATCCTATTTTATCAACCAATCGAATCACTCAAAATCCTGATTTTATTCGCCGATCCAGCCGTTATTTCTGTGCCAGTCACTTTGTAAGATGGAGGAAACCAGCCGTTATTTCTGTGCCAGTCACTTTGTAAGATGGAGGAAACCGTCGAGCCCGAGCCACCCACAGAGCCTCCATCAGCGCTGCAAGGCGCAGAGGAGGCTGCCATCGCGAGCCTTGTTGACGAGGTCTTTTCCCAGCCAACGCAACGTAGAATGCACTACTCAATGAAGCAGAAACGACACGCTCTCCTAGCAACAGAAGGTCTTAGTGAGCGTGAAGCTGCACGCTCGCAAAAAATACCGCGGTGGACGCTCAATGGCTGGAGAAAGAACAAAGAGGACATATTTGCGTTCAGAGGCAGCGAGAAGACGCTTTCTCGTGCGCCTGGGCGTCCCGAGATGGTCCCGTTCAAGGTGGAGCTGATCACCTTCATGAAGGACACTCGTCGTGAGAGTCGGCCCCTCACCGCCTCCATCATGGCCTCTTACATTCGTGACGAGCACCCGGCGTGGCTACAGGGCTACACTGAAGGAAAGAAGGACACGTTCACAGCATATGAATCGCTACTAAAGCTGATGCGCCGCTTTGCCTACCGGCACGGCTTCGTGCAACGCACTCCGCACGGTTTAAAGGTAACCCATACATTGTAATATTACCTCTAGATAACTGATATCTAACTGATAATTTATGCTGCTATGTATTCCTTCTTTCTATAGGAAAAACTCGAAGACCTAGAAGCTGTTCAAAAAGCGTTTGCTTGCGTTTTTGAGGCCAAGTATAGCGGATATAATGCAAGCGAGGTATTTAACTGCGACGAGACTGGCGTTTACTTTGACGCGCCACCAGGCAAGATTTTGTCGGAAAGGGGCCAATCGTCGGCAATAACCGCCCAGCAGAAGCATTCTGCCAGATTGACCGCTGTGTGCACAATTCGCGGTGACGGCGTTAAGCTCCCCCTACTTTTCATAGTACGCGGGGAGCAAAACGGCATCATCGAGAAGGAAGAGGTGCCAACTTATCCTGAAGGTACGCTGTATTATTTTGATCTTTCTGAATAACTACATGTATAACTGACTTGCTGTATCATTACAGGCCATATTTACACTGTTCAGAGCAAGGCCTGAATGGACGCACGGGTGTGGAAGTTCTACTTGCGCTCCCTACTGCAGAAACATATCGCAAGCCATTCTCTGCTGCTTGTTGATAACTTGGAGTGCCATGTTTCTGGTGAATCTGAGGCGATTATCTCGGAGGAGCTCATGGCAGTGCTCCAGCCACTGCCAAAAAACTCTACTTCCGTGTGCCAACCTTTAGATGTAGGCATCATGGGGCCTCTGAAGGCGAAGCTGAAGGCTTTGTGGCTGACCGAAAAGGCTACCGCTACGACGGCAAAGGAGAAACGCATAGCGACGATCAAGCGTGTAATTGCGGCATGGGAATCTATCGAGGCCAACACAGTGACGAAAGCGTTCAACAAGGCACTCGACACGAACTATAAAAATACAGCTGCCTCCTCGTAATTCATTGCTTTTGCAATATAAAAATACAGCTGCCTCCTCGTAATTCATTGCTTTTGCAAATCCTTAAAATATTGAAGACCTTTGCTTCCTAGCAGCTGTTTCTACAAAGTGAGGTGGCATTTGCATTCTGTCCGTCAGTGTAGGGCGATCGAAATTGTATCGTACCTGTCCCTTGACAGAATCGCAAAACAGAATCTGATTTTTTTTCTCAGTCGCGCGATTGTAGTAATGAACAATCGATCGCTCATCAGCTCCGGGGATGTTGAAATCGTTGACAACCATTGTTATAACTCGCTTTGTATTAGCCTGTAGGACCGCGATATACACTGAACTTTTTAAGCGAAGCATCTTATCAATGGCAAAGTAGCTGTGACTAAGGAAAATACTACTCAACTTAAAATACCGGCCCCTAGTCATGCTATGACTGGACACCTTCTTCTGAAGCAGCTTATCATTGATATAATTATCTATGAAGACGAGCTCAGGTTTATTCGAGCTTAGCGGAGTCCTTCGTACTTGATTAACGCTCGGAGGTGAGTCAGGATTAGCGTGATCAACCCATCCGATTAGTCCCGAAGATAATCAAACAGCTCCTGGTGCGGATTCCGTGCAATATTTGTCAGATGCGCAAATACATAAGGAAAGTTCTTTAAGATGAATAGACATAGATTGTTCTTTCCGCTAAACAATGGACCAATGACAAAGAACAGTGATCTGATACCCAGTGCTGAGATATCACCCATCGAAGAGAATTTAAACGTATTCGGGAGCGGCGCACTGAAATCGGGAATTCTCATCGTTTTATCGCGTGATCTATGTAGCTTCAGAGTAAATGAGCTCTGAGTTTCGCTGTCCAAATCCTGTCTGTAATTTAAGCATCTACAACCCTGCATTATATCTCTCGTTGGATGCGAGAGGCTTTCTAGCTTGTGAATATGCTGAGATCTTATATATTCGGAAGGAGTGACTATCGACTCTCAAACGTCAGCACCATCGTCCCTGGTACAGCAACGCAAAAATTGGCTCTTATACCAGGTGAGAACAAAGATCTCACAGGTATTAGATCTATGACCTGTTCAAGTTTGTTTGTTGATGGATTATCGATAACGCCGGCTCCCGACTACATCGTCGGCATAACGCATGCGACTGCTCAAAGCGCAAAAGCACTCGTACTATCTAGCACCGGATCAATCCCAAGTGGGATTAGCTCGCTTAACCTTTCGGGTACGTTGACGGCCAGTACATTGACCGGAACATTGCCAACAGCTATTCAATCGAATATCACATCGTTGGGAGCGCTCACCGCTCTCTACATAAACGGGCACTTGATATTCACTGGCAAATTATCTTAGTCCTATAAGCTTTATCATCAGCGAGCTTCACCGAAACGCTCCAGACAGCTAGTCAATCAAATAGCACATCGTTAGGGACCCTATCTGCGCTTTCTAAAAACGGAAAATTGGTTATTCACTGGTTCTTTTCAATCGATCACAGGCTTAGAGTCTCTATCATCAGCAAGCTTAGCTGGAACGTTGCAGGCGACCTCTCAGCCAAATATAACGTCTGTACGGACCCTATCTCCTCTTTCCATAAGCGGAAACCTCTCATGCGCCGGTAAGATCATTTCATCAACACTTTTGTCGGCTCCGACGCTGAGCTGCGATTTGATTAGTACTATTAGCCTCAACATCAATTCTTCAACTCTATAACTCACGGGAACTACGATTAATGCCACTGGTTTAGAGCTTACTTTCCTAGCAGAAGTCTCACACGGCATCGCCTCTAACAGTAAAACGCGTGTCCTTAGCTCGACGGGCATCATCACCGGATTAATGCTTTGCCGGCAGGCGATATTACTGCTAGTGACAATATTAATGGATTTTTATCGTATACTAATTAAGCAGCTATTACAACAATAGTCTCTCTAACAGAGATCGGTATCAATACTACGGCTAGCACCGAGTACCCACAAATTCAAGCAAGCGCAACTGCGTACCTCGATGGGTCATTTACCAGAATTCTTAGCTTCTTTGGATTCAACTCAACCCCTGTCCAGTTCCACATCGAAGCTGATTATGACACCAGATCCACATCAGCGAATGCAACATGAATTGGTAGCTCGACTCCGAACGATCTTCATTTATGTACCAGCAACTGGAGGCATGTGGCCATTCTGAATAGGTAGGGTGGGCATCGAAACGTCAACGCCTGCGGCTGGGCTTCAAGTGTCGGTTAATGCGACCCAAACGATCGATTCTGGCGGAGGCGGGGTAGCCTACCCCTTGTGATCTGTAGCCTTGATATTCAATATAGGCCCCGTGACTGGTATCGCTGTCGCTTTTCAAGCAATGGGCGCTATTCTAGCTTCTTCAGGGTGTATACACTATCTCAAATCGTCGGAGGAAGAACTTCTTCGATACACTCGATAGTACAGCAATCATGAACGCCATGCTCTCAAATAAAGCCAAAGCTCTACCGATACAAGACTCAGGACGCTAGCATACCCTTGCTGATCGGATCGAGCTCAAGATCTTTTCAAGGTCAGTCTAGGAGCTATTGTCAATTTCTTCCCAAATAAATCGCTTGTCGTCGAGGGTCCATCGATCGATTTGGCTGGGATCGAGCTCTCCGTTGATTACTCCATGCTGTGTTGCTACTTCATATCCTAGCGCTTGGGCAGCAGAAAAAATCACTTAATTTACATCGTCAAATACTGATCTAGTTTCTCAATTAGCTACGGCTAACGCTAAAATTGCCGACCATGATACTAGGTAGCAGAAATTAGAATCCAAAATCTTTAACTTGTCTGCTCTAGATTGCAAAGGTCTTGAACGTATCTTTTTCTTACTACCTTGATAAGCCCAGACATGACCCCCTTCAATCTGAGTTGATGTATTAATCTTCTTTTGAGATCAGTATCCCATACGGCTGATTGGGAATGTCTCGGACGTTTGCTTACAATGAGAGATTTCTTAATCGATTTTAGTTCGGCTACATTCTGATCAGCGTTATCGCCATAACGAGCTCCGGAGCTGGAAATAATTCGAGGACTGAAGAATAATATTGCAGACCTTGCTTTCGTCTAGGGCCTGCTCTATAGTAAACGAGCGATAGTTTGCTTAAACTATTTATCATCAATGAGACGATTAGAGTCCATGTCCGCCGAAAGGGATTTGATCTGCTTGATAAACGAAGGGTTGTCATTGTCTAGCTCAAGTTCGCCTTTCAGCTTGTCATAATCGGCTTTCAGAGACTCTAACGAGTCCTCTAAAACGATCTTGGGATGTGATAGCAAGGACCTTCTTGAATATTTTTTCATCGACACTCAATTTATCGTAAGCAGCTTGATCGATTTGTTGGTAGCTATGTCAGCAGCAGAGGATGCGACACTGCCAGAGAGGGAGAAACAATCGGCTTCCGTGGATAGCAGCAGGCAGTCGTACATGGTGGCCATGTCCCTCGCTCTGGTGCGTCCGTCGTGGCGGAGATAGTCAAGCTTTCCGACAAACCGTGCGCCGACTGAGTGACGTGCTGCACCATCCTGCAGGGCTGGCTGGGTTTCGGGGAGGCTTGTAATAAAGAGACGCGGTCGCCGCTGTGAGCTATTTGACCGTTTTCTCGAATGGTACCAGAGTGTATAGTGTGCTACACAGTCAAAACTGAGCCAACCGACTAGACGGGGCCGGATCAGACTAGGGTTAGGTCCATCGGAAACTGTCAAAACCGAAGCGATCGTTCCCCGACCTAAAGCCTTAGGGTGAATAAAATCGTAGTTTTTTTTCCAGATATGTTCTACCTCTTGATAAGAGTCGAACTGGCATCTTCAAACGCACTAATAGTGCACATCTGATGAACGTGTTTTCCGCACGTTGAGCACGGGTCCATTTAGGCTCGTTCCCTTCTTGACAACCGGTAACAGCGCACCCTATACTTTGTTCCTTACGAGTCGTAAGTTACGACATGTCCAGAACGAATGATAATTACCGGATTTAAGTCAAACTGTGCGTTTTATGGGATGGAATCCCCCGAGCCATACACCTTGCAATTGCTCATTGAGGGGCTCTCCAAAAATCAATTACTCAAAAGAGTACTATATCGCCACAAATAAGCACTAATACTACTACTAATTGTAATTTAGCTAATACTACGAAGGGAAGTAGAATGGCTACTTGTCAAATAGTATTCATATTATGGTTTCTTAAAAGTAATATCTCAGCAAATACTTTTACAAAAAACAGCTATTGCAAAACTGTAACCCAGTTTTGCAATAGCTGGGTTTTGGGTTAATTGAATGATCAAAATTCAATTATTGCAAAACATCATGGTGAAGCCGCTCAACAAGGAATGGCAGTTCTTCGGGCATAAGTACCGCGTCGCCGGCGCCAAGGGCGCGAAAGTGGACTGCAAGGCCTGCAACAAGCAGGTTTCTGCTGCCGTTAACCGCCTGCAATCGCACATGCGCATATGCCCGGCACGCTCCTCGATGTCGACGGCTCTCCTAAATTCGAACGGCAAAAGTGATAGCTCTAGTAATACAGGGCAAGTCGAGGCGATACCCACCACGTCAGAAGTCATTGAACAGGCTATAGAGGCTAGTGCCTTAGCAGTCGAGCAGATGGCGCGAACCAACACCAATGCAGACGAAAGCAACGCCCCTTTAGCGAAAAAACAGCGCCAGTCGGCTACGAAGACGCGTGATCGCCCACGTTGGGGTGCATCCACTGCGAACGCTGACGATGTGTGGCCCAATTCGGTTCTAACACAGCCCACACCAACAACGTCCACGGCAGAATCTGCAACTACCGTGTCGCTCAACGAGAAACGTCTGGAGATCGAAGAGAAACGACTGCAGCTCGAGATCACGCGAGACCACCGTGAAGAACGTCGAGAGCGACTGAACTTGAAGATTTTGGAGACGCAGGCAAGAAGAGAAAAGCTGCTTGCGGAGAAGGAAGGCTACGACGCAAAGGTGCAGCTGGGACTTTCGAGACAGCAATTACGAGACCATGGGGTGAGCGAGGAGGAGATCGACCGACTCCTACCCATTTCCAGCTCCCAGCCACGCAATGCTTATACCACTGAATCCTCCGACGAGAATGATGATGTGGCTGACTAATGGGAATAAAGATCATGTCGGACAACGGGGTTCCAATTAATGAAGTAGGTTATACCCGTAAAACGTTCTAACTTAAATTACAGACGCCTATGCACTATGGGCGAAGTCACCACACTCCTGGACAACTCTGGTTCGAGTCCATCGCAAGACAATAATTATCACTAAAGACGAAACGCGGAGTGCTCTGCGACGACGAGAAGAACTCCGAGCCATTGGACAGCGTGTACGACAAGGATCCCAGCCGCAACATGACATCCTGAGCACTGGGTCTCTTCTCCGGTCGCTGATGCCAGCAAGCACACATGACTTCAATGAACTCGGGCGGTGCGCGTCGCAGGTACGCAGGCGGCAGCGCTGGACGCTCTCCTGCTGCAACGAGCTGCCGCACTTGATGATCGAAGTCTACGTTGCCAAAGGGAATAGCTCCGTTGGTCAGAATCTCCCATAGAGCCACACCGAAGCTGTACATGTCTGTTTCGCGGTTAAAGCGACACTCGTTTGGGTTTTTCATGATCTCCGGTGCGTTCCAGCGCCAGGTGCCGGCGAAAGTTGTCATGAGCTCGGATGCAGCGTTATCCATCATGACAACACTCTCATCGATTGATTGCAGCGACTGGAGAGATCGCATCGAGAACTTGTGCGAAAGCTGTTGCTTCTTCACAGTGTAATCCGTAGCGATCCGGGAGATTCCAAAGTCTGCGATCTTGGCAGTCCAGTCAGCAGTCACTAGGATATTGGATGCCTTGAGGTCGCGGTGCAAGTAGATTGGCTCTCGGTTATGCATAAAGGCCAGACCTTTAGCCGCTTCGAAAGCCAGACGAACTCTTGTGTTCCACTCCATCAAAGGATTCGTACGAAGTACATCTCGCAATGATCCACGAGCGCAGTATTCACTGGTAACATTAGCAACGGTTAGTTAACAATCCAACGCGCCGAAGTCTTCTGCAATATATATACTGTACGTACTTGACAAGACACAAGCTTCCCTTGTAGGTTCCCATTTTGATAAATAGCGTAATGTTCGGGTGACGCAACTGAGCTGCCAGCACTGCTTCATCCAGAAATTCGGTGCGTAGCTCAGCCAGGTGTGTCATGTACAGCTCGGCTTCTGAGCTACTGCCAGCACGAAAGCGTAGACACTTGAGTGCGACGGTGATTCCAAGCCATTGAGCCTTGTACACTTCAGCACTGGATCCCTCACCGATCATCACGGCTGGTCCTTCCGTCACCATTTCCGCGATCGGGCCACCAGCTAGCAGTCCATCTCGCACACCTAAAACTACGGGCGTGGCTAGTGCTGTATACCCGGTACATCGAGGCGTCCCACTTCCGTCAGTCATTAGAGCAGCGGAAATATCTATTGACGATGATGGAGTTTCATCGAAGTGCACTTTATCCTCATGCGTGGGGAGTGCTGTCTCGGTTGCCGTTGCACAGCAGCAACAGCAACTCAAACTTGTGCCGAATAACAGAGCATTTGCCACTGGAACAAAGTAATTCAACGTCTCCGCAACAGCTCCGACACTTATAAGCCTCTGGGACACGATGAGTACCATTGCGTAGGGCATTGTAAGCACCGCTGCACAGACGCAGTAGCCTGTAAGGCGTCGAATAACGTTGCGTCCCTGAGTGGACGACTTCAGTCTCGATTTCTTTACTGCTCGGAGATTGGTCATAATGAGTAATAAAGGTGTGGCTTGCATGATTAATAGCAGTACCGCTGTGACAGTGTACGCTCCTGAATTGGTCGTGTCTTCTCCACTCATAGTTGGAAGGAGTGCATGCATACACCCATACACCAGTGAGGCCAGTGATGACAATAGTAGACTCCTTCTGGCGTGAAGCGCCTCCAAATTGCCGAGGCGCATGAGTAGCGACAGATTGGCGATCCAGTAAAGCGACATGAAGAAGCTGAAGCGCGCCAGAAGCGTCAGGACGAAGTCTCCGGTCGTGTAGTGCAATTCCTCTTGGCCCTCGTCCTCCCGTCGATAGCGCGCCAAGTAGGATGCGTGGAGCGCCTGCTTGATCGCCTCCAATCCCACGAAACCAACGTCCGCTAGTGCAATGCCGCTCAGTAACAGATCGGCCATGCGGCGCTTGAGTCGATGGAACGTAGCTGAATGCAGCAACAGGAAGAGCGCGGCCGCAGCGCCCGTACCCAGACAGACCCAATGTACGGCGTGCCAGGCCGCGAGCCACTCGGACGGCTCCGCCATCTTGATATTGAAGAATTTCGCGGTGTGGACAGCCTGGTCAGCAGTTATACCAGTGTCCAGTGAGTGTAGGCAAAAAGTAACCCCTGACTTCAACGCGCTAATTTGACGTTTTTAGCGGTCGAGAGGCAGTTTTGAAATGAAGACTTGCAGCTTTCGGATACATGTATGGTGGTCCGCCATTGGTGGAAGGATGGCATAGTGAAATCCAGTGGTGAAAGGGCCACTTACGTCTGATTTTCGATTTTTTGGCTACAGTTCTACTGTTGCAAATTTTCTGCACTGTTGAAGTGGCGAATTCCATTGTTGCATTTGCTACTTTCCGTAGTCAAATGATGGCTTCCAGGGACCTCCACGCCATGACCTGCGTCGCTAGGCTGCAGATTTGGAGCGGGTCGCGAGCGTTCGCTGCCCTCGACAAGTGCCACAGCCGTGAACGGTGTGTAGCGACTTGAATGGCGTCGCTCTGGATTGATGAGGCAGCGAAGCGTGGACTGGCTCAGCCAAAGCCGTATGGAAACGCGGTGAGCCCGGCATGGGAATGGGTACTACTCAACTTGAGCGGTGCAGCCACCAATGTTTGGTCTCTCGTTGACGATGCATTAAGGTGTTTAAAGGTTTCGCTAAAATCAAACTTCCTGGATTCCTTGAGAATAGGACACTAATTAAGACTATTACGAGTAGGTGCTTGCCAATTGTGCACATTTACCGACTTCCGAATGAATGATGGAGTACAGTAACAGCAATCGACGTATGTGACACTATAACTGGGTGGAGTACAGTAACAGCAATCGACTTAAGTCTGGGTCGGTGCTATCCTTGAATAATACGCATGTCGGGCCAATATTGTTAGCTTATTGCTTACTCAAATGCATGGCGTTTGCCGTCATTAACTCCATTTACAAATTCCTCGAGGTCACAACCACAACGTCGTTACGCCACCGACAGAATCTCACCAAAGAGTTCCCACGGAATCAACGCCTCGGAAGCGATGTACTCGTTGTAGAATCGTTTGGAAATGGTAAACGCATCACCGACTGTCGTTGTTGGATACGATTCGTGGCCAAGCTGCCACTTTAGTTCAAAAGCAATACGCTTCTCTTTTAGTGCCTTCTCGTTCATTTCGCGCTTGTCTGTGTAAGCATTGCAGACTTCTGAAAGCCACATGGTCCAACGTGGAATATAGTACCCCTTTACAAGACCAGCCCACTCTTTCCCAGCATAGTCGTGAATAGCCTCATTGTTGTTGTCTCCCCAACGCGTGACTTGATTACGGGCTTCATATTCGTAGTATTGTTGCAACGTGGTTCTGGTAAGCTTATCTTTACCGTCACTTAAGTGACAGTGCATCACCAATCCAGTTGCCTAGCAGAAAGTCCTCGTTCGTCGCAAGTATTTCCTCCAGACGCTCCATAGTGGTAAGCATGGTCTTCGTCAATCCACACACTTCATTTGGTGAGGCCTTTTTTGCATTGTAAATGCCTTTCAGGTGGATGTACTGCTCCAGCAATTTGTTGCTCAAAAACTGTTTCGTGACGTCCACTAAATCATGTCGATACGTGTCCACATCACGCAATTCGTTCTCAGCTAGTAGGAGTTCTTTCCATGCTAGAACGACATCGTTAGGGTCGTACTTGATGAGCGTAGGCTGAAATCTGTCGTACAAAAGCCTCCAGTGGGGAATTAAACACACCAGACTCTTGGTTACACCACCATAGGCAAGTGTACGGTTGTAGACCGAACGCAAAAGATAGCTCCACGCTTGCTCAACGTGCTCGTTGTGCGTATGATATCGCTGTGCCGCATACTGTGGAATCCACGTGTTCACATCCAGAGGATTATCCACCCACGCCATTTGCAACGTGAGGTCGTATACAATATAGTTCTGGAAAATGCCTTCCATGGTTAATCCAACACCAACCATGGTTCCGTTTCCTGCCCAATTGGCCAGCACAGGTGCCGTAGCTAGCGTCAGCAAGTCCCCACGCATTCCAGTATTCCCACCGAAGTTGTGCAACACAGAGTAGATCCAACTCTTGCCGAAATAGTTGTCCATCTTGCTCCAAATGGGCACCGACTCACTGTAGAAGTCAAGGATGATCAGCTTATCGGTGGGCACGCCATCAAGATATGCCTTTACGCGAGGCTTCGTCCAGAAGTGTGGGTCGTCCACAAATGGCCAGCCTTGCATTAACCAAACAGCATTAGGGTCGGCAGCTGTCATGCCGTCGATTACAGCGCGCGCGGCGCCTTCCAGCTCAGTTAAATCTGTGAATTCTGGTGCCATCTCCATGTATGTGTCACATTGATACAGAGACGACGTGTAGTTGTACAATTCGCGCTGCTCCTTTAGGAAGTTTTTGCCGATTTCACGGTACAGCGCGTCAGTGGGCTCAATCATAAAGACACAGCAGTGTTCCTCAGAAAAGTTGCCCCAGTTTGGTGATTGGGTGAAATGTGCATTCGGCAATCGAAGTTTCAATTCTTCAGGAACGTGACCGGCAAATGCTGGTAAAGCTGGAATCATACCGAACTCACGCATACGCTCAAGGATGCGGAGCTGAAGCTCATGTTGGTTGTCGATAAATGCTTGAGGAAGTGGCCCTTTCACCCAACTTCCACGCAGGTTTCCCATGCGACCCCAGGACAGAAAGGCCGAGCCAGCGAAAAACTTGCCCAAACCTTCGTAGCTTACATTGTAATATTTGTGGAACGTGATTTGCCACACTTTCTCCTGGCCGGTAAATGCCAACGGCATGTTAATACCTGAGCACACGAACGTTTAGTGTAAATAGTATGGCGGGGACATGGATACTGTACATACGCACCGTTGAGCGCCATCCAGTCGATGTGCTTCTCCCATTGCGGCCAGCTCCACGCCCAGAGCGAGTAGCTACCGGTATCCACGTTTTGGTAGTACGAGAACTTGGAGCTACGTTTATGACGCACTCGTTCCTCCACTTTCGGCAGCTTGTCTGGGAGTTGCAGCTTGTGGTTATCCCAGTCGGTCTGAGCATGCAACACCGACTTGAAGTACCATTGCAAACCGTATGCCATGGCGGTGGCCGAGTTGGCGGCGATCTCGAGTTTGTCACCGTCGCTTCCAAGCTCAAACACGTCAAGATCGTCAGCATCCGAGGGCAACACTCGAAGGGTGATCTGGTTGCTGTATTTGTCGCCTAGTAGTCGGTGAATCAGCCCCCGAGTAGCCGCCACAGGGTCGTGAGGCTCCGCATTCTTCTTTAATCCAGCAACGGATGCATCCACCCCATTAAACCCCATTAAAATGAAGACGCACACGCTCAAAGCCAGCAGACAGAACTTGTTGCTCCTACGCGACCGAGTCATAGCTCTCCAAGATCTCCGATTGCTTTCTCCCCCTTTCGAGTCCCTCCGCAAAAATCAGTGGGTGATGTCGGTTCGGGATCTCGCCAAGAGGAAGATCCACCCTTTCATTTCTGGAAAGATTGGATGACATGGAGACTGCCCCAGCACGAGATGGTGCTGCCTTAGCAACTTTGAGGTCAACCGTTTAAGCACTCTGTCGCTACTTCATGTTCATAATTTGCATCGAGACCACAAAACACAATATGTCTCTGTCACTACATGTACGTCGTACTTGGTTGTCTACCAGATAGAGACAACCAGCGATCCCCATAGCTCACGGTTCAAGCACGAATAGTCGGAACGACCGTGTGGACGTCATGGTCGACCCCGAGATCGGCACATGCTCCTGCAGCGTCAGGCCTGCCTTCTTAAATGTGTTAAGTAAATCTTCCTCATACGTGACCGTGCCGAAGTCGATGGTCGTGAGGAATTTAAGTAGCGGCTTGCCGATCTCCACTATTTTTGAGTGTCTCGTTTGAATGGTCTGCGTCACATAGACCTTTCCAGTTCCAGGCTTTACCATACTCACGCAGTGCTGGAGCGCCTTCACTGCGTCGGGCATGAGCATTAGCGACGAGCTGAAGTAGACTGCATCATAGGGGCCCCCTTGAAAGTCGTAGATGGAAGCGTGGTACACTTGGACGTGACTCGTCAATTGCGATTCCTTCAGCAGTGCTCGGCAGCGCACCACGTAGTCTTCGTCGTAGTCCACACCGTCCACTGTGATGTCCTTGACCTTGAGCAGATCGCCATTGTTGATCAGAGCGAGGCCTGTGCCGATTCCGACGTCTAGGAGCTTGCTGCCCTTCGGAAGCCGCCCCAGCACCTCCATGTACCAACCAGTCGTCAGCTTGACGACAGTGACGTCGTAGATACTAGCACGAGTCAGGCGCACAAGGCCATACAGAGCGACAACCCCTGCAGCCGTCACAGCCACGGCTGCCAGCGAAGGAGAGCTGCTCGCCATTTTTCTCGAAGGCAAAGTTAAATTTAACAGCTAAACTCCTTAAAAGTGGCAGTGACCCATCGCTGTCATTGGTTGCAAGTATTTTGCACCAATTATAGATCAGTAGATATTGCGGATCGGACCCGTTTCATTGCGTTTTAACTTTTGCTGCGTCAACGACGTTGAAGCGGTTGAACCTGACGTGAGAGTTCACTCTGCAATCCTTCAGCTTTTGACTCCGCAGCGACCTCCCCCATGACTCAGATCACGCCCGGTACCTTCGACCCGCAGGGCTTTCGCGAATGCTGGGGCGATTACCGTGCTGAGGCGGACTTGGAGGATCCGTCGCGTCCGCTTTATCGCTTCCAACGCGACTTGCCGCGTCTACCGGTGCCTTTGTTGGCTGATACCGTCTCGCTCTATCTAGAGACGATCAAGCCGCTGACGTCTCCCGCTGAGTTTGCACGCTCCAAGGAGCTGGCGACTGCCTTCCTGCGACCTGGTGGCATGGGCGAGGAGCTCCAGCGCCGTCTAGTGGACCGCGCCAAGGACCGCAGCGACTCGAGCTTCCTAGTCGAGTGGTGGAACACACTGGGCTACCTTCAAGTGCGCGACCCGGTGGTGTTCAACGTCAGCTACTTCTTCCACTTCGCAGACAGCGTGCACCCAGCCCAACGCTCCAATATTGGACGCGCAGCGGCTCTGCTGCGAGGCTCCGTGCTTTTCGCTCGTCAAGTGGCGGACGGCTCGCTCGAGCCAGAGCAGCTGGGCAAGAAGAAGACTCCCGTCTGCTCCACAGCCTACAAATACATGTTCAACGCTTGTCGTATCCCACGACGCGAGCAGGATTCGTACAGGATCTACGACCCCAAGACGCACACCCACGCTGTTATTATGCGCCACAACAAATTCTTCCAACTGGAGCTACTGGACCAGCGTACTCAACAGCCACTAGGCTTTGAGGCTCTCTGCTTCCAACTGGCCAGGATCTTGGAGTCTGCTGGAGCCAAGGAGTCTGCTGTGGGGGCGTTGACCTCCCAGGATCGCGACTCGTGGGCTGACGCTCGTGAAGAATTGATCCGAGCCTCACCGAAGAATGAAGAGTCACTGCAAGCTATTGAGAGCTCATTGCTGGTACTCAATATGGATGACGAAGCTCCAGTGTCCCGTACTGAGGTCGCACGTGGACTCTGGCATGGCAACGGACGCAACCGCTTCTTCGACAAGTGTGTGCAACTTGTGGTGTTTGAGAACGGCAAGGCTGGACTACTGGGCGAACATTCGATGCTCGATGGAATGCCGATGGCTCGCTATACAGAATACCTCGTGTCGCGTCTGCATAATGGCCAGATTGATCTGGGTCCTCGTGGACAGACGACGCAGCAACTAGAGCTTTCACTTGCTGCTCCCAAGCAGCTCACGTTCCGCTTTACGACGCAGACGTTGCGTAACATTGCTGAGGCTGAGAAGGTGTTCGACCAGACTGTGGTCGACCACGAAGTCTTCGTACAGGTCTTCTATGGCTACGGTGCACGCTCCATCAAGGGATTCCGCTGCAGTCCGGACGCGTTCGTGCAATTAGCTATTCAATTGGCGTACAAGAAACTGTTCAAGAAGAATGCCGCCACATACGAAGCCTCGCAGACGCGTCTGTTCTTACACGGACGTACTGAAACAACTCGCAGCTGCTCCGTGGCTAGCGCCAAGTTCACGGATGCCATGGAGGACGCGTCTGGCTCCGTCGCAACTGAAGAGAAGAAGAAGTTGCTCCTTGCTGCTGCTAACGCGCACGTTGCGTACATGCGCAAGGCTGGTGGTGGTCGCGGTGTGGACCGTCACATTCTCGGTCTTAAACTGCTGGTGCAGCCTGGTGAGCGTGTTCCGTTCTTTGAGGATCCAGTGATGGCTAGAGCGAGTCGTTGGCTCATTTCCACCAGCCACCTCACCAATGAACTGTTCGATGGCTGGGGATGGGGTGAAGTTGTGCCTGAAGGTCTGGGTATAGCATACAGTGTCAAGGATCAGTCCATCCAGTTCAATATCGCCTGCCGCCAACACGGTAGCTGGGGGGCTCGCATGGGCCACCTGCTTGAAGAAAGTCTCGTGGAGATGCAACAGCTTTTCACTGAGCAAAAGGAAATTGGCGCCAAGCTGTAGGCAAGAAACAAGAAGGGGGGCTAAACATGAACCTGTTGGTTTCTGTGAGCTATTCGCTGTTTTGTGTCGAATCGTCTACCGGCGAAAGCTTGTAGCATGGTTCAAGGTCGTACGTATTCTTGGTGGTCCTTGTTCTCTTTAAAGCTTTCTTACTGTCCAACTGCATGATCTTGAGCATACTGGAATGCTTAAGAAAGATTGCGCAAGAGTGACTCACGACTTCGATATTAAGGTTAACCCTTTTGTGAGCCGAAATGCAACGAACTACAGTACTGGGTCGATGCGTATCGACCCGATGGTGTCGGCGTGGAGGTCTTAAGCAATTTCTAGCTGATTACAACTAACATGAAGTACGGTATTACTATTGTACTGGTTTAATAGCGTGTGAAATGAGCATAAAAAATGGGTATACTCTAGCATTTGCATTTATTAGCGGTACTCGCTAAGCTCCTCATGGAAATGGTCAAGAGCCACCAGCATGAGTGCATACGGAATATTCTGTTTCATGACCGTCGAGCGGATGAAAGGTAGACCCGCAGCCACTAAAGAAATACCAGCACTAGTCAGGTCATCTTCGCGCTGTGTCGTCAATGCCGTCTTGATCCCACAATACATGAAGAAGAAACTAATAGCAGCACAACAGTAAATACGAAGGATAATCAGCAACACCATCAAAAACACTATAGCTTAATTGCCAGATCCTCACCCTGAGAAGGCTCCTCCTGTTGTAGCAGCTCCACGTGCGATCGAGCTCAACGCAGCAGGCGCCAGTTTTCCGTGCTGCTTCATGTACTGCTTCGCTCCATCAACTGTTATTCAACCCACACCAGTATTAATTAGAATACAAGTTTATAACAATGGGTTTACATCATCGTTGCCACGTACTGCCCCCGAAAGTAGCGCCAGTGACGAAGCCCACTAAACTGCCAAAGATGAGCCGATTACGCATGTTGCGCAGCGCTGCTGGCTCCGTCAGAGCGCTCAGTCCCATGCTGCTTTTGTTTTCATTGGTGTCCGCCTTCTCTGCCTTTTGCGTCGCGGCGGATGGACGTTTAGGCGCCTCCGGCTCGTCGAATGATGACCAATTCTGCGAGTCACCCATCTTGCTCCTTTGAGGTCGAAATTGAGCTCGTTGCAAACCCTCCATAATCGCATTCTTCTATCTTCACAAATTGGTACTAAATCTCTTATTTAGTGCAAATAACTCGCAAAATTCGCATTTCTAAAGAGCTCAACATGATGCCTTTGGTATCTCCTCCGCGCACGGCGTCTGCGCCTTCGTACCGGGCTTCGGACGCCACCCAGTCCTCGTATAATGTATACCAAGCTATACCGGACTTCACCGCGTTGCACTCAGACCCGCGGCCGCGTCAACACTTCGAAGAAGAGCGCTTCCCACTACCGCCATTCCGTCCCCGACACCGCGTGCGCCAACCTCGCGGCTGCAACTTAGTGCGACCCTACACTTTGGCCGGTGAGATCACACGCATGGTGCTTTACAACGGATGTAGCGCCGCGCTTAGCATAACCGCAGCCTTAATAGTCTGGGTGATGGCAGCTCTGTCTGTCCTGATGATACCTCTCTGCGGTTGCGGTGTTTCTGTCTTTAACGGATTACTACACGCAGTCTTCTACTTATGCTGCACTGACGCCTTCATCTACAATGCATTGGCTGCATCCTCTGCGGATTGTATTGACATGGACCTGGCAGAGTGGGGAGTCGATGTTACAAGTAGTGAATTGCACCCTTTGTTGCCAATTCGAGTGCCCCCGCCAATCGGAGGAGCCGGAGAACAAATGTTCGAACCGTGTCCGAGATTCGAGAGAAGTCTGGGGACTCCATCGCCCAGATCGGTGCTTGCAGTGGCCTATTTTGGCTGTTTCAAGCTGCTAGTCGGCGCAGGACAAGTGATTACTGTGACGTTGGTGCTGGGAGTTCTCGGGTTCCTGATTGGAGATAAACGCGTCCCAATTCATTTGGACACACTCACGGTGCAACATCCGTTCGCAGTGTACACGACGACGTTCGGGTTGTTGCTGATAGCGCTGGCACTGCTCCATGGGATGACGAGGGTGTCCAAGCTTGTCACGCGGTTCTTCTGCTGCGACGCTGTTCGACCAGTTGGGACGAGGGCGGTTGTAGATGAACTTTCACGGCCTAACGGGCAGACAATTGAAAGAGGGGAACGGACCCAAAGTGCTCGAAAGACGCAGCAATGCCGTCGACGACCAGACAAGTTGGGGGACGACAAGTAAAGAAGACGCTGGCGTGCTGCAACGGCACTTCTCGGCCCGTTCGCCGCGTCTTCGAGCTATCCTGTTGCAAGCACCAAATCTGCTTCCGTTGTCTTTCCAAGACGTGCTCGAAGGCTGTCAAGAACTCGATTCTGCCAACGTGCTGGAAGTGCGATAAGGAGATCGCGTTGAAACAAGTGGAGCTGGCTCTAAGCCGCTCAGAGTTCGCGTCATATATGGCGTGGTACCGCAACGAGGCGTCTCCAACCGCAACTTGCGTCAGCTGCGTCGTCAAGAAGAAGCGAGACGAGTTCCGAGTCGCGCCCTGTGGCCACAACTATTGCCAGCCGTGTCTGCTACGAATGTGTCGCTTAGCATTAGGCGATCGCGCTCTTGTCCCGCTGCGTTGCTGCAAGAAGGAGCTTCCTGACGACTATGTGCGTGAAGCGCTAGAAAAGCCTCAGGACTACGCCAAGTACCAAAAGCTCGTGCGGGAGAAAGACTGGAAGGTGTCGGATCTCCAATCCGATGCCGAGTACTCGGCTACAGTGAGAGCCATGGGAGGCAAACAGTGTCCTGGCTGTGGTATCGGCGTGCAGCGAGACTTTGGTTGTGTGCACATTGCGTGTCCCAATGGACACCAATTCTGCTACACATGTCTGCGGTTTTGGGGATCCTGCAACTGCCCATTGATCCCGGAAGCCGAGTTGCGACAGATTCTCGGAGAGTAGTAGTGTTTTGGCTCTAGTGTCAGTTGCAGTGAGCTGCATTGCATGTTTGAGGTAATTGTATGGCTCTTTTTGATTGAGTTGCATCTGATGCATCGTGACCCCCGTTAAACTCAAGAAAAATCGCGTGCCGCGTCCCAAACTTCCCCAGCTTCCAGTTAGTTTTGCGCCAGTTTGGAAAGAAACTCGAGGCTTTTTCTTGATGGCGACTCCAAGGCTGCGCTCTTCCCGCTGCTCTGGTTGTTCTGGCGAGTTCTTCTGGTCATCGTCGGCTTCGCAGCCTAATAATCTGTTCCCGTTGTTGTGTGGGGAAGTTTTCTGTCGATCTTGTTTGGCTCAGAAAGCTCGAGCAGTCTTGTCGACGAGAGCTGTGCCGCTGCGGTGCTGCGAGAATGTGGTTCCGCATGACTTTATTCACGAGGTGCTGGACCACGAGGAAGATGTCTACTACGCACTCCTTCTCCAGCTTCCGTATGAGAACGATGGCGTGACGAAGGTGGATGCAAAAGCAGCTTCTGTGTCTATCCCAGCTGGACTTCGAGCTCAGCTTGCAGAAGCAAAAGCAGCTATCAAGAGAGGGTCGAAGAAGCGATTGAGCTCGACTTTGAATACCTCTGCTGCTCAACAACCTCGCCATCGGTATCTCACGCGTAGCACCAAGGCTCGTCTAGCCACGGAACTAGAGCCGACGGACACTGCACCCGCTGACATTGAGCAAGAGACTGCACCTTCACCTGCTCGCAAACATTGTCGAATGTGTGGAATTCGAGTGACCGAGTCACTGCTCCAAGCCCCGTGCGGTGACAAACTCTGCCGCAAATGCGTCGAAACTGGAGCTCGTAGATATCTCGTCTCGGACCCCAAGGACAACCGTGTTCCTGCGAGCTGTTGCGGTACAGTATTGCCACTGGATCTGGTACTTCGTGTGATTTCAGGTACAGAACTCACGACGTACGCCAAGCGCTTGGTAAAGTACGTCGATGCGACCAAAGACCTCACCACTCCAAGCACTCGAGGAACTAAGCGTAAGGCTGCGTCAGAGAAGAAATCGACTGTGTCAGCTCGAGCGACGAAGGGATCCAAGGGCAAGGCACCTGCCAAGAGAGCGAAAAAGGCAGCTAAGCAGAAACAGGAACAAGAGCGCGTCTGTGTTGCATGCTACTCGGATGCGACTCCACCTGGAAGCCTGATGATCGTGCCGTGTGGCCATGCCTACTGTTTGTCGTGTCTTGCAATAATGGCCAAGACGAGTCTTACCGACCGCAGTCAAGTCCCGATTCGCTGCTGCTCGAAGGAATTTCCGGTGGAGTATGCTGATCAAGTACTGACCAAGCTTGAGTTTGAGCAGTACAAGAGTTATCTTGCCGAATGCACCCCCAAGAAGTCCTCGCTTTTATCCGATCGGGTCTACACGGCTGTTGTGCGGGAAAATGGTGGGAAGCAATGCCCTCAATGTGGAGTTGGAGTGATTAAAATCGCGGGGTGCGATTATATGACGTGCCCCCTTCGCCATTCATTCTCTTGGATCTGATCTTTAGGCACGCTGCGTTTGCAGGTTGGTGCTGTTTACTGTATTTCCTTATTGCTTGGGGCTCTTCTTGATATTCACTTGCGGTTTTGTACTTGCGTAGAAGATGCCCGTACTGAGGAGTTTTCATCTAATACCTTGAGCCACGCAGTTTTTGGAATGATTATTAAAGTTGGGTAAGCTGAAATATCCTCATTTTGACTATTACTTCAATTAAAATGAGTTGCTTTAGTGAGCTTCAAAAGGAGGCTTGCTCAGCTGTACTATCATCACCGCTAAAAGGAAATCGGTGCCACGTCCCAAAGGTGTCGCAAGTTTCCTCTCTTCCCTCAGTTGAGATTTTCGCAAGTCGATGACAACGTCACGCGGGCGGCTTTCGGCGCAATGCTCTGGCTGTTCCGGCAACTTCTTCTGGTCGGCGCAGCCAAGCACGTTGTTCCCATTGTTATGTGGAGACTTGTTTTGTCGATCTTGTTTGGTTCAGAAAGCTCGCGCGGTGTTGTCGGCTAGAGCTGCGCCGTTACGGTGTTGCAAGAAGGTGGTTCCCCATGACTTTGTTCGTGACGTGCTGGATCATGAAGAAGATGTCTACTACTCGTTCCTACTCAAATTAACTTCAAGTGATAATGCCACTACGAAGTCCAATGGAAAAGTGTCTGCCGTCCCGACGGAACGTGCGAGAGCTATGCAAGATGCGTTTACCGCAGCTAATAGTCTTCGAGCTCGAGTAGCAAATGCAGAAGCAGCTAGAGCGAGATCGTACTCGGAGCTGATGAACTATGGTAGCCCTCCTGCTCAGCCTCGCTATCTTACACGTAGCTCCAAGGCTCGCCTTGCTAGCCACGACTCGAAGCAAAGCGAAGCTTTATCGACTGCCTCATCCGAGTATCCACCAGCTCTTCCAGTTCTCAAATTTTGTGTTGTGTGTGGGATTCGGGTGTACGATCCGCGGTTTACAGCTCCATGCGGTGATGAATTCTGCCTTGCGTGTATCGTAGCCAAAGTTACCGGATACCTTGACGCGAAAGCCAATGATAGCGCTGTCCCAGCAAGTTGTTGCGGTAAGCTACTGCCGCTGAATCTTGTGCGGCGCGTGGTGACCGGACCATTGCTGACAACCTACGAAAAACGGATGATAAATTATGTAAGTGCGACAGCTAGCACTCCACGCTTGCGAGGAATCAAGCGTAAGGCGGTACCGGAGACGAAACCAAGTGCGTCTCCGCGTGCCACGAGAGGATCCAATGGCAAGGCCCCTGTCAAGAGAGCGAAGAAAATCGTCGACCAAGCGCAAGAATCCAAGCAGGTGTGTGTTGCATGCTACACCAGCTGTCGTTCACCTGAAAAGCTGCGGATCGTACCGTGTGGTCATGGATACTGCTCCCCGTGTCTTGCAAAGATGGCCAGAGTGAGTTTGACGGATCGCAATCTAGTCCCCGTTAGCTGTTGCTCGAAGGAATTCCCGATGGAATATGTGGAAAAAGCACTGACAAGGAATCAGTTTATGCGGTACAAGCGCTATCTGGCCGAACGCGACCCGAAATCGTCAACGCTTAAATCGGATCGGGACTACACGACGTTAGTGCACAAAAACCGTGGGAAGCAATGCCCTTTATGTGGGATTGGCGTCGTGAAAGTCGCTGGGTGCAACGCGATCACGTGTCCCCTGGGTCACTACTTCTGTTGGAAGTGCCTCAAGACAAGCTGCATTTGCTGACAGATCTACAAGTATCGCTAGGTGGTTATGGTCATCTCGCTGGTAGCATTTTGCTTTTCTTTTATATTTTTTAATGCCGTGGTTTCGATCATTTGCGTATTGGTTCGATCAATAACGTCGTTGGTTTGATTGACAGTATCCGTCGTAGTGAATGTTGCGTCTGGGAAGAGACGTTAACGGCGGGAGAAGCAAGTCGTATTTCGTGGAGTTCACTTTCAGTTTCTTGTTAGGAAATTTTCAAGGCTCACTTGCCATTTTCCGTAGCTGCAACAGCACTATGGAAGTTCTTCCGACGTTGGATGAGTTGAAAGAGCTTGCTCAATTTGAGCACGTGGTCTACCTCGACGCCGATACAATTGACTTCGTCGATGAAGACGACGGTGAAGCTATCGAAGCCCAACTTGCTGAGGTCTATGCGCTGGAAGTGTACCGCGAAGAGATTCGTCGTGCAGAGCAAGTCAACGTGGACGAAGCGGTTGCTTTGAGTTTTTACGCCAAGGAGGAGTATAAACTACTACACTCTACCGACTCGGATCTGGATACGGACAGCGATGATGATAACTCGTTGGTGCTGGTGGAGATCTCCGATCTCGAATGCAAGCCACCTCCAACGTGCACGAGTTGCGTGGCACCTCTCGAGGACAAAACCACGCACCGGGTTTTAACGTGTGGCCATCTCTACTGCCAGGATTGTATCGCCACTCGTTGTCGCTTGGGTGTCCGCGATCGGGCCATGGTGCCTGCGCACTGTTGCAAAAGGGAATTCCCTTCCGACTACGTGAAAGAGGCGCTGAATGCTGTCGAGTTCGCAACGTACGAGCGATTTCTGAAAGACAAGGACTGGCGCTCGTTGGATCTGAATTCGGATCGCGACTACGCCAACGCAGTGCGCCAGAATCATGCCGTGCAGTGTCCTGGATGTGGCGTGGGAGTGCAGAAGATAACGGGGTGCAACCACATGACCTGCTTCAACAGCCATCAATTCTGCTTTTTGTGCACCAGGAAGTGGAAAACTTGCGCCTGTGAAACCTAAGCTCGCAAAGCAACGTCGTTAACGTACGAGAGGCGAACACGTACCCGTATCCTAATGTTTTTTTTGCGTTTTAACCAGTACCGGTAATCAATACAGCTGCAGTTGCGAGTCCAGATTAATAGAGCAGCATTTCGTGCTCGTTCTTGTTGCTGAAGTCACCGATGGAAGTTGCGAGCACGGGGGGGTCAACTTGTTCCACTTTGGCTCCGAACTTGTCGTGGGAGATGAGGATGGAGAACTTCTCGACAGTAGAAATGAGATCTCCATTGATCCCCACGTAGTCGAAGTTGCCCAATAGATCAGTGTAGCCATCTTTGTAAAACTCCGTCTTGGTGCGCCCACCCACCGATGACACCTTGGCGTACACCTTCACGTAGCACGAGCGCACTGGAAGACCGTCACGTAGAACTTGCAGGATGCCACACTGCGTCATGACATCGATCTTCAGAGTCGAGTTGAAATACGGAACGATGACGTTGATTGGTGGGGCTACGCTTTCCACTGTACGAGACGACGGGGTTTCTCGAACTCGGACCATCATCTGCGCTCCGTTCAGCTCGTCTGGGATCTGCACAGCTGTCTTTGTTAAGTTGGAGTCTGCTGGAATAGTGCTGAGGTTCACAGATAGTTGCAGTCGAGGTTCGACTAGTAGAACGCTTGAAGCGGACGCAGCAGAGTCGGAAAACGTGTTGAACGGCTCCGTCGAGAACATCAGCTCCACGTCAATTGGGTAGAATGCGAGCTCGCACTGTCCAAGACACTGCGATAGCAACACCATGGCACCTTCACCCACACTTGCTTCGAGTTTGATTTGGCTTCCACGTGTAGTCGCTGCAGCTTCTCGGTTCAACAGGTCACCTTCCGTGGCAGCATCTACCATTTCCGTATCCTGCAGAATCTGCGTCTCAAATGCGTCGTATTCTTCCAGGAAGTCTTGGATTCTCATAAATCGCTGACGCCATCGAGGCTGCGGGTGCGTGAGATAGCTCGCAACCACTCGACGAGCAACAGGGAACATGGGTCTTAGCTGGCCATTGCTGCGGAAGAAATCGAGGAAGGCTGCCAAATAAGCAAACTGCACTGTTGCCTTCACCTCGACATCATCAGAACCAGAGCAGCTCTCCAGACGACTGAAAATATGGAGAGCGTCCTCAATTCGGTCGAACAGAACCATATAATACGCCATCACCAGCAGGTGTTGGCCATTCAGACGAGTACGCGTCCCCAATCTCTGACAAAGGTCTCCATAGTACTGACGCGTTTCGGCGTTCAAGATGCGCTTGCCCGCTGTTTTCGCTGTCTCTCCAAACGTAACGTGTGAATTCACTCGGCCTGTCACAGGATGCACACGTCTCGTTAAGAACGGCCCGAACTCGCAGTGATCAAAGCGCTCCACCTCGGACACAAATCGGTCGGTGTGGTACAGTCGTCTCTCGTCCACAAACGACGAGGAAGACCCACTACCCACAGCCTGTGTGACATCGTTTGAGCTGGCGAAATACTCGTGCATGGCTTGCTCGTCGCAGTGAAGTAGTGCGTACTTCCAGATACCCGACACGAACACCATTTTACGTCTGAAATGTTCCAAAATGCCACGGAAAAAGGATTCATCATGACAGCGCCAGCATAGCTTTTGGTAGTCGATCGTCACACCAGGTTTTGCTGACTCTATGAACTGCATGACTTCTTGCAGCGAACCTCGGGCACTAACGTCACTCCAGGACGTCAAATTCACGCGAGAAGCACACTTGACCACCTTGCAACTGGCCGTATCGTCTTGCATTTTCGCCCACGCAATCACTTGACCATCAAGGGAAGCTCGTGCAGGATACTGAGCAAAAGTGCCAGCTTCCGGGAAATAGAAGGAGAACTTGAACTCGTCCGTATGGTTCGGAGCCACATTTCCAATCTCGTTCTTGGTGTAGAACCCACTTGATCCCATGGGAATCGCGCCTTGAGGTATCTGGAGTAGTAAGTTGATATCCGTGAGATGCTCCGAGCCAATGTTACTCAAAGTGACGACCGTCGTGTAGATCTTGTTGACTAGTAGCTCGCTGTTGGAGTCTTCATTTTCATCATGGATACGTTGCTTCAAAATCAGTACACTGTTGGCTGCTGAGGTGGACTCTGCAGGTCTGATACTTCGATGATAAAGAACAGCATCGCTACTGGAACGAAGAGTTACGTGGGTACTTGCAGAGGAAGAGAGCTGCACTTGAGTCGGCTTGGCTTCAATGTCGAGATCCAGCACCGCCAACGCGAACAGACCTTCCGTTATAGACACCAAAGCTTCTGGGAAATACGAGGACACGAAGCGCTCACCAGCTTGTCCACGTGATACATACTCAGCGTACTCTTTCCAGAATTTGTTACGACCCGACAGTGCGGGTTGTTGCCCAGTGAAAAAGCATTTTTCTTGTACTTTGCGAACCTTGCCAGGAGGAATGTAGAGGGTTTCTTGCTTCACTTTCTTGCGCTTCTGCTGGGCTTCCTCTTCTGAGGTGCCATCTCCATCGACATCTTCTTCACTGTCGTCATTGTCGCTCTCGCTGTCAAGACTTCGTACTCCAAAATCGTCATCCGAGTCCATCAGGTTAGAGCCCGAGGTAGTTTCTGTAATTTCTCTTTCTCTGCCAGCTGCAGCCATACCGAAAGCCGAAGAAGCCCCAAATGAGGCTGATTGATATACTGGACTTGCGGGTGAGTAGCACGGGGACGACGGTGCACACATCATCTGCAATCGCGGCATCATTTCCGCCCTTCCCAAGTATCTCGAGACGTTTGGTGGTGCAGCGCCGAATCCCATCCCCGGAGCAGAATTGCTTGGTGGAGGCGGAGGCGCTGACGGTTCAACTTGACCTTGAGACAACACCGTGTTAAACAGACCTGAAAGCGCGCTACATTCCGCAGGATAGCTAGAGTCAACCTCGCGAACGACAGCTTGACAAATACGCGTTCGTACTTCCACGCCTGTCGTTCTTTCGGCCACCAGTAGCTTCTCGACGCAGCTCAATCGCTGGAATGCCGCCGGACCGAGATAGAATCTCCTCAAACTAGATTCATCATTAAGAACATAATAATCCACCAGAGACCTGCTGATCTTCGCTTGAATCAACGGTTTGGCATACTGTCGGAAGAATTCTGGGTCCTTCCGGAAGAGATAGAAGTGGAAATCATCACACGCGTAAGCGAAGTAAAAGCTGCTCTTCTCAGGAAGACTCAAGTTCCGCCACTCTTTCAGCTTGCTCGCCAGTTCGCTGACCTCACTTCCGCTTGTGAGTGTCGGCCACAGGTTGATAGCACTCTCGAGGCTGTCGTACAACGCGTACTTGCTTGAAAAGGAGCGCGGAAGAGTCTTCACTTCTCCTGGACGGATGCATTCATGACTGTCACCTTGTTGAAAATGCTCAAATGGTACCAGAGCCTCTTCCACACTCAGTCGAATGTCGCGCTTCGGTAGGATCAACTTGTTTTCTCGACCTGGAAGCATCATCGGCAGTTCCTGAGTACAGACACATCCACTTTCGCTGTCGAATGCGATCGTGCAGACCTCAAACGACTCCATTTCACTCGAAAAGAAGGGTAGCCCACTCAGATCAATGCGAACAGTGCCATCCGGACTCACATTGGACGAGACTAGAAGCTGGGACTGTTTTCCGAGGAAGGAAATGCTCGGTTCACGTCCATGGCCTGTCGATGATCTCCTCGTCGCGTGGTTCTTCGTTGCCATCGCTCTCATCACCCCTCCTCTCGACTGAATATCATGTGATGCCACAGCTTTGAATCCAGTCACCTTGTCACCAGCTTCTACAGTCACCACCTCCATTTCCGATTCGCTCATAACGTGAGGATTTTGAAGTAGCGACGGCTTTGGCAGCAACGGGGATCCAGTAAGAAGCATCAAGTTTTGACCGGAAGAAACCAATGCCCGTCGCTGAAGAATGTACGCGTACTCGTCACTGATCTTGCGCATCTTCAAGAAATCATTTTCAAGTGGAGACGAACGGAAGTGCAATCTTGGCAGACGAGATCCAGAACGCGTGACCGGCGCCAAGCCATCAGCCACGAGAACCTCACTTATTTTCTTCGAGCGCATATCCAGGAATTGCTTCAGCAACACCAATACATGCGTCGAATTTCTTGATGTATTTCGGAGCTGAATCTCTAGCACCAAGTTCTGTTTGTCTTCCGTTTTCAGTTCTTGCGAGCAAATCGTTAATGGTAGCGTTGGAGTGGCCAGCAGAACTTGTTTTGGCTGAATGATTACCCCAAGCGGTAGATTAACTTGCATGTTCTTCTTCTTGCACACAGTCACCGGGTACTTGAGGTTGAGTGGGCGTAGGTAGACGACATACTTACCTTCCTGAGCGACTCGTACTGCAATACTGACAGCACAATTTCGCTTGTTCTTCACCACCTCAATAGCTGAAAGATGGGCTGCATTTTGGAGCACTGTGTCGACGACTTCACACACCGAAACCAGCTTATTGTCGACCCATTTCTCCACTTCTGACGAAAACGCAAAGGGAATAGGGATCTCCACAGTGTCTTCCACCGAACAGTTCACAATTTGCGGTCGGTATGAACGCAAATTCGGTAATTCCCAGCTACACGACTTCGTGGATCCCGTGCGAGCTCCAAGTTCCACTTTAAGTCGCTCAATGTCTTGGAGTTGCCCTAAACTGACCTCCCCCGACGCGTCGGCTTGAAGTATCACTTTGATCTCTTCAGTAGAGTGAACGTGCTTCAAGAAGAAATCTGCTGTAGCGTTCGGAATAGGCTCGCCATTGTGACCAAGAACTAGTACACGAAATTCACTTGGACTGTACGGACTCCCTGCTTCAAGTGGCCGACGAACAAAATGAGCGGTGTACGTGCTGTCGAAATCGTTCACGCGTTGCACTTTGAAGCGCTTGGAGGCGCTCACCTTTGGTAAATCTCGAGTCTTCACGTCCTGATGTGGTCTCGAAACTCGCCCTTCAAGCGTGACGTTAAAGCTCTGAGCATCCATTGGAATCTCAAGGCTAGGAGGACTATTGACAGCCTCTTGCAAGGACACAAACGACAGTATCTCCTTGTGTGAGCTCGAGCCGACATTGCTGGTATTGATGAGATCGAACTCAATCACCACCTTCAAATTTACAATCAAGTCGAGTGACTCACCAGTTGCAAGACCAGCCACAAGTAAGCGAGGACGGGTGACAAGCTGGGCAATGAATCCAGGAAGTAGCTGTTCGGCATCAATGTGCATGTCAACGTCCACGTCAAAGGACTCGGTCAAATAGCTGAACGACCCATGGAAATACCCAAATGACTCGTGACAGAACGCGATTGCAAACTTGTCGCTTGAGCCGCCTTCATGTGGATGACGGAATGGAACAGTGATGCTCCCTTTGTCGTCTGGTGTGTACTCGCGGCCATGCTGCGCTCTGCTACCACCAGACTTCACGTTGAGCACGAGAGCACGAGCATCACGAAGAGGATTTCCACGCTCATCCAGCACCATAAACTCATGACCATGCGTCGTAATACGCTCCACGTGACGGAGAAAGCCCTTGCGTAAGATAGCTCGACACGTCATTCCCTTCTCAAATACCTCGACCACGAACACGCCTCGTCGAGACTTTCTCGTGGCATTGAACTCGACCGACACTCGAGATTCCTGCCATCGTGTGAGGTGGCTCAAATCGATCACCTGCTCTTCAGTCGGCAGCAGCCCATCAAGACAAATATCCCCCTTTATCTCACGACGCAAGCGAGAATAATATTCGATCGTCTTGATCTCGTACAGATGCGCAGTCACTGACTTGACATTCAGAATCCGCACGTAAAATCGCAGTGGATCATCCGGCAAAAAGTATGTCGGGTTGGACTCGCAGAAAACCAGCTGTGGTGAGCTCAACTCGCTGGGTAGCTCCTGGCTGTTAGCTTTCAGCTTGTCCGTCCACTGAGAGAACACGCCTTTGCCGCATTTTATCATGGTCAGCGCGTGTTGTACGTCTAAAAATGCCATTGTCCAGGTAGCTGGAAAGTGCACTGAAAACAGTTTTCTCATCAATTCCAGAGGACCACAGTGTTGTCAAACTCTTGCGAATGATTTCGTTGTGGTTGGCTTGATACACCGCGTTGAATCCACACGATCCAACGTAGCTAAATGTGTTCAAGACGCGCCCACCAGCGATCTTTACATATTCCACCAGACAGTTCAGCAGCTCCGGGACTGCGTTTGCGTTTGAGCAGCAGATCGCGTTCAAAAGCTGCAGTTTCCGGTACAACACCATCACTTGGATATTACCCACTGACGAAGGTGCGAAATCGCGCAGGAATTCCACATACGTCGCAAGATGCTGCAGCTCCTTCTCATTCTGCGCTTCACTGCGGAGATCAGAACACTGCTCACTGTCTACCTCCGCCGCAGCTCGAAGCAGTTGCATTCCACGAACAGCAAACTCGCTGTTGCTACGAAAGAGCTCGGGGTCTTGTCGCGCACACTCCAACAGTTGCGAGAAGGACAATGCTCCATGTGCTGCTCGGAAATTGAAGCTGTATCCCTTTACAGGGTCCTTGTCCCTCTTACGCTTAACGTCCCTGACAATAACGTCCACATATCTACAGCATAAAGACCGCAACGTATATCAGGTTATCAAGATACATGAGCAGCTGCTAAAACAGACAGCGTACCCTGGGATATCCGCGTATTCGAACGGGTAGTCGTCCAAGAACACTTCCAGCATCTTCCAGTGTTCCTCCACCGATCCGTTCCATGTGAGGATCTTCTGGAAAGTTTTCTCGCGTCCATAGACGTCCAAACCGTGCAGAAGTCCCTTCAACGAGGAATCTTTCTCGGAGCTATAGCTCAGAAAAGTCAGTCTGTTCTCAATCATGACGTCCAGATCCAGCAACTCGGGCAGTAGAGCCGACGGGTGCGTCTCCTTTCTGATCTCCGCCGTCCCTCCTGTTGGCTCGGGGTCTTGATAGTTCACCTGCAGCGACGTCGTGAGCTGTTGTGTCACATTCTACAGAAACAGACAATAAATCAGCACGCGTGGTTCACTCTGCCATCAACTCTACTCACCTTGATTTCCTCTTGTGGTCTCTTAAGCTTGTACAATAGATCCAGCTCCAATAACAGTCGCCGTCTATGGATTCGCTGGGAACGTCGCCAGCAGCTCCTTCCTGTGAGCTCTCGCTCCACCGTCTCTAGCTGCGTCTTGTTCTCTCCCAGCACTTGCCACGCCGCCTCGTGCTTCTCCGTCTCCATGAGCGTCTGCACATCAAGCAGTTTACATAGCGACGAATAGAACCAGAAGTCGGGTGTGCCCGGTGCAAACGTCTTGTGCACCAGCTGCAGCTTGGCTGCCACGCTCTCCGCCAGAGCGAACGCCTCCTGGAACGCCAGCTGCGCCTCGGCGCTGCCAGTGGCGCCCTCCGACGCCAATGCGGCTTCAAACTGTGAAGTGACCATCACTCCTGACGATTGTTCACTTTGCGCTCAAAAATGGAAGTGAGCTTTGGATACGAGCATGTTGAAGTGGGTACAGATTTAATTAGCCAATCAGATCGATTGGGTACAAAACTACCAATTTTGTACCCGCTAAATACACAAATATATCATAGCTACATTGTTTTACTACTTCAACTTGATCGTTGCGATGGGGCTCTTTGGTAAGAAGGGCAATGGCAGGCGGGTGGCGGAGGGTGGAGGTGGGACACTCGCTGCAGCTTCTCTCCCAACTGCGGCGTCGCCCTCGAAAAGCAAAACTGGAGACTTGGAGCTCTTCGGTGCCGACAGTGACGAGAGCGACGATGACGCCACCATCGAACGCTATGCGAAAGATGGCGGGGACGAGGAACTGGACGAGAAAGAGGCAGCTGAAGCCGAGAAGAGGAAAGTAGCGGTGCTCAACTCGAAGGTAAGGGACATGACGAGAGGGACAGACCGTGCGATACTGACAATAAACAACTGCCACGTAGCTATCGCCGGAAGAGTTGTTCAAGAAATACGACACAGATGGGTCAGGCAATATATCTGCTTCCGAATTTCTGGCAATGGTATTTTACAGCATATGATCCTCCGTAAATGACAATTGTGTTGCTAAATGTTTCATGTTGTAGCTGCCGGATCTGGGGATTTCCATCTCGGCTGCAAAAGCTATGCGGATATTCCGCAAATGCGATACTGACGGCGGTGGCGAGATCGATCTTACCGAGTTCAAGATGGCAATGTTTGCGGTGGATCCAGTGTCTGGCAACCCACTCGGTTTCTCTCCGTCGACACTATTGGGGCCTCGCGATGCCTTCGAGCTGTTCGATGAAGATGGCACAGGGCAAATCGATGAGCTTGAATTCGCAGTGAGTAGTGCAAGCGTAGCGGTGTCCATAAATCGTGGACTGATAGTGGCTTTATGCAGGACGTACTTGAGTACTTTGGTATGGACGTGAGCGACGAAAAGCAAGAGAAAATATTTAGAAAGTATGATAGGGACAAGAGTGGCTACATCGATTACCAAGAGTTTCGATCCATGTGGATCAAACTGGTGGATGTACGCGAAGAACTCACAAAGCGAGGAGTAGAAATCCCGAAACACACGCGATTGGTGAAAGTACAGCAGATACTAGAAACAATTCTGGACCAAGAGGAAGCTCGAGAGGCCGCAGCACTCGAACAAGCCAAGAGATTCCTACAACGACAGCGTGATAAGAAACTTCGGGAGCAGCTGGGCCAGAAGGCAATTATCCGGGCTGAAGACGAATTGGCTGCAGCATTGGATGCGGCAGGGCAGGTCTACATAATAGGGAGTGGCAAATACGACCAGTTTATTGGCGACCCTGTTACTCGAGACGAGGATTTGTTTCCAGGGTTTAAAGCTGTGAGCGATATCTGGTTCCACCGAGTAAATCCAACTCACCAGGAGCTCCAAGTAATAAAACCCAAAGCTGCAGCGACAGTCAACAAGCAAAAGAACGCGGCAGATCAAGGTGTCGACGTAACTAACAAATCTGCGCTCCAACAAAAGAACGTGAAGATCACAGACCCCCAAGCTGGTAATCAACTTAGTGCCCCACTAGCGTCCAAGTATGTGCGTCGAAGAGTAGAGAATAAGCGCTGGAAGTTTCAAAGTCCGCCGAGGCTAAACAAGCAGACGATTTCGGAGACCAAGACACATATTCGAGCAATAGCTCGTGAGATGGATACGGCGAATGATCGCAGCGAAGGAGAGCAAGGTGCCGACTTGAAAAATAGTCCCACTGAATCGTCTGAGGTTGAAGAAATACCCCGCGATGCGAATAATCAGGTCCAAGATGAAGAGGAGCTTGCCAAGCTGTTCTTCGAAAACCGCGAGTTCGTTCGCAGTCTAAGGTTCCGCTCGACTACTTTGATGACAAACACGGGGCCGTTGTGGGGTAAAAGTGTCGTGCAAGGTGCGATCAGTGACAGTGTCGCATTTGCCGTCACAAGTTCGGGCGGTGTGTTCAGCTGGGGAGGGAGGAATAGTACGTGGGAGGCTTCCAGTCGACGTCTTGCTGGCTTTGATAGCGATTCGGACGATGATGTTGATGAAACTGGTTTGAAGAAAGATGCAATGGCTTCGGAGACTGGGATGAAAATTAAGATTACGCCGCGGTCAGCATTACAAAAGATGTGCACCCCAGAGCAGGTAAGACTGTTTTAAATGTACGATAATGTAAGACTAACGGCTGTGTGCGCAGCTAAAAGGACTGCGAGATGCCGATGTGGAAGCGAGAGAAGAAGAACTTGTGGAGATGGAAGCTCGGCAAAAGGAGGAAACCCAACGCTATGAAAGGTGCGCTGTCTAGCAGCAATGGATTTTATTTACTACAGTAGTTCTGATCGATTACTCTATGACATGAAGGCTGAAGCGAGTAGTTCTGTATTATGACGTGTGGGAACCACCTCCCAGTAACGCTACACGACTTCTGTTTATGGAGCAAGTTTTGTTACCAAAGATCGAGTACGATCGGCTTCTTACGTCGGCGCAACTTCGAGGTCTCGAGTTTCAGCAGATTACCAAAATGGACTTGTCCCTCGCTCTCGGAGAGTGCTTTGAGCTGGAAGTCGAAGTGAAGGGAGAGGCAGGACACGTTGCGTTTAAGGAATTGGAGAGCCTGATCAAAGTGCGTCGCAGGGCTGTTTGCTATCGTTGTTTTTGTACTCAAAGTCCACATTGTCGAGCAGGAATACAGTCAAGATAAAAAGAGTAATCAAGAAAAGCAAGTTAAACTTCTTCAAGCGGTATGTTAGCTGGCTGTTATCGATCATAAATGTATATTTACTCATTTTTGTGTTGATGTGCTAGGAAAAAGACAAGAAACTGCAGGAGGTAGGAGAGAAGCAATGCCATGTTGATGAGGAATGCTCACAACTTCTTGTTACAGTGGCAAGACGTTAAAGCACTTCGGGAAAGTAGACATGCCAAGTATGAGGAGGATGCAAAAGCCAGAGTTGTTGACAAGATAAAGCGCGCGGTTAGTCATTTGGTCGAGCATGTAACATATTTTCTCCTAACTCTTCTGCTACAGGACCGCGCTTACGAATCTAGAGCAGCTCGACGAGTTGTGCAGTTGGAAGACACGATCCCTGAGCTCACTGCTAGAGGTGGTAATTTACGGATCGAGATGAGCGGCATTACTACAAGGTATGGTAAAGGCTACGCCTGATCCTATTTGGTTCGAGACTCATCTCGACATTATGTGCGCAGAGGACCACCACTGCACTCGCCAAGAGGCTTAGTAGTAAGTAAACAACCACGATTTTCGTTAGCCAGGTGCTCACTTTATTGTGGTAGGCCGTCGCAAGTGTTTCAGCAGGAGGTTCTCATGTGGCTTTGGTGATGCAGGATGGGTACAAGATCTTACACAGCTGTAACAATTACATGGTCTTACCTATATTCAATTTATTTGTCAGATCGCTGTACACGTGCGGAATTGGCACTAGCGGACGTCTCGGTCTTCAGCTAATTGGAGGAAAAACACGTTGCTACGATACGAATCACCCGCAACGTGTCGAAGCATTCACTGTACGTGCCCGTGTATCTTTTACCCGCTCCAACTTTTAGATGGAGAACTTACACGTACATTTAACGCGACATCTTCAAGAATTTAAGTCTGCGTCAAGTGTCCTGCTCTTTTTCCCACAGCGCAGCAATTGACTCGGACGGATCATTATACACTTGGGGGTCGGCCTGTACTGGAAAATTGGGAGTCGGGATTGTGGAAGACGAGTACAAACAGTACTCATTGACGCCGCTACTGGTCAAATTCCCCGGAAAACGCACGATCCGGTCGGTATCATGTGGACCTTCGCACACTGGAGCAGTCTCGACAGCAGGAGAGCTCTTCATGTGGGGTTCAGCAAATGGAGGGCGTCTTGGTCTTGGACAGCATATGAACGACACTGTAGTTGTCCCCACATTGGTGAGAGAGCTCGTCAAGAAGAGAATCCGAGTATGGCAGGTGTCCTGTGGAACGGCACATTCAGCCTTGTGCACTGAGGTTACGTCCGAATGTACCGGTGGGAGCAAAAAACTGCTTGGTGGCCAGGTCTACGTGTGTGGAGGTGCAACTGCACTGAGTCGGTTTGTGTTATCATGGGAACGGATACCCGAGTTGGACGATGTTGGCATTCGCCAGGTGGCGTGCGGTGGTAGCCATACTGCTGCTGTGTCCTCCTACGGCGAACTGTTTACTTGGGGCCGAAATTTTCATGGTTGTACAGGTCATGATGCAAGCGTAAGTGTTGGGTACGCACATTTGATTTGGATAATTGCGGCTTACTGTGGCCTCGCCTGTGCGTTGGATGCAGCGAGTATTTATTGAAAAACCAGAACTGCTAAGGTGTCTGCATGTGGAGCCCTATAACCTGGCGCTAGGCAAGCCTTGCCGCCAGATCAATATCTACAACGAGCAAGGTCCTCATTTGGCTGTCAATGGGGAGACTGGGGGCGCTTTAGCTACTTGCATTCACACTCATGTACAACAACAGTTGCCTTTCAAGACTCGATTGATCATGTGCTAATAGTTTTCGCGTTGCAGATGGAAGACAAACCATGGTGGGAAGTTGATCTGGGGCAGCCTGCAGTCATCGAGAAAATACGGGTAAGTCCTTTTGGTTTTCCGCAAGACTGAACGATCTAATTGTTTGCGTAGTTGTGGAATCGGACGGATGAGCCATTGAACCCGTCAAAGAACAGGTCGGAGTATAGCAATCGCTTGTTTCCTTGCTGGATCTTCGTTAGCGAGTTTGCGTTCCAAGATCTCGACGGCAATGAAGGGTACGCCAAACTATGCTGCCTACAGCCACGAGACGAGTTCGTAACGTGGTTTTGGGCACTTGATTTAGTCTCCGAGCAGCGAAAATACAGTCAAGCGCGTTTGAGTTGTTCCGGACGAACAAACGCATGACAGAATGGGTCCTTCCAACGGCAAACACGGTCGGCCAATTCATCCGAGTACAGCTGCAAAACAAGAGCTTCCTCCATTTCGCTGAAGTAGAGGTGTTTGGCGTCTACTCTGCCTTCAAGTACGTGGGCAAAGTCGGCACTGTCCAATGTAGTACAGACGCCACAATGGTTGTCATGCCTCCCATTTCGACTCAAAGGTGCGTACTCATACAAATATGTACTATGAGCATGTGCAGTGGAAATTAACACCATTGTAGCGTGCTGGATGACTACTACCTTCGTGCCGTACAAGCTGATGCCGACCACGCCACAATTCTACGCCAGTACGACGCATACGAGCGATCATTCCGCAAGTTTGGTCGTGGTACTTCAGAAACACTTGACGGGCCGTGTCGACTCTGTCGTGTCTTTCGTGATTGCGAGGTTTGCCAGTTCTACGCATCAGCCAATTACAATCGTCGCTCATTGAGCAGCGGGGAAGTGAAGCCACTTCCCGTTCGACTCGTAGGTGATCGCATGGGACTTAAGGTACGCGTTTTCATACTATAGAAAAAAAGTGTTGAAGTTGCCATCGCGCTGATGAGTGCACAACTGATATAGGAACTCGTACAAGTGGCGATGGCGGAAGGCACGTTAGTAGCTGAGCAGCAGGAACAACTTCGACAGGAACAAGAAGCCGCAGACAGTGCTCGAGAAGCCGAGGCCGAACGGCAACTCGCAGAAGAGCAGGAGCGCAACAAGCGGCAAAGTCGATTGCTGAAACCTTTTCAACGTCTCAATTTTCGCAACACGAAAATTTAGCAAAAAGACAAGAACATTTCAAGATGGGTTTTCAATTGTTTTTGCTATTGGGTGTTTCATTTTTAAAGTGGGACGTTGATTTTAGACTTCCTGTCAAATTTAATATTAGAAACCTAGTAAAACGCATCGGAAAAGGCGGGAAAACGTTTCGGCGGTTTTACTCTCACTTTTGAGTGGGAAAGTCTCTTCCGTGAGTCAGTGATGTTGCTCAACACCCTCCGCACCAAGGCGCGGGCGAACGGCTCGTCGCAAGCGTCAAGTGGTGGCGCGTCCAGTGGCGCCAAGAAGCAGCGCTCCATCCACGACTTTTTCTCGCAGTCGTCGGCCGCCCACAAGCGCGTAGGCAAGTTGCGCAAGGCTCGGCGGTCTCTGGAGGCGTCAGCCAAGGGCAACAGCTTCAGCTCCGCAGCAATGGACGATGGGGAGGAAGAGTCTGTGTCCATACAAAAGCGCATCGATTACGACGTGATGGACGACGAGAGTAGCGAGGATCCGATGCTCTTAGCGTCACAGAACAGTGACAACGGCGCGCGCAGGCCCAAACCCAAGAAAATCGACTTTACGGGCTGCTCAAGTCAGCGCAGCGAGCCAGACTTTGAGCCCACACACACGCCTGTGCGCTTCGGTCTGCCACCCACCAGTCAGGGCTATTACACGCCCGGAATGGCCACGCCCATGCAACAGTACAGCCAGGACGACATGGACTTCCTCACTCCTCGCGATCAACCGGTTATCCCACTGTCGAACCCGACAACACCGTCACCGTTGAAAAAACGACCTAGACTCAGTAGTGGAGCAGACATTGTTCAGGAGGAACAGGTGCAAAACCTCACACAGGACATGACCCACATGGAAGTGAGGCACGCACGGAAAGGGTTGCCGTCTTTTTCCAGTCAATCGTCCATGGGATCGCCAAAGGTCAACGTGGTGGTCAATGGCAAGAGAGCGAGACCCAATAGGTGAGTTTGTTGCATCGAGAAGGTGTGGTCGTGGACATGTTGTTGACCATTTTGTTTTTGTCACGGGGTTGTTGCTGCTGGTCGTATTGTTGCAGTGAACAAGCGACGTCCTTCTTGTCCGAAGATAGTTATGTGAACCCGTTTGCACCGGAGCCGACGACGGAGTCTGGGAAGAAGAAGATATCTAGACGCAAACGACGGTCTTTCCCGTCGGCGTGGGTCGGAGCGAAGAGTGGATCGCCGGTGTCCAAGTATCTGTCGGATTTTTCAGAACTGGGGGTACGAATTGTCTCGCTGCAGACGTTTACTATTGTGGAATTGATATTCTGACACGTATGTTGACAGCTGATCGGCTCGGGGTCCTTTTCTAAGGTCTACAAGTGTATCAAGAAAATCGATGGCTGGATATACGCGGTGAAGAAGAGCAAGCGGCACTTTCGGGGCAAAGCAGACACGTACGATGATCTCGACTTGATCTCATTTAATCTGCTCTAATCTATGTTTCTGTGTGGGTTTTTGACAGTGAGCGAGCACTACGCGAAGTGCAGGCACTAGCGGCGCTGAGCAGTAGCAACCACGTGGTTCGGTACTTTGACGCGTGGATAGAAGACGATTTGCTCTACATCCAGCTCGAAAGCCTAGAGGGCTGCTCGCTGGCTGGCTTCGTCAACAAGTATGCACCACACAAGGTTCCGGAAGAAACGCTGTGCAAGCTCTTGTGTCACATTGCGCAGGTACAGTGTCCAGCATCTTGAGCACTGCTTTACCTGGCCTGAATAGCTAATAGCCGTTGTGTATATCAGGCTCTCTATGACATGCACAGTAAGAAGATGGTCCACATGGACGTCAAACTGCAGAATGTTCTTGTTGGATCAGGAGAAGTGTACAAGGTTTGTGTCTCGTGCTACGTTTGTGGCTAGTCTCAAGTGGTTGAGCTAACAATTGTCTTGAAGTTGGGCGACTTGGGAACTGTTGCTCATCTTGACGGCAGCATGGAAATCACAGAGGGCGACAATCGATATCTTAGTCGGTAAGCACCATGCTGCGTGCATTGCTGTACTGGCACGGGCAAGCTAACATGTAGGCGTGTCAACGTAGGGAACTACTCGAAGGCAATCGGAATAATTTACGCGCCGGTGATATCTTCGCTCTGGGAGCCACAATCTATGAGCTCGCGCTCGGAACGACGCTGGCGAGTGGCGGTGAAGAATGGCAGAAGATCCGCGACGGAGACCTCGTCATGTTCCGGTAAGGATACGTCACTTGTCATTGGCCAATCGCGTCGCTAACGTTCTTGCTCACACGTTCGCCACAGACAATACTCCAACTCGTTGCAGCACCTGATTGCTAGTATGATGCACCCAGACGCACTGCAGCGGCCTCTCGCCGAAGATATCTTGCAGCACGAGGTGGTGCTGCCCTTCCGTTAATCAGTTTTGAAGCCTAAAATTGCTGCATGTCGGTACACTATGCAAGGAAACGAAATATACTACATTTGCACAACTTGCGTTGAGCAGTACTAGCCGAGCGCCGCCGCTACGCGGCGGTAATTTAGGTTTACTTTAGATTTTTGCCTTCCCGCCTTCGCTTCGCTTCGGCGGGATAATTAGTCCAAATCCTCTGAGTCCCCCGTGTGCCTAAATCGACTTCTTAAATTTCATAAATCTGCGTTTCATTTGCTACAAAATGCTGAGTTCCCAGTAAGCCGTGTATATTTTTCTACCGGTACAAAAGACTGAACCCCTAGCTCATACTTACCATGCTCATAAACGCTTACGCTAGTGATCTTGGCAAAGTCTCTTTATTGTTGTTGGCTATCACTGTCTTAATCTTCCACCCAGAAGCACCTGCACTTCAGTCTAAAAACGCTAAATAATATATTTAGTTCAGCGTCGTGCTCGATTTCACGGGCCGTTTCTGAAACCTAAATTGCATCAATACAAAGAATATCTGTCCAGCTTGCATCAAATACCCGCTTGTACTGCCTGGTTAAGCTTCTAATAAACTGACTATTAACCACTTCGCATACCAAACTCGCTACTTTGAAAGAAAATTAAAAGTGTTACGATTTGAATTTTTAATAAAAATATTCAAGCCGTAGCATTTTTTTATGCATTAAAGTGTGTTCATTTTGTGCTGATTCAGAATCAGTCATTAGACACTCGAACCTGTGCCTGTTATGGTTATAGCCTTTGGATATAACGATGCGTCGCAAGACGCCTTGCTGTTGTTGTTGTTGACGGCGGTATTTTTATTTGATACTTAAACGATGATGTCAGGATGGTTAAACGTAGATTAGGCTTTAAGTTGATAAACGTTTCTTTACGGGCCTACTTATAGTAACCATAATTGACACCTCTCATGTTGTGCTGTTATCTTACCGCTGCATGTAAAACCTTATTCTACGCCCTTGTCGGCAACGCGTCTACCTATTAATAAGTATCAGAATGTTGTTGTCTAAAAACCCGCTTAGAAAACAATGGTCAAGTTCAATTCGCTCACAGTAGTAATTGTCATCATCACATATAACTTCTTTTGTTCACACGTCAATCTAAAACTTTCTATCTTCGTGAATCAAGTGACAACGTTTATAAGCACAGCTTTGTTCTTACGACCAGTCCACACGACCGGCTACTGCTGTACATGTAACATATACGATTTAGTGATACCAGAAAAGAGAATTTAGTATACTTAAACCATGTCCTCGGAATCACGCATGCTTACGTGTACGATAGGCACCCTGCCCTCCGTTTAGTACTCAAATATCAATAGCAACATGCATTATAAAAAAGTAAAAAATATTTAAACGATGCCTTTATGGATAATGTATAGCCTTGTGCAAATCCCCATATGTAAACTGGGAAACACATGAATTTATTGATGCAACAACACAATCTAGTTTTAACCAATTAAAGCCACCTTCGCTGCGCTCGGCAACCAGTAGAAATATTTAAATCATTTTATCCAATGATTTGTCCGGAAAAGCGTGACAGGCACGACAATTTAGTGTGACGGACAGACAGGTTGCTGCAGTAGATGTTTAAGACTAGCCGAGTGCCGCCGCTACGCGGCGGGAAAGAATGAATGTCGTTCCTTGTGTTTTGCCTCCGTTCCGCTCGCTACGGCTCGCTTCACTACTCGCATGGTAGGCTGGCAGATTGTGGCTCAGGCGGGCCCATAGGCCCGCAGGGTTGCAGAAGGTGCCGATTTGGGCCGCCTCGCTGCGCTTGGCAGCTTTTAGGCCAATCGCGGCCACCTTCGCTGCGCTCGGCAGCCAGTAGGAATATTTAAATTATTTTATCCAATGATTTGTCCGGAAAAGCGTGACAGGCACGACAATTTAGTGTGACGGACAGACAGGTTGCTGCAGTAGATGTTTAAGATTATAATTTTAATTGTCGCATAAGGCCACTCCCATGATCCATCGTCTAACGATTCGTGCGGGGCTTTTTGCGGTACTGTATGAAGTACAGTTTGTACAGTGCTCCGACTGGTGCACAGCGTTTTTCGTGTGCGTCATTGACCTTGGCAACTGACGCGGCAATCACAATCCTTGTTCATTCGTCCAAACTATGGTATCTTCTGAGTCAGTTTGGCTTCCGTGTCTGGTGGTTTCGCAGCCACTCAAGCACATTCCAGCAAGTGCGGTGTACGGGAGACGTTTGAGACTTGAAGCGCCATGGCGACGAAGGAGGCGTATGTGTTCCCCACTCTGACGGAGATCAAGCGGTCGCTACCTAAAGACTGTTTCGAGGCTTCGGTGCCTCTGTCGCTCTACTACACCGTGCGTTGTCTGGTGATCGCGGTGGCTCTAACCTTCGGTCTCAACTACGCTCGCGCTCTGCCCGAGGTCGAGAGCTTCTGGGCTCTGGACGCCGCACTCTGCACGGGCTACATCTTGCTGCAGGGCATCGTGTTCTGGGGCTTCTTCACGGTGGGCCACGATGCCGGCCACGGCGCCTTCTCGCGCTACCACCTGCTAAACTTCGTGGTGGGCACTTTCATGCACTCGCTCATCCTCACGCCCTTCGAGTCGTGGAAGCTCACGCACCGTCACCACCACAAGAACACGGGCAACATTGACCGTGACGAGGTCTTCTACCCGCAACGCAAGGCCGACGACCACCCGCTGTCTCGCAACCTGATTCTGGCGCTCGGGGCAGCGTGGCTCGCCTATTTGGTCGAGGGCTTCCCTCCTCGTAAGGTCAACCACTTCAACCCGTTCGAGCCTCTGTTCGTGCGTCAGGTGTCAGCTGTGGTAATCTCTCTTCTCGCCCACTTCTTCGTGGCCGGACTCTCCATCTATCTGAGCCTCCAGCTGGGCCTTAAGACGATGGCAATCTACTACTATGGACCTGTTTTTGTGTTCGGCAGCATGCTGGTCATTACCACCTTCCTACACCACAATGATGAGGAGACCCCATGGTACGCCGACTCGGAGTGGACGTACGTCAAGGGCAACCTCTCGTCCGTGGACCGATCGTACGGCGCGCTCATTGACAACCTGAGCCACAACATCGGCACGCACCAGATCCACCACCTTTTCCCTATCATTCCGCACTACAAACTCAAGAAAGCCACTGCGGCCTTCCACCAGGCTTTCCCTGAGCTCGTGCGCAAGAGCGACGAGCCAATTATCAAGGCTTTCTTCCGGGTTGGACGTCTCTACGCAAACTACGGCGTTGTGGACCAGGAGGCGAAGCTCTTCACGCTAAAGGAAGCCAAGGCGGCGACCGAGGCGGCGGCCAAGACCAAGTCCACGTAAGCAGTATGGAGACAGACTTTGGCAGTAATAAAACAGCGATCTTTTCTGAGTACACAGCAACACGGTTTCGTTTGCCGTTTTGCAAAAGCACGCATGACACAAATTGTGTCTCGCGTTCGGCACTTTTTGCAAGAAAAAATGAGATACACACCTGGATAAATGTCATATCAGCAATAACTGACACGCACTTTATTCATGCCTGTCAGTGACAGGCTGTCACTTCGTAGAGACTTTTGGAAACCGAATGGCTCAGTGGTAATGAAACAACGACAGACGAGCAAGACGAGGCGAGGCAAGGACAGTCTTGTTCAGATCCTGACGTTGCGTGTTTGTATAATCGTTGCCAGCATAAGTAAGGAGCAATACTATTCACACGTGCAACAGAAATCCCCGAAGCCCCTAGCATGTAAACACCCACCACCTCTCCTTTTTTTTATCCTTGCACCGCGCTAAGTACTTGTATTCACCAGGTTCACAACCAACGCTTGCCCCCATGTTCAAAAAAGTTTGCACAGTCACTGTATTCTCCTCTGTCTGTTTGAAGAGTCTCTCTTTCCGGCCATAACTTAGAGCAGCAGCACGTTCTCCTTGGGAGTCATGCCACCGCCGCCGCCGCCGCCGCCGTTATTATAGCCCTCCATCGCACCCGGCGCTTCCGGTGTTGCCATCTCGGCCTCCTTGCCCTTCCTCAGCAGCCGCGCGCCGGCCGCAATAGCTACGACCGCTAAACAGCCCACGACGATGGCGATGATAGAGCCGATACCGAGGCCACCATCACCTCCAGACTTAGACTTGTTGGAGCTGTCGCTTAGAATGGACCCGGGGTTGAACGATTGCTGGTTCGCCGAGCTGCTGCCCGGCGAGATGACCACGCTGCCAGATCCGGAATCCGAACGCCACGACCCTGACGCGGAGCTACTGGAGTTGGCCGCCGATGAGGCGGAAGTGGACGTCGAGTTACTGCTGTCCGCAGTTGCATCCGAGCCTGCAATACCAGTGTCAGAGTTAGTTTAGTGAGCAGTAGCAGTGGCAACAATCTCACGAGCCTTACCGTCTGAGCCCGACGTAGTGGAGGAGCCAGCAGACCCGGAGTTGGCATTGCTGCCCTGACTACCGTTGCTGCCGTTGCTACTGTTGGCAGTGGAAGAACTGGCGTTGCTTCCGTTGCTACTGTTCGCGGTAGAGGAGCTGCTGGTGCTCTTCGAGTTGCTACTTGCGGTGCTGTCCGTGTTACTAGTGGTGGGCGCGGTCGTGGTCGAATCTGCCGTATCTGAAGACGCACCCGAGAGCGTCACCGACCTTCCGTCCTTTGTCAACGAGCCGTCCGCGTTTACGTAAATGAGATCCGTGCGTCCAGCCGCTGCGCAACCCATGATGGGCGTCTCCGGTAGCAGCGCGCAGTTCGTTCCGGAAGGGCAGGCGCCTACGCCCTGCGAAAGTCCCGACGCGTAATACGTTCCGGAACACGGTGCCGACTGGACGCACTGTACACCCGGGATGTCCAATACACTCACTGTGAACGCGCAATCTGTATTGCAACACGCAGAATTTGCCATATTGTTAGCATTTCCGTTAGCCGCAATTAATCACTTTGCCATTGTGTTTCAGACGCACCATTGGCATTGGCGCCTTGTATAAGCAGCAGCGCGCCGGCCACTGCGAGTTTCGGCCACATTGAGAGTGTGGTGCCCTGTTGTTGCTTTTTTCCCTGTTGCTTTGCGCTCGCCGCCGCTACGTCCGTTCACGCGTCTGATCCGATTAGGTTGCTGTGTCGGTCGTTCCCTTTGGCCTTAGATTGTTGCAAGGCGATTGCTTCTGAGGCGCGTCGATGCAAATACCGAGGAAGCAAAAGGGTTGTTTCCAATCGGTTAGCCTTCCGTTTTGCGAGAAAACTTGGGAGTGAAAGAGGGAGAGGCGCTACAAACACCACCATGAAAAGAGCCAGACCACGGACTATCAAATCGTGGCGTTGCCCCGCGCTCACGAACCGACGCTGCTCCACAAATTACTCTCTGCTATTGGTTATTAATCAACCGTCTGAGGGGTGAAATGGTAGAGGCCTCATTCAATCGGCAAGTTGCCCCTCGACCGAGACTCTACCACACCAAGGGCTGTCAGCGGCACTTTCGATCCCCACCGGGAGGACAGCAAACTGTTTGAGCTGCCGATGCCCAGGCTTTATGCTCGTCGACAACGCGGCGGGCGGTAAGGTGTGGCAGTGTGGAGCTGTGCAGGCTGCACTGCACTGCCGCAATGCTACAGTAAATGTAGGCATTATTCTCGATAATGTCATGGCCACATGGCATAACTGTCCATAGTGGTGGATGGGAATACTGGATTACCAGCGAGCCGAGCGAGTCGCCCTTGACCCCGTCACCACGTGGTGCCTGTCACGATCGGCGCACATGAAGTCTTGACAGTGCGAGTCGTGGCAGGTTGCGCAGCATCCAGATGCTTTAGTAGACTACTATTATTAATAGTAGTGGAAACGCCGCGTTTCTCCAGTGTGAAGCTCACACTGTGAAGTTCAGTGTACATGTATTCACGTTCAACGTGAATACACTTACCGGCTGGCAGACGGCTGTGCAACTATCTGCGATAGTAATCTAGAAACTGGGGAATGTATCTTTAATTGCGATTTTGCAGCTCGTCGGTGTTTTCATTACGGCTCACCGCCACCTTTTAGCGTTGGGAGTCCCGATAGGGACGGATATCACTGCCAGGCTTCGGTTAGTCGACTTGAGCGAGGAAGACGAGCCAGGGCACATGACGTACAGCTTCAACGCGGACGCATGGCAACGAGATAAGGCCGGCTGCTGGGGCCCGCTTGGTGCTGCTTGGAAACACGTGTGTAGCCTCGTGCGATCTTGGCGCTCTCTGACCCGCTCCATATGATCACCTGGCACTGTGAAGACCGACACCACAGTTTCTAGTCCGTACTGTAGCAGCATAGCTCTTGGTGTTATCTTTTGAACTTTCAGGAACCCTGCTGCTGCAAGATACAGCCCAACGAAATTATTAATATCTTTGTTCACTTGCGCAAACTACATGTAAATCGTTTTAGCGACACACATTGCACGTAATAGCCCTATCAAGGAGGAGGCTTCTCTATAACCTGAGGTTGCTAACCTCTACTTAGTTTTGAAAAGCTTTCTTGTTCTAGAGAATGGGGGCATTATTCGGGAGCGTGCTTTTATTCGGGCGGGTCCGCTAAGTCGAAAAGGATTTAGAGAGCTTTAAATTAGTTTCTGGAATATCGCAAGGCTTGAGTTTCCAGATAAAATCTAAATAAATGACGGATCGATTTACCGATCAATATTCCATTACTTTTTTTCAGAGGGGTCGCGTTATTCCACTGGAAAAGAGAATTGGAATATCGATCAGTAATCTATCCGTCATTTATTCAGATTTTTTTAGATACTGTACTTGTTATTTCAAGCCTTGCGTCATTTAAAACACAGGTAGCGGTAGCCCTAAATTATTCTACACTACAGGCAATTTTATTCCACAGGAGTACCTCCGCCGCCATGAGTGCGAACTCGAGCGAAGTGCTGAAGAACCTCCTGATTCTTCAGCTTGAGGGCGTCAAGCGGCTTGTAAACGAGTATCATCAGCAAACCGAGGCTTATGTACAGCAATTCGGCCATCTCCCGCTGTCCCAGGAGCCCGCAGAGGCCGCGCACGAGGCCCGTATCACGCTGCGGAGTCTGACTTTAGCGTCGCCTTCACTGGCCGATGGATGCGCTGTCTCGAAGATCATTCTTGACGCCACAAAGAAGCATTGCGGGGTGGATATGTGTGCCACTTCACCGGTACATCTCGAAAGCTTTCTAGCAGTCTCTAGAAACGATGTAAAGACCGCCGAGGACCGTGTGCACGCACTCTTCGTGCTGGACGCGACACTGTCGAAACCTCAACACCAGAAGGAGATGCAGTCGCGATTCGAGGGTAAACAGGGCTACGAGTTGCTGGTGGAGTGGCTCGCAATCAGCTGCAGCTACAACGACGAGACGTCTATGGCATTCACGGAGCTTCTGCTGCTCGTGCTCCAGCGCAATGTGCCAGCCGTGCCGTTCACCACAAAGATAATGGTTAAAAGTCTTGCGAAGTACAGGAACGTGATGAAAGGAAAGAAGAACAAAGCTCTGCTACAGAAAGTCGTCACCCACTACCGAGAAAAGATCAACTCGTAGTTCCAGTTTAAAATTCTGACCACAGTAGCTTTCTTCATTATTATTATTAGGTTGTGAAACCTCAACTTCCACGTTCTTTCGGTCCTAGACTTGTATCTGTATCAGCGGCCCGATAGATGGAAGGCTATCTGGACCACCTTGAGACGACAGGACTGCATAGGAAGGTCTGGGAAAGTCGCTTTTTCAAGCTCAACAAGACCTTCCACGTGCTCGAATACTTTACGGACGAGACTCAATATGAGCGGAAAGGGAAGCTGGAGCTTCGTGGCGCTACTGTGGCTACTGCAGATGAACTTGGTGGACTCTTAAGTGAAGACAAAACGTTAGTGGAAATGTCGAGACGATTCATCTTCCGAATTACAGAAAATGGCAGTAAGAAGCACCATTTTCTGTGTGTCAACCTCAGTGGAATTGAAGCTCCGACGTATAAACTGGCGTCTTCTAGTCGCGATTACTTGGGCGAATGGCTTCGTGCTCTCCGAGCAACAATAGTTACTGCAGTGGATCCTCCTCTATCGACAGCCACGATGGGCCTGGGAGAACTCAATACACAGATTGGAGCCTTTATGAACCACATGCATCTCTCTGCACGTATTTCGAATAGAACCCCGGACCACGGGAAGTCCATCTACGAGATCACAGTGAAGGCGTGGATTCTGGCACGCGAACTTGTGATGCTAGAAGGTCAGGAAGGATACCCTGGACCTGGCGAAATGTCATGGCAGATACTGGAGTATTCATGTGCATGGAAACTTCGAAAGTCCACGGCAGAACTTCGAAACTTCGATGGGCAATTGCGACTATTTCTTGGCTCGAGCTTGCAGAATCTTGACTTCCCGTCGAATTCACTTGGCAACAAGCTGCAACAGCTTCATCTGCATGCGTCTGCTACTCAAAAGGAGACTGAGAACCTACAGCGCATGCAAGAGTACGACGCGTATCTGCAATCTCTGTTACGCTTACCTGCCTTTTCATCATTTGGTAGTGACGCTAGCACAATGTTGGATACGTTTCTTGATATTTCTCCTCATCTCACTTCGTTCCGGAAGTTGGAGAAGGAGATTGGACAGAGTTTACATCTCCGTGATCGCACAGTGGTACCGTGGAGAGACCGTGAGCGCTTCCAAATGCTCTACAAAATGCACCTTGAGGTCATTACTGCCCAAGAGGAGAACGCTCGTCGTGTGCAAACAGAGCAAACAGAAGCTCTTCGAAAGAAGTCGAACGCGAGTCATCGCCACCGACACAGTCGTCACCACTCTAGTGATAAGAGGAATTATACACAAGACGAGGAGTTTGCTCCAGCCCCAGTGGGCGTCTATGTTTCTCCTCTACCAGCACCAACGAAGCTAAATACGACAACTGAGGTACGCATAATAGTGTGTCCACGAAGGTTTTTTGGTGTTTACCGTGTTTTGTTTTGCGATTGTAGGAGGCCCGCCCAAGTGAAGTTGTCCATGATCGCATTGCTCGAATCGGTCATCGCCTTGTGGTCGCATTCGAAGCGTAGATGACATGCAGGACACCTCTTTTTTTTTCATTCCACGATTTTCTTAATTAATTAAACTTAAACCACGCTATCACAAGGAAATCGGCTATGTAGTAAACGCACTTCCTCATCACCGATCGCTTTCGAAGCCATCATCGCTGTAGCGATCACCAGACGTTGGTTTTGTCTTTACGTGACTGCAGTCTTGCTCCTGGGTATTGTTATCTCCATCCTCTTCGCCTATGACGTCCCCGTACTGCTTCCATGGGTCTGAAGAGCTTTTGTTCGGCGACGAACTGGGCACTTCATCTTCAGGACCGACCAACGCTGTCTTATTCAGAGCGGTGGCCGTGTCGACAATACCCTCTTGCGTTGCTGTTTGGTTAGACTCAGGAGATAAGCTGCTAGCATCGTCTTTCTTCGTCTCGCGCCGACTGGATGCAGCAGGAGAAGAACTCAGTCGAGGAGAAGATTCGCGACTTCGACCAGAGGATATGGATTCCCTGAGCTTGGTAACCATACTTACCGACGAGGCCGAGTCTACATGTAGCTGGTTTGTCGACTTTGAGCCACCATGCGCCAACGTAGACCCCGAAGATCGATTGATCCCTGTACTTCTCCTTCGGTCCGTATTCGAATCAATATCAAATTGTAGATAGTCTGGGTCCATGGGGCCACCAAGCTCCTTTAGTATTTGCAAGGCCTCTTGATGCTCGGATTTCAGAGCTGAGAGCGTGATTCCACTTCGAGCCTTCATCTCCTTTCTGGATCGGATCAGCGGTGTCTTTGCAACAGCTGTACGCGAAGACGTCGTTCGACTTGTAGCTCTAGGTGCATGCTTGGAGCCCCGAGGTCCATTGTTCATGTCTGCTGTGGCACGAATCGTTGGGGTTGAGCGTTTCTTCAAGATTCCTTTGGGTTTAGCTTCTCCGCCGTTTTTGGTGGCCGAAGAGCCGCTAGACGTAACACGAATAGAGCTCTTTGTTCCGACCTGATTAGACCGTGAGGAAGCTTTGTTCTGGCTTGTGGACGATGATGGAGCTCCACAAACGTCGATGCTGGGTCCTTCACTCGTCTGTCGAGCCGACTTGTGTTTTTCTCGGTTCGATTTCATGATTTGCTTCAATTGTTCAAACTTCCTCGCAAGTGAGAAATCCAGTTGTGGCACGACCGAGTTGTTCTCATCCGGAACTTCATTGTTGTCCAGCTCACTGACAGTTCGTAAAAAAGACTTGGCGACGGGAGAATTGTGAGCATTGTTATCGTTGTCGCTCTCCGCTTCGCGCTCTAAAAAGTCAAGAGCACTTCGATCTGCCGACGAAGGAACAGCAACCTGACGGCGTGGAGCGTACAGGTTTGAGTCACTGTGAGCAGCGGGCAGACTGCGTTTCTCTTTGCCAGCGTCCAACAGCTTCGAGAGAGAGGACGTTGTCGCTAGTGACGCAGGAGCGGACCCATTATAACTCGCTCTCTGTTTGCTTTCTGGACGAGTCGACACACGTCTCGTCTTACCACTGGGAAGAGCTGGTAGTCGGTGGTTCTCTCTTGATGGTGGATATTCACTCCCTGTCCGTGCTCGTCGTGATTCTTTACCCGATGCACTCTTAATTTCCTCGCGATACTTTGCGTCATGTTCTGCAAACGCCTCAATTGCCGAGGCAGGATGGAAGAGTCCGTCAGCTGCGGCGTTCTGATCAAACTCGTCGAACATTGATCTATGATACCTCAAAGTCAGCAATTAACAGACAGTCTCTCACTAACGTTATTAGCGTACTGTACCCGCTGAAAGACGCACGAGTTGGAAGCGGGAAGACTTCTTGACGAGCGGTGTCGAGTGTGCTGGACTCGTCATCACTCGTCAACTGAGGCTCTGCCTTGCATGTATCTTCTTCATCCGTGTTGTTGTCATGTGGCAATATATCATCGTCACCTTTGGGATGTCGTCGCGCTGAGTCGGGGGCTTTCTTCTTCTCTAGTCGACACCACAAATCATTTAAGTGTTCGAAAAGCACGTCAAGTTCAACAGCAGACGAACAGTACTGACTTCGTAATTTGTTCTCTATCGCTGGATGCAGTTGATTCGAAAGAGTCGACTTCACACTCGTCAATCTTTTCTTCCGAGTCACCTCAGCTTTCGCCCTACCCAGCATCAGTTTCATAAGAGACGTGTTCTTTGTCCATTCCTGCCGTCTGAACGTACATCATCCTTGACGAGAGGAGCGAGTTCTTCTTCGGGTCGCCCCAGTTGTAGTCCATTTCGCAGCCTGCACAGACGAATATTTGTCACTCTAATTTCTTTTAATCTAACCGCTCCTCTAAACATAGCATCTACGAAGAAAATTGTTTGATTCGCTTCAACATGAAATTTGGCGAGATTACAACCAATTTCTACCGAAAGCCAGCTTTTACTCTTCCTTGACTTCCACGGAGCTCGATTTGTTGTCGCTGTCCTCCTCAACAGATGCAGTATCCTTACTGGATCCGATGCGCGCTTGGCTCCAGTCCGGAATAACTCCACTGTAGCCATAATCGAAGAACAATTCGTCCCCAGTCGCGATATCTTGCTTGGCGTAAATGCCGATGCGATGGTCTCCATTCACCAGCATGATCCTAGCGAAGCACTTGGGGGCGTCCGAGTCGTGGTTCGCAAACTTACTCTTGTTGCCCTTCCGCGTCGCATCCACAACGGAGTCTTCGGTCAGATCGAACAGGAAACTGATCGTCGTCTTGTCATAGACATTGCCACGTCGTTCCGCTTCATCTTGAGACAGGAGCGAGCCAGTGTACTCGTACAGGAACTCGCCCTGCTTGACGCTCTCCATGGCGTACGCTCCCCATCCATGAGTTTCCGAAGCAGAAACTCCGATTTTACGCATCTGGCCACGCATGATGTTGACATTCCCACAGGTTTTGAGCTGAGCAACAGTTTTGCCCTTGCTTTCCTCATCAGCGACAATCACGGGAAGCTCGCAGGCACCGCACGACGTGCAGACGTCAGGATCACACTCCCGCGCGGCGAAATAGCACGGACATTCAGAGGTTCGACACTGACCCACTTCGCAGTGGCAGCCCGGGAAACGATTCGAGCAATCCAGAGAGCAGCCACAAGACTTTTCACAATAGTGATCGCGACGCATGCATGAGCACTGCGCCGAGTCACACGAGCCGCCGTCATGGTGGCACGGAACGTACTCGTGATTCGCTCCACGGTCCTTCATTCGCTGGGAGCGCGTGCGTCGCAGATGTTCGAAGCTGTTGCCAAGCACTCCATTTGATCTCTCGCGATTCCGTCCGTACGCACCACCCCGAGATAGGCTTAGTCCATCGTCTGGTCTACTGTCACGCTCTCGGAGAAACTTAGCGACGTCAGTGCAGCTTCGTGTGACAATCAACGCCGCTAAAGCGCACGAGTTGGGACCAACACACATCTCCAGCTTATCCAGCAGAGCAATTTCCGCGCCTTCCCACTGCTTGTCCTGCAAGACACTACAATCGTCATTCTCTCCATCTTGGGTCGTATCCGATACTGGTTTAGAGCAGTGAGGCCCGCACCGCATGTCAGCAGATAACAGTTCTGTCTTCCTATCCTGCGTAAGTGACTGATAAATGCCGTCAAAGCCCAGATACTCCGACACGTCCGAGGTCTTGGAGCGAACCAGCTTTCTCAAGCGAACAGCACTCAGCTTTGACGACGCCTTGGTGCTCGCAGCCGTTTGGGCACGCAAAGACCTTCGGTTCGATGCACCCTCGCTAGCGGCGTTATCAGCTGCAGTCTTCTGGTCGATGTCAGCGTTTCCAACAGCGGGTGTGAGTTCGGACGTTGGGTGGTCGGATTCGGGAGTTTGCTCGTCTTCCATCTCATCATCTGCATCGTCCTGCTCCTCCTCCTCTGCCAGCTCTTCTGCCAACTGCTCTTCTTCAACACGTCGCCACAGCTTCGTAGCAGCCTTCACCACTGGATAGCTTGGATCGACACGAACGACCGGGACAGGCTGCTCTCGACCATGATTCCGACAACTGTATGTACAACAGCGACGGCAGAAGAAATCTTGATACTTAACCACGAGTTCTCGGAACTCTTTTGAAGGAGCGTTTCGAACGCCCGTATCGCTGCCGTCCTGACGACAATTCAATAATACATGACCTGGGAGTGGCTGCAAGCGTCCACGAAGATGTGCCCCCGTTCGTGCAGCGAAACACTCCTTGAGAAGAGTAGCCATTGTCTCATTACTGCTTTGCTGGTCTTCCAGCTCCTGCAAGTGCTTCTTGTACAATCTCTCTCGAGTAACACGTTCCAAAATATCGGAATAGTTGGCAAATGGCTGCGTGAAGGCTCCACAGCTCTGAAGCGCCTCGAAAACAGCCTGATCTCCTCCACACGCATTCACAACGTACCGCAACACGTACTCGTTGACCTCGTTATCCATTCCCACAAGAGTATCTTTGCGAGCTTCCATGCTGGAGAACTGCGGCGCCTTATTCTTGGCATTAGTTGCGCTGAAATACGGCACAAAGCGAATAATAGGGTCATCTTCGACACGATGTGTGCCACACGCGAGCATGCACGTCGTAGAGCGCGGGATCGACGCAATCTTACTGAGATACGTCACTAGTTCGGGGTACACGTGTCCGGAATGATCAGCCTCGGTTCTCCCCAACGAATAATGAGGACGAATTACACCTTCCGGGGGGAACTCGTCGTCTCGGAGAAGTCTCCGCGCTGCCACCTTCTCTAACCGGGAAATGTGCAGCGGTAATCCTGTCGACACCATTAAAGTTAGCAAGTATCACGTCAGCGTATACCGTTTTCAGCCTTACCGGTTATCGCACACGCCTTTTCCCGCAGCTGTGGTCGTTGCTCTACATACGCCGCGATCTGCTTCCGCGTTTTTGTTATTATTGCGTTGGCTCGATGGGCATGGCACTTTTTAACAAGCGGTGTGGCCTCTTCTATCAGTTGTTTAACGCGATCCTCCACTTGCAGCTCTTCTTTGGCCTCTCCGCGGGTCCCGGACATCATGGTAAGCGGCTTAGGCTTCAAGAACGCGGTCGATACGGCACATTTCTGCTTCAATTCGACATCAAAATCCTCCAATGGGGCGTCGAAATCAAGTGCAAAAGGCTCGGAGACGCCCTCACGATCCGGAAGCAAGTTAAGAGGCGCCTCGGCGAACTTTAGATTGCGCCAAGCTGTTGAGTGCAACATCGCGTCCTGGATGGCGTCTTCGTCTCGAGCAAAACGGCGTTTACATTGCGGCTGTGCTCCATCTCCTTCCAGTTTGACGAGCGACACGCCGCCTCGCAGCGCCAGCTGTGGGCCACCGTCGGGGGAGCGCGGACTCATGTTGCGGCGCAGCTTCTGGCGCTTAGAGCGTCGCTCCTCGGCACGCTTTTGCTTCAAGTGCTTTGCAGGAGACTCGACCGTCTCACCTTTACGCAACTGCATGGGGGAAGAGTGTTGGTGGCGACTCTTCTCGTAGTTGATACGCTCCATTTCGCGCTCCTGAGCCATCACATCCGAATAAAGCACACGCGTTTCGGTCTTTCGGTGCGTGCGTCGCGGCTCATCCGATGACTCTCGACTGCGCTTACGGCTGTCGGGTGAAGCAGCGCCACCTTCCGACAATTCGGTGTCTGGGGCCTTCATGTGCACCTTACAATCACTCTCGCCCCCTCTCCAATGCGGAATGAGCCACTGGCGGGAAAAACGGATTGACACAACTGATGATCGATTTAGACGGGGTAACTTTAAGCCCGACATTCTGCGATCAATTTATAAGATGATTGGGTGATGGCAGTGTGTCTTATATGCGACTCGCTATTTGCGATGCCACAACTGAAGTTTAACATTAGTCGACCACGTGAGGATGGCGTTGCGCACTCTGTTGGGACGGCGACAGGACTGCACGCGGCGGTGGCTGAGCGTGGAGAGGAAAGTAAGACCGGCGCTGCGACTGGAGTCGGGCGCCTGTGGACTGCCACACCCGCAGAAGCGTGCGACGGGCGGAGAGGACGCCTGGTTCATCAGCGGCAACACTGTCGGCGTTGCGGACGGTGTCGGCGGCTGGGCGCGCAAGGTTTATAGTCAAGTATTTAACTGTACTATTGTGTCGGGTATCTAAGCTGGTTATTCGGTCAGGGCATCGACTCGGGCGAGTACTCGCGCACGCTCATGAACTCGGCCAAGCGGACGGTGACGGTCGCGGATAAGACACCCACGCCGCTGCAAGTGCTGACGGTGGCACATCGAAGCGCGCAGGTAAGAAGGATATGGGTCTGATTTGGTGGAAAATTGAGTCTGATGGGTGTCTCTTGACAGTGTCCGGGCAGCTCGACGGCTTGTATCGTGCAGCTGAATGGTGATCTACTGTGGTTGTTTTGTATATTGTTGTTTGGAGCTGCTGATAATTTGATTTCAATGTGTGCGCAGATTTGTCGTTGCAGGCGATCAATTTAGGCGACTCGGGCTTCCTGCTATGTCGGTTGCAGCCAGACAAGGTAGAGGGAGGTGCACTGAGGTGGCAGGTCGTTCACGAGACGCCTAACCAGTGTCACTACTTCAACTGCCCGTACCAGCTGGGCTTCGGCGCCAACGGAGACAAGGTCCGTGATGGTTACATTGTTGGCTCTACGTATGACGTTGAAGTGCGTATTTCTGCAATTGCAGCCAGAGATGGGCGAAGTGTACGAGCTCGAGACACAAGAAGGCGACGTGATTGTGCTGGGCACCGACGGACTGTATGTTGCTTTTGTAAAGCTCTTATCGGATAGTATGGTGACCACACAATTCTGTCATTTCGTTTTTGACAGCTTCGACAATTTGTTTCCGAAGCAGATCGCAAGTCTCCTCGATACGGTATTACCATCCACTCCGGAGCTTGATCACCATAGTATGGAGAAGGTGGCGTCATGCATTGCCCACACGGCGCACAAAACTGCAAAAGGAACGAAAAGCAAGACCCCGTTCGCAATAGCGGCACAACAGGCTGGTTACGAATATCTCGGTGGAAAGATGGACGACATCACTGTTGTCACCAGCCTGGTGACGTCTGATGGAGTCTAATTATACTGACGACGGTATGAAATGCTGATCGAAATAAAAGCGATTGTAGGCAAACCGTTCGGTCTGTGGCTAATATTCCACAACCACTATTTGTATCCAACTCTGACAACCACTATTACCACTAACAGACTTGTATCCAACTCTGACAACCGCTATTAAACAGACTTGTATTCAACTCTGACAACAACTAGTACTATTTTGGAAACAGACCTACACCTTTGCCCGTCCAAACTGAGATTAGTTTCAAGCAAAGCGGACAATTCGTTTCGTGAAATATGAATAACAAGTTAAACAAAAATAATCAGCAAAGCGAGAATAATTTCATCCAAAATAAGACAAGGAAAGGCGGCAGCCGTAGTATGGGTGGTGAAGACGTCTTGGCGCCAAAATGCGCGCGAAAGCCCGCGCACGAGGCTGAAGTAGCTCACTTCTCAATTCACCTGTTTGAGCGCAGGTGCCCTCCCAACCCCTCCTCCGAAAGCACACACCCGCCGAGAAGCTTCGCGTTCTTTCCGCACATCGTGCAGGACGCATCGAGCCCATGACGTGCAACAATGGCATCAACAAGACCAAACGCTCCAAGTTCGCGACAGCTCTCAAGGACCATCAAAAAGACGGTGACTGTATTATCTACTTAGATGAGACTAACTACAATGTGTATTGTAAGCGTGGTCGGGGACGCGCGCGTAAAGGAGAACGAGCTATACTGGTGATGCCACCGTCAAAAGGGGCCAACTTGCAAGTCCAGTGCGCGGTCAACTCAGCTATGGGTGTTGTACTCCATCGACTGGAGAGGGGGAGTATTCGTATTGCCCAAAATACTGCCTTTATCGACGAGGTCTACCGTACAGTAAAGGCGTCTCCTGTCTTTCAAAGCAACTTGGCCGGTAAGAAGGTTGTTATCGTCCTGGATAACGCTCCTGCACATCGCCAAACAGAAGTGCGGGTGGAAGAGCACGCCGACCTGAAGCTACTACGCCTCGGCCCCTACTCTCCGATGTTTAACCCCATCGAGGGCTGTTTCTCCGTCCTAAAAGCACGGATCAAGGCGTATCTTGCTTTGTATCGCGAGGAGATTTGCGATCGAAGCAACATGGCGGATGATGACGGCAACCTTTTGACAATTAAGGAGCGTACCATGCGCTTCTTGGAGAAGGCGGCTGAAGCGAGTATCAAGTGCATCACCCCCACGTTGGTGGCGAATATGGAGTTGCACTGTCGAGATGCGGTGAATGCGGCGGAGAAGATGAACGACATGGTCTACGGTATCTAGGTCAGTACACTAGATCTTCTCTTTTTGAATGAGAACAATCTCGGATTCATTGGTGCTTTTAATCACGAAAGAAGAAAATTGCAATTAATAAAAACATGTTGTCCACTTTGTTTGAGATTATTCTCAGTTTGGACGGGCAAAGGTGTAGACTTGTACAGTGCGCGTCGTAATTATGGCTGCACCTGAAAATAGAGCTCTTGCGCCGGAAACTGAGACCTGCCTGCAATCGAAGGGCCCGGAGGCCGTCTTAAAGGGATAGAAGACTTGTGCAGCAAACGAGGTTGAAAAAGACTAAGTCGGCTTGGAGCCAGGAGGCAAAATCTGGTTTGAGGTCGGGTCAGAGTTATAGCCGCACTTGGTATTATAAAATTTAGTGAAGTAATAAACAAAAATAATTGGCTTTTAAATGTAATAAATGAGACCTGTGGACAGCCTTGTGAAAGACCTTTTAGAACCTATTCTTAGATTCGCAGGGAAGCCAGAAACGATGCCACGAGGCAAGCAGCTAACCGAGGAGGAGTGCAGCACTACAGAGGCGGGAAAAGCAACCGAGAGATCGGCAGGCTCTTAGGACGCGACGAGAAGGCAATAAGGAACTACTTTAAGCGCGGGAAGGCGTCCTCGCTGACGAAGAGGACAGGAAGAAAGCCGAAAATAGTTGGCCGGGAGGCCAGGCGCGTCGTGTTGGTTTGGCACTTGCTCGGCAGAAGGTAGAAGTGAAAGTGAGAAATATATTCAAAGGAGGTTTTAGTTGGATTCTACATGCACACTACACAATAACCTGAAAAGACACGCGCCTACACTCGATCTGATTGGTCCCAATAGTGAAACCGAGTCAAAATGTCGTACCTTCAACATTGTCGACTCGATACTTGCGTAAAGGTCCTTGGGGGTCTGGCTTCCGGTCGCCTGCCCGTTGGCTGGCTCTTACATCAATGTCCAGCACTCCTCCCCAGAGCCTCGGGGTTCCTGAATCACTCGATGTCGACGAGTCCGATATCTCCCGTAGCTCCTTCACCCGTGGCGCCGGTAGCGCCTTCGTCAGCAGATCGGCAAGCATTTCCGCGCTAGCCACATACTCTGGCACCACGACGCCCTTCTTGGCGCAGTCTTGGATGAACTTGAGCTTGACGTCCACGTGCTTCGCCTTGGCCGAGCTTGATTCGCTCTGAGCTTGCACGATAGCCGCTTGGTTGTCCATCAGCATGGACATACGCAACTTGGTGGCGATATCCAGCTCACCCAGTAGCTCCTTCAGCCCGAGTAGTTCCTGAGCACCCACTGTCGCAGCGACGTACTCCGCCTCGGCCCCGGAACTCTGCTTCTTGCACTGCCATGACACCGTCATTCCGTTTACTTGGATGATTGCCGCGCTCACAGACTTGCGGTCGCTCTTGTCAGCTGCAAAGTCGGCGTCCGTATACGAGCGCAATCGTAGTGGTAGTCTTTTAGCATTGTCGTCGCCGGACATATCCATCTTGTGCGATCGGGTGCCACTCAGGTACCTGGCGATGCGTTTAGCCAGCTTCCAATCCGCCATCGTTGGTGCATGAGTCCGTCGTGTTGCACAGTGTACAGCGAACATAATGTCAGGACGCGTGCATCTCGCAATCCACAACAAGCTCCCCACCAGTGACTGGAAATTTGTCACCGTTGGTCCTGCTGACGCGGTCTCCTTTGCCGTGTGCGGAAGTAGTTCTGCCAAATCTGACTCTGCCGCGTCTTCTCCTCCGATCGGCGATCGCACCGAATTTGCTTTGTCCAACCCAAACTTGGTGAGAATCTCGACGATTGCAGCCTCTTGGTCAAACCTGTAACCACTGAGCTCGTTGTACTGCACGCGCATACCAAGAAAATTGCTAGTAACACCGAGATCCTTGAGCTCCAGGACGGACATGTCAGCGAAGAGCTGGGAAACCCTGTTCTCGTCCGTGCCAGTAACCAGCAGGTCATCCACGTACGTTCCGACGATCGTCATTCCAACGCTGTCAGCCTTGAAGTACAGGCACGCGTCCGTAATGCACTGGATGAACCCAAGCTTGACCAGTTCGCGATGAAGGTGCTCATGCCAAAGGCGTCCTGCTTGCTTCAGACTGTAAAGGCTCTGACCAAGAAGTAGGCCAACTTCATCCACGCTCTCAGCTCCGAGCGTCTTCAGCTCTTCCTCCGTGATAACGAGTCCGTCGGGGACGAACAGCAAAATCTCGATACCCTCCTCCGTTTTCGCCTTTACATACGCGTTTGGAACGTCGCCGTGTCTGGCAGGCACATTCCATATGATCGCAATGACGAAAATGAACTTGACATTAGTCATGGTAATCACAGCCGCAAACACGAGAAAGAAGTTAACGCCGAACTTTTGCTCGTTGCCACAGGCGACTAGTCGAGCCTTGTACCGCTCGATCAAGCCCGTGCCTGTTCGTTTCTTCTTGTACACCCACTTTGTATGCAAGCGAATACTACCAGGCTCGAACTTGACCAGCTTCCACGTGTTAGTCGCCTGTAGAGCTTCAAGTTCTTCCTTTTCAGCTGCCTCCCAAAGCGCGCTCTCGGCGCACTTCCGCGCCTGCCTGTAGTTCTTCGGTTCCGGGTCATCAGCGTGAGCATTGACGTCCTTAACTTCGGATACGGTCAAAACCACAGGCTCAGTGTTCAGCCTCGACTCGTCAACCTCCACGTCTCCATCAGATTCAGCACGGCGGCGCGACTTGCGGCGTGAGCGACGAGATCTTCGTGGTGTGGAACGTGGTGCCGGTGGCGTCGTCGTCGTGGGAGCCTGAACAGTTGGTGGCTTCACATCGGATTTCTCCTCCAACGCGCGGATGTTCTGCACATGCCTCGTGACGATCACCTTGTTCTCCGAAGGCAGGTACACCTTGTACCCCTTGGTCGATTCGTCCTTGCCGACGACGACGCCCTATCACGCCCTCTTCTTCATGGCGCGCTTTCCGGGGTCACGAAACACGGAGCACTTTGATCCAAACATGACAATGTCGCAAAGGTTTGGTGCTTCGCCAGTCAGCACTTCGAGCGGCGATTTCGGATCCTCGTTAGCGCGTGACGAGCTCCGGTTCAGCACGTACGTCGCGTACTCAACCGCGTCACCCCAGAAGCTCAGCGGCAATCCTGCACCGAGCACCATACACCGAGCCATGTTGAGAGCCGTGCGATGCATCCGCTCCGCCTTGCCGTTTGCAGCTTGGTTGCCGACTTCTGACACCTGACGAGCCACTCCGTTTTCTTTGCAGAAGAGATCCACGTTTCGGTACTCTCCCCCACCGTCCGTGCGGAGAACATGCACGCGAACGTCGAACCGTTTTTCGAACTCGACAAGAAAGTCCTCGAACTTCTTTGCAGCCAGGTTCTTCTTCTTCGCCATG